TAAATGATCAGACCATTTTTTTATCGTATGTTCGTCTCGTTTATACTTTCATAAAGATGAAGTAGTTGGTCAACAACAACAGTTTAATATTATCAATAAAACATGCAAATCTAAAAATTATAAATTGACAAGTTTAACAGTTCGATATTATCGCGGATAACTAGTATATAATTTTCCATCTTAATATGCATATGTCATAATTCTAATAAAAAGAATAAGAGATTACTTGAAAAAAATCTATAACTACTTAAAAGATAAGTAGAGCTACAGATTTTTTTTGTGTGCTCAACAAAATTTTCTTCTACCCTCGAACAATAGATTTTTTAAGTAATAGCTATCTTTTTTTGTATAAAAAACTTATCTCAGAAGAAATAGATAATAGAACATTAAAAACCTTTCAAGACTTGTGATAAGTTCAGATAAGAGTATTTTTTTATTTCCCTTTTCTTCACTCAAAATCTAAAAATTAGTCTTCGAGGCAGCTTTCAACTTTTCTTACAGTAACTTGCAGATATCAAAGGATTTACAATAATCTGCCTCTAGAACGGTTTGATGAGTTAGTACATATTAGTAATCGTTTCTTCATAGAATGTTCTGTTTGGTCTTTTGAATTACTGAGTTTGGTCTTTTGAATTACTGAGTTTGTTCATATTCAATTACTGAGTTTGTTCATATTTAATCAAAGAGTGTCCAAATGTGCTAAGTTTTTGTATCAAAACAAGCTGTTCATAGCGCAGGTCAAATTTTATCAATTTTGTGTAGCCAATAAACAATATTAGAATGTTTTGATTATTGATTAAGTGGTATTTGCGCTCTCAAATTAATTAACATATGCAGAGTCTGGTAGGGTCAATATTGCTCTCTCTAAATCTTTCCTACATTTCATTCCAAAACTATAGCAGTTAAAATTGTAATTGATGATATGTAAGTTTATATAACTGTACATGTAAATTAATAAGAATTGCATAAATAATAAAATTGTAACCTCCATAGAACGTTTGAAAAGCTCATGAATTTATCTAAACAATAGCAAATTATAAATTTTTATGCACTTATGAGGATGACTATTTTGAGCTGTATTAATCGGGAAATTCCATCTACTGTGTAGCTCTAAGCGTTCAATATTTATCTTTAATTAATTTCATGTGATATTATATTTCTTACATTTTACTTCAACCAAAAGAAGTACTTTTTACGTGCCTCGCTTGTTGCCAACATAACAAACCCAATTCCAATTCCGCACCTCCTCTAGCTTTAGCTTAAGGTGAGAAAATTTGTTGGTTTATGTAAAATAATAATAATAAGTACCTATATTGTTGCAGTCTTTATGTTTTGATTGTTGCAAAGTGTTATGAATTTAGGAAAGAATAGCCCTTTAGGTACTTGGTGAATAATATATAATATATGAACGCCTGTATCAGTCCAGTTTTGAAAGATGTTTCATTTAATTAAACAGAATGTTGAATCTATATTTTGGGACTATTGTATTTACAACGTTATATTCGTGGGGCTCATTTAACTGCAAACTAAGTTAAAGTGTATGAAAAGAGTATTTTTTTTTGAGAGAATTGATACTATATGGTGATTTGTATTGAATAGTGCTAATATAATATGGATCGTAGTAAATCATAATATTTTAGATCGATCTGAAGTCATATCGTAAAATTATTAAGGAGAAAATTAAGGAGAAAAAAATAAAATATTGTCATTTTTCAATTATAGTCAGTACTGCATATAATGTTTTACGAATAATTAGACAAAAAAAATAAAGTTAATTTTTTACGAAGGTCCACCTCAGTAACATTAAAGTTAGAAAAACGTTGATGAAAAAATGTTTGATCAACGAAATTAAATAGATCATAACGTTGAAAACTTACAACGTGATATATAGATGTAAACTTATGCAATATTGATGATTCAAGTTGGTTATCCCCAACTTTTAAAAAGTTGCCTTGATCTAAATTTTAGATCTTTGTAGATCAATATTTAAAAAATATTTGAGGCAACAAAAATGAAACAATATGTAAATAATTAATGAAGAATAAAATAAGAATAAAGAGGCACATTAAAAGGTTTATCAACATAAGAGGATCACTACAGAACATGTGCGTGCTCCACCGAAAAGAAATATAGTGATCATCGACATTAAAACACGATGATTATTGACTGTAAATCATCTTGATCAAAATTTTCTATTGTTTCAATCATTTACGTACTTATAATAATTGAAGAGGTGATTTATGACGTAAATTGTTTCATTATTATATTTCGAGTCAAGAAAAGGTTAAGTTCCAAATCAGAATAATAAAGAAATCCCATTAGATGATCATTCATTAAGAAAAATTAATCTACGTAAATCGGAATTGATCCTGAAACGAGTATGAAATATAAAATATGAAATATAATATTATTTTAAACCCACTAGAAATAATACTTTTATGCAAGTTTATGTCTATCAGGTCTTTCAATAAGTTTGACCTTTCTTATTTGAAATATTATAAATCTATTTTTTGCGCAAATACATCATATGATCATTAAGTGAAATATAATATATCAAGGCAACTATTTAAACTGTGGATTGTAGTATTGTACGTTGTATAATAATTCCGATTTCAATAACTAAGAACTACGTAAAAGTTGATTTTAGTTTAGTTTTGCGTTTTCATATTTTTACTGGTTGTTACAATGTTTGCATCCAAATTTTTAAACAGCTATTAATATTTAAGAAAAACATCAGCATTGGCAAATCTTCTTGAAAATTGAAAAAATTGTTGGGTGAATGACAATTCTGCTCTCCTCTCCTTGGTAATCGCCTTATTTGATTAGGCCAAGAACCCCAAGAGCCTTAAAAAGAGCCTTGACAAGAGTCTTTGTTAAATTATACCATAAATCAAGATCATGATACAAAGAGTGATATTAATTCCTCTTTGACAGGTCTTTGAAAATAACATGTATGCTCAGAAGTTGACTAAGTTTTGTATCTTGATCACTAGCCTATACGAAAATAATAAGGTCGAGGAAGTTAAAATTAACAATCAAATGATAAGTTTTAATCAATTTTATAACCGACTTTACTAACTGCGAAATTTTATATAGAAAATAAGGTTTGATAACAGAAAATCTAGTGTTGATCTACGGCTCAAAAGAATTTACTTACTTTGGGAGAAGAAAAGAACATTTAAAAATTTGGAAACAATAAGAATTTCGAAAATTACTGTTTTTCGAGAATAAAATAATAAAGACAACTAATTTTTACGAGGAGTCAATTTATCAATAATTTCGTAATTTTAACTTTAATTGTTCGGTCAGAATCAATAATTTTTACTATCTCTATTATTGTTGTTGTTATAATGAAGATCTAGATCCTCCAAAATTTATAGTACGAATTACTTTTTGTTGATCGCGTTATTACGTTTTCTGGAAAATTAATTAAAAAGATCAGCACCTATTTTTTCAACTTTTAATTATGTGTTGTAAAATATTGAACAAAACTTAATACAAACGGCGGTAATCCTTCTTTCGGACTTCTTAAATCTGAGCCATAGATCAAAATTTTTGATCTGTTAAAAAAGTAATTTGAAGTAAACATGATTTGATAAAGTAATTGAAAAACTAAACTAAAAAGTAAACAAAAATCTAATTGAAATATATAAGTTTGTCTAAATTAGGTTAAATCATTTAAGACATCAAGCACAGACAAGACGTGTTTTGAAGACGTGGGTAGGTTATTTATAGGAGTTGAGATTATAACCAATATGTATTTATAGTATGGATAATTAATAATCCGAGAAAAAAAGTAATAAATGTTAAATAAATTTAAAGTTGGATCAAAAGATTTGCGAATATTGCAGATCTTTTTTACAATTAATAACTTGATGATAAATATTACACAGTTAATGTTACACTAAATTATCGATATTCACAATCTAAAAATTGTAAAATAATTTGATTGACATATAATTAAGGTGATAAGTTGAGCATAATTATACTTTATTACATTAGATTGAAATAAAGCAATACATACAAAAAGTTATTAGATTATAGTATAATGTCAAATTCAATATATGTTGACGTAACTAAGAAACTTAATTAGCCAGTTATGTTATTAATTTATTAGCTAGTTGTTAAAAATTGATTAACATAATTAATTGTTTTACTTCTTAATTAAGTTAAATTAAAAACATGGAATTAATTTAAATAATTTGTAATAAATCAAAAAATGATTAAATTTAAAATTAAATTTGAATTATAAAAAAGTAGTGTTAATCTATACAATCCTGAAAAGAGAGACTTGTTAAAAATTAAATTATAAAAAAAAATTAAAAATTAAAATTAAAAAAAATTTAAGAAAATATACTTCTGCAGCATAATCATTATATACAGTACAATAATGCAGAATAATTATAAAAAAGTTACAAAACTAAAAGATAATAAAAAATAATAAAATAAAGTTTGTGTACATCTTATTATTTATTTTAAATAATAGTTTTGTGTAAAAAGTTTAAATTTCTATTTAATTTTTTTTTTTTATTTTTTTATTTTTGTATTTTTTAAAAAAAAAAAGTTAAGTAAAGTATAGAAAGAAAGAAAGAAATATATACATTAAATAAGAATAAATAATATTATACATAATTATTAATAAAATGAAATAATAATTTCCTATAATTATAAAATTTATCATTAAAATTTATATAAAAAGATTATCAAATATCTCCCTTTTCATAATTTTACAAGATTTTTTTAAAAGTTCATTTAATTTATAACTTAATATCATCAAAAGTATTTTATACTTCAATCAAACACATACAAAAACTTTATTATTATCTTAGAGTGTTAAATTTTACAATATATAAGAATTATATATATAAACTATATCAGGTCACGTATACATAAAATATAAATATTTACAACACATCAAAATTTATATCAGTGATACCCAACCTACATAATATTATATGATTAAAAATCACAATTATACAACACATACTCACAATAATATAATGAATTCATTACAAAATTCGCCTACTCAATCAACTACAGCCAAACCAAATTTACAATCATTACCATCTTTTAGTGAATTATTAACCTCAATACCTCCGTTACCTTTATTAACTCCGACTCAATCATCGTTTACACAATTTAAGTCAAGAAGTAATAGTAATTCTTCAACTACCTCATCTGTACCCATTAATTTTACAAGTCCTCCTCAACAACAATATTCTGTGGTATCTTCTCCTTATAATTATTATACACAACCTTCAGTTCATCATAGATTACCAACTCCTCCATTAAATAATAACAATAGCAGTAATAAAATCACAACAAGTTCCAACAATATCAAAACTCAATATGTTTCCTATCCTCAACAATTTGCAGCTCCACAACCCTTAACTTCAACATTTAGAAATCCCTCAACTATAGACCCAATAACTCCACTTTCTAATAATTTTGATCATAAAATACGATCATCTTCAACCGGTGATATTCCACATTCATCCCCACAATCATCAATAAAATCTATATCAACTACAACAACATCTGCCACTAGTACTACTCAAGCTTCACCAAATCTACAACAACACCACTACCAAGAAATCGTTTCACCAACTACTTCAAATTCTACTTCACCAAAATTATCAACCACAAGTTCGTTATCACCAAAAGATCCAAGAAGAAAACATGTATGTAAAGTATGTTCAAGATCATTTACAACCTCGGGTCATTTAGCAAGACATAATCGTATACATACTGGTGAAAGAAAACATGAATGTCCTTGGCCTTCTTGTGAAGCTCGTTTTGCAAGACAAGATAATTGTATGCAACATTATAAAACTCATACAAATGGTAAAAATAAAAGAAGTAGAATTTATAATAATTATAACTCACAATTGAATAAAGAAAATGGTAATGACAAAGTTACGGGTGGTGAATTATCTAATAGTGCTCAAATTCAACATCATCCACACCAACAACAACATTATCAACAAATTCCACCTCCTCCACAACATTATCAACAAATACCACCACCACCACCACAACCATACAATATGAGTTTTAGTAATCCTCATCATCACTATCCAGTTCAAATTTCATCACATTACGGCAAAAATTTTTAAGATTTTTGTTGGTCTGTGCCAATGCTTTTTTATGATTTGTTTTTTTGGTTCTTTTTAAATGGCTCTAAGTCATATAATGATATAATAATGGTATGAATTATACTATATCTTTGTTTGGGTTTTTTAAGTAATTTTTTTTTTAAAATATTTAAGTAATGTATTTAATTTATGTATTGAATTTTAATGTATTTTGAAATAATTTGAAGTAAGAAAGGTTAACATTTTAGCACCATTTTTAAAAAAGTCACTAGTTTCACTGATATGACGCGTAGAATTTGTTCTTCAGTTGAAACTAGCTAACTTACATTTCTGAGCCTCAAAAGATTTACTGGATTTTCTCAACTAAAAGTATCCCTAACTCGCCAAAAGTTGTATACATTAGCTCATAAAATCGATTTGTAAATAAGGTCAAAAAACAATTTCTGAACAATATGGTTATATCTTGAAAGATTGCTAATTTGATCGCAAAATTTTATCTATTCGATCAATTTGATTAGAAGGCGTTGGTAATGAGTAAATTGTTCTTCAAGATCCTTTTTTTCCTCTCTTTACTACTTACAATCTTCAAATTTTACTAATTCAGCTTATCTATGCTCATTTTAGTAATAAATTTTTAGATAAGTCTTATCGTATTACATTGATATTAAATTTTGGCCATTTTTGTCTAAATTTTTCATATCAAATCACTTATAGATTTAAAACAAAACACGTTTTGATAAGTAAACTCAACAAATTCATTAGTAAAACGAGATAAGTTAATCTAATCCATTCACCCCCTTTCTTTAGATTTCTTTCTACAAAAATAATAATTTTAAAATAATAATCGTTATTATAATTCTCATCCTTTTGTGCAGATGTATAAATTCAGTAACTACATTTCATAGCATGAAACTAAAAAATATTATATTTTAACAACTCAAAAATTCAAGGGCTTTTTCTGTCCAATCTTGAGATACGTTATATTTGTAATTACAATTAAGTACATAAATGTAGTTACATAGTAGTTATATGATGCAAGTCGTTTGAGATATCATGATAGATTTTGTCAAATTAAAAAATCGTGCGGTTTCAAGCCCAAAGAAGTTGAAAAACAAGGTAATGTGAATATAAGTACGACAAGAGTAATGATCAAAGTTCTTGACTTTGCATGTAAACTTATATTCAAAATTCTCATCGTTCAAACGGGGACAAAGTTGTGGTTGAAAACTAGTTATCAAACTCCATTCACCCTACCCCAAATATTTCACTAACAAGGGATTTATTATATTTGTATTTTGTGGTTAAATTCCTGATTGATTGATATTATTTTATCACTTGATCTCCTTTTTTTAAAGAATGGTAAATATTATTATAAATAAAAAATCTATGTTAGATAAGTATCAGAGTTTCTAAATTTTACATAAATTTGCGTTAATCTGCAGTATACATTTTTGAGTTAGTCGAGGGTGACACTATCCACGAGCAATAAAAAGACAACAATCAAAATGTAATTAGTCATTGATTAAAAGCAGATCTAGGTACTTGAATGTTTTGCAGTTGTTGTAGTATCTTTCTTATTATGCGGGTAGACCATGTCTCACCAATGTCTTGATTACGTCATATAAACCCATAATTGCAACAAAAATCGGAATTATTATAAGTATATCCACCAAGAAAAAATTGAAAATCGATGAAATCTATAGCAAATTAATTCGTCTAAGATCTTAAAGTGTTTAAAGTGTGAGGAAAGATAAGTAATTAGAGTTTAAGTTATCTTTAAATTTTGTTTATGTGTTGGTGAAGTTAGGTAATTTTTTTATCTGCAATTTTCACCTCCGCTGCTTAATCTTCAAAAAATGTCACAATTACTTCTTTTTTAATTTCAGAAACAATCCATATATATTTAAAGGACAAATTTTACCTGGTTCAAAAATTCAAGGGATGTCAAGAAAATTTAGATCTCTTTTATGCAAATTGTAAATGACTCGTAGTTGTTCTACGTCATACTTATTCCAACAATAGAGATCTCTAATTGTGGAGAGAATACTAACTAGATGCTTCTCCAAAAACTACAATTTGTGACTCAAATTTGAATTTTTAGCTTTTAATCAATACTTATTATCAATAGCTAGTTACTGCGAACCTTGCCAGCTTGATTTTCTTACGTTTGTTAGTTTATAAGCTTTTGGAGTTTGAATTAGCTTTTATTTTTGAAAAAACGTATAAACAAAAGTTAATTTCTCACAAACGTCAGGGGACAAAGAGACAACATAAAATAGTAATGTAACGCCTACTCATCGAATCTATGGTGTATTTAATACATCTTATTTCCCCCTAATATTTTGTACTTGATAATACTGTATGTAAATCAAACAAGTAAATTTTGACAAGCAAACCGCTACCAAAAGAATCCTGATTTCAAAAGTTATATCAATTTGCGTCAAATTACATACAATTATAATAATTAAAGAAAGGGTACTTAAATTTTAATAGTTTAAAGTTTATTTTCCAATTATAATATTTCTCGAAACAATAACAAAATAGCAAGTCATATGATTGGAAAGATAAACAACTGTCATATTATAACATTTTTAAAGAGGTCAGAAAACCTTATCTTGAATTTCAATGTGACATAATTGCACTTTTTCTTATACCTTTCATATGTTTCTTGATATTGTAATTGACTAGACGTACAAATCTGCAACTTTTATTTTTCAGTCCTTAACCTAACAACTTAGGTTTGAGAGTTCTGAACGGTATTTTAAAATTTGTCGTCTTCCACTAATACGCGAAACTTTAGTTGGATCAAGAAGTCATACGATAGGTCATAAAATTTACTCGTGACACTGGAGTTGAGTACAAGCTGAAATATATCAATAGATCAGTAAAATACCCAAGTTTTTATAGTGATTGCATAACTATCTCAATATTTACAACTTAAGTTTATGTAGAACTAGGAACTTTTTAAACTTTAGTTAACTATACATTTACGATATACATTTAGTTAAAAAATATATCAATTTACCTTTACGATTAGTGATATATTATTTTTGGTGATTTTAAAGTTTCAAGATCAGATGTTTTTTATTGATAATTAGAAAGTAGTACTTTTTTTGACGTTTTTAAATTTAAAATTAATAAATTTGTGTTGTAGTATTATAAATAAAGTTTTAAGGTTATATAATTAGAATTTGGGGGTTTAATTTAAGGGATTCTATTAGTTTAAGATAGAACTTACAAGAATATCGGAGAATTGGCTCTATTTTAGACAAAAACTATTGAAAGCATAAATTCTAACACTTTTTGTAGGACTTAGTGTAGAAATTGTTTCAAATCAGGAGCTTTATGCAAAAGAGTGAATTTCTGAAAGATTAGATTTCTGTTACATTGATAATTTTAAATAAACCCTAACCAGTAGAAAAATAGACTTAAGGTTTCTGAATACATTTCTTGGATATTAAGGTTTATGAAGAAATAGTTACCAGAACTGATGATAAGAATTTTATAAAATAAGGATACAAGCCCATCAAACAAGCTTATTAGCTGGTTAGGTAAAAACAAGACAAAATTATGAAAAAAGATTGTTAATTTTTCAACCCACAAAATTTAAAATTAATTCGATATTAAAATTTATACTTTTACAACGTATCATCTTGACTATATTCAATCACCAGAAATTTTAGTTTCAGTTTTGAAGATAACAATACTTTAATTTGGACAACGTGCTCTCTTCGTCTTGATTTAAACGATTAGTGTTTTTCTTAATGGTTTGACTCTAGAAAAGTAGGACATGAAACTAGAGTTTCCAAAGTACTCAAAGAAACAGTTCAGGACCAAATTTGTTCAGATGTTTTCTTCAGAAGCAATACCAAAACACCCAAAGGGGTGGCTGATAAATTACTCAAATTGACTTGCTTTTCGGTGGTGGAAAATTGCCTTTATAGCTAATAGAAGATTCATAAAAAAGCACAAAAACATTTCGCATCGAACCGAATTGTTTCAAAATTTTAGCAGTAATTGAAAAATCGTTTGATTATACAAAATTTTACAACCATTAAATTGGCATACTTAATTTTATAATATCAAAGAACATTTGAATAGAGTTAACTTTGTTCTAAAGGTCATTGTAAGTTCAGGGAGTTTTAATTAGAAAATATATATTTTTTATATAAATACACTTTAACGCGTCAAGCTTTGGTTATACAGGTCCTTCTACTCTCTAGTTGATAGAAATCCTAGAGAATGATTGACTTTTATACAAAGACGTAACAATTTTATACTCTTTTTTCTATAATAGTAGAAGAAGGACGTACTCTGTTAAAACCTTTAATTTGATTGTTAGTAATATGAGGGTTCTAGTCACATGATTCTCAATCATGTGTTGACTTTGGAATTGGAATTGAGTCTAAGAGTTATGTACAAACTTCAAATGCAACCCCATATATCCGAGGCTCAAGAGTTCATATTAGATTAAGGTTAAATAATAAATTAAGGCAAACATCAGTTAAATAATAAATTAAGGCAAACATCAGTTAAATAATAAAGTAAGGCAAACATCACAGGTAAGTAATAATAATATTATAAGAGAGTTGGTATCCAGAATAAGTAAAATAGAAATATGAAACAAGGTTACATTCAAAAGCTTAAGTTGTCAATATCCAAATGGAGTAATTAATAATGAGTTGTTCACTTTTAATAATCATATGATATCTTGTCTTAATGCTAAGGATTATGGAAGTAAGGATTGTGCCGCCTTTGAGTTTAAGAATTTGAATAATATATAAGGAGGATGAAATCCCCTTGAATATGAATTCCAGATTATATAGTACAATATAGAATATCACTCATAAATATATATCACATATATATAACCTTCTAATATTGGTCATCTAAGGTCATACTTCTAATATTGATACAAAACCAAAGTTTGGCTAACATGCAACTGAACAAGGTTCATCTTATACTATGGGCATTTGTGCAAGTTTTCAAGGGTAATTCATATTGAAAAAACCCTATAATTTCAAGAAAATGACTCTTGTTCAAGTTGTTCGTTGAACTGCTGGTTAAATAAAACAACAAAGTCACAATTATTGTGGATCGTGTTGGTGTTGCATTAACTCAGGCTTGAATCCAAGTTTCTTCAACTCAACTTATCTGAAATCATTTTAGAGTAAAATGAAAAATCTTCTAGAACTTTTCAGAATGAATTTCACTTCTAACCATTTATTGCGTTTAATTCAAAAATGTAGAAGTCGCATATGCAAAGCATAGATTATACATTTGGACCAAAAGTAAAAAATTTGTAAATTAAAAACCTGCATAAATATTTCATGCGAAATGAACTCCAAAAACTTTATTTGATCTTTTTTGTTGATGAATTAACATGCGCTAACCATTACCAATTTGAGTAGTTATGTAACAAACGAAAAATTACGAGTGTTTTTCTTCAAAGCCTTTACCTTATCATATGTAATGTAAATTTTTTTTTGAGCTTTTGGGATTTTTCTCAGTGACTATACTTTTATGTGATATACACGTTTTTTAAATGTATCAACTTCACTTTGCAACTGTTTTATCTTTTTTTTTTTTTCCTAGAATCAACATTTATTCTAAATATAAAATTATCTTACTCTTGACGTTTGTTTAGTTTCTATTGTCGATCAGAATGAAACATCAAGAACTCGACAAAGAAAATGCATTAAATAAAAAAATTGAGGGGATTGAAACTTTAAAACAAAGACTACTCAAAATTATTTTTCTGAAACTTCAATAACGAAGTAAATAAGAAAAACAAGCTCACTGATGGTTGAAAGTTTTTTATCAATTTTGTAAGAAATGCTGAAACTGTTTAGTGGTAATATATGTGGGGGCAACTATAAATAGTAAAAGGAGCCTAAATGTTCATATTATTGAAAAGTTAAATTTGGAAAGTGGCTTCATTTAAAACTTGGATTCGTTTCGTATTATAGATAAGTTAATCTCCAAGTTGTTCAGTAAGTGTTTAATTTATTTCTTGTATAAAAATAAAGTCAGTGAAAAAGAAACTATTTGATTAAGATATAAAGTTATGAACTTTAAACCTTAAATTCAATAATTTTGTAGATCCTTTCGTTTTATATCTTATTTCTCTTTCTAGAAATCTTGGTTTTGGTTTGAAAGGTCTTAATTTTAAGTTTTTTCCTCTTTTATAGCAGTTTCGAAATTTTTTTAAAATGGTTTGTGGAACACAACGAGTACGTTTTCATCATTGCATTATGGTTTATTGTAAAACAGTTTTAGAAACTTTAAAGATTAACGGTAGGTAAAGTGTAACCGATAAATTTATCGAAAAGCCCCATTTTACATGTTTTGCGGGCTTTAATCTTTCTTCTAGTGAAAGATGGCTATTAGCTGGTTAATTTTTGGTTATAATTTCTGAAACAGCGTTCCATCCGTAGTTTTCATGTTCTATTTAATGAAAGACTAAAATTCTGTAGGATTTCAAGTTTTGCCTCAAAACTGATGTAAGTTAAATGGTTATGTATGAATGCCAAATGAGAATGGATTCGATATTTGAACAATCCCCCAAATTTTTTTTATCAGGACAAAATTATTCACCTTTTGAGCATAGTTATTGACATGAATTTTAACACAAAGGACACTTTTAATAGGTAGAAGCTTCTTCTGTCATCATTCTTTTATCGAGAAAACAATAGTGCTTTGTTCAATCCAAAATATTGCAAATCATTCGATGAATCACAAAACCAACCTGAAATTTGAGGTTAAACCAAACTAAATTGGATAACGAAATGTTCAATTAGAGCTTGCATAAGTAAAGTAGATTTCTTCTGGCATATGAGCTAATCTGTGCATCTAGAACATGCTTTGAGACTATTGTAAAATAGCCGTGCAAAAGGAAACTAAAAATTCGTTGGCTAAAAATTTTACATGACTCAATTATTTTATAAATTACTGATGCTAAAAATAGATTACAAGCTCCTTTCTCTAGGCTATTGTTTTGGCATATATGACCATCAAAATTGTAATCAATAAAATCTAAAAAACTCTAATTAATAATAAAGGGTACAAAATAGTTTGTAACAATAAATGATTACACATGTTTAAAAGAAGGAAAAACTTTCGACAATAATGGTTTTGAGTCTTTGTTTGGTTATCGAAGAATGAAAATTTAGACATTTTTAGTACCCTAATTGAAAATTTAAACGAGCAAAGGGCTAATAACATGAAATTTCGTCTATCAAGATCACTAAAAAGGAAAAGAAATTTTACTTCATTTTAATATAACTATTTGAAATAATATGTCAATTATTCTCTAAAATTATACTTTCTACCTGCATAAAATAATTTATACTTTCTTAACAGTCATATACGACCAAACTTAAAAAAGGGTCTAAAATATAAATGAAGTAGAGGAAGAAGACAGATGTAAAAAAAAAGTCTTCGAGCTGACCTATAGACCCAGAATGGTTTAAATGATTGGCAAGTTTTTCTCCACGTAAAGGGTTATGATTAAAATTAAACCCAACAGTAACTACATGTGAATAAAATATCAATTAATTCATAAATAATTAAAATTTCATGTTACAAATTTGTTGTTGATTTAGTTTTACAAACTAAAAATCATCAAAATTTAACAATAAAAAATTTCTATTGTTTGGCTAGTCCTAGAGAAGGATTTTTTCGGTTCAATTTCAACGTTGATCATTCGTATTAAAAAAGTTTAATTTTCGATGACTATCAAATTTATTTTACTTCTAGTTTGGGTAAATTGTGTTGGTAAGAAGATCAAATTCTGGATAAATATTTTTCAGGAAACAATTCTAGAAAAAAAAGTTTTCGAAAGTAAAAGCAAAAATCACAAAATAGATAAAAAGAAATAGAATTTGCAATAAATGGATCAGATTTGCATAAGTAGAATACACTCTCAATAAAGCGCAGTAATTTTAAATATTCTTAATTATATACATTTTCATAAAAATGAGTTCCATTAATTTCATTACCAAAATTGTAAACAAATCCATTCATAATAATTTTTTTTAAGTTAAATTTACTTGAAAAATTTAAATCACCACCATCTTTTAAATCTAAATCTAAGACTTCATCAATTCTTGCTTCTGCGTTACCTCTATTAAGATTTAAAACTTCTTGAACTAAATTATTTATATAATGACTAATTGATAATGGAATGAACTGATATATTGATTTATTAAATTCACAATGTTTTGATGCTTCTTCTATTGTGTCTTCATCTTCATATTCTCCATAATCTATTGTTTGTTTACTAAGACATTTCAAATCTTTTGAATGGGGGATCGTGTGAAAATCCCATAACTTGTTAAACAAAGGAAACGATAATTGATCTAATTGAGTTTGTGGGTATTGTAGTTGTCTTTGGTTTAGCTCGTAACCAATAAAAGACATTAAATGAGAAACATTTATATCTTTAAATTTACCACTTTTTTTGGAATAATATTTATGATGAAATAAAAAATTATCCAATTTTTCGAGGTGAATGTTACAATATTTACATTTACATCCATTCCATAATATAGTATTCATAGATTGTTCATAACATGCAAAAGTTTGAAATAAATTAGGTAAGTTTAATATAAAATTTGGACTTGTTGAATTCATTATAATCTTGGGCAAAAGAACCATATAAATTTCATACCTTCTATGATAATTACCTTCCATTCCATCTGAAAAATTTCCAAATTGCGGTGTGTTGTGTTTTATCGATAAGTATGATAAATTTGAAATATTACTCAAGATGAAGTTGAAAATATTTAAATCAAATGATTCATTTGATGCATGTGTTGGAAATGTTGTACCTTGTATAATTGATAGTTTTTTAAGATTTGGTAAATGTGGAGGTATTGAATCTAAACAGTCTAAAACAAAATTTTCATCAGTTTCGGAATAGGGTACAATTATTTCTAACTCTTTGATGGTTAGCCAATTAATTCGAGATATTAAGTCATTTGATTTTTGTAAACTTGTTGGATGAAACACCAATCTGAACTTGCAAAGGTGTTTTAAGAAATGTTTTGGTTTGATGACATTTTCCTCATACCAATTATAGTAGTCGATTGGGTCTTCTTTGGCAATAATTAAACTATTTATATGAATTAAATATGATAGACTCAACGTTTCATTTTCCCCTACTATCAACTCTTCTACTGTTTGTAAAACTTCTGTTTTTTTATCAACTATAACTGATTTCAATTGTAGATGTGATAAATCTAAATCTAATCTAACTTCTTTATTTAGTATATGACAAACATTTAAAGTGCTAAATAAATTGATTAATTCTTGTAAATTCTTTCGTATCTCTTCGTTAAATGCCCCCATTATATAAATCTCTTTAACATAGCCAATTAATTCCACATTGATCCTTAAAGCTTGTATCAACACCAATATTCTTGCATTTATCATTTTTAAATTTAATTTTTCATCTTTTGCACTTTTTAAAAATCCATATATTACTGTCTTATTACTACTTTGGAAATCAATTTCTCTTTTTGATGAGCTAATAAGTAGTGCAACTTCTGATATTAGAATCTTTGAATATAATTTTTTCAAACATGGTTGATAAAATTCATAATTCGTTTGTGATAAATTGATCAATGATTGTTGTGGTAAATAGGATATGATTTTAGTTTTAATTGAATCAGGTAATGTTATAAAATTTAGTTTTGTAGCCATATTTGTTTATTAATGATTGAAACAATTAAGTTAACCTTATACAACTTTCATTTGCTAATTGATGTTTCATGAAACTTGTTGCAATTCCCCAACAAATCATGTGTAGATTTTTTAGATTATATTTAATTACTTTTCCACTTTGGGTAATTATTGTTGCAATGTACACTACTCAAATACCATCTTACAATTAATTGTTTCAAGTTAATTGCAACTGCCAATACTTCAAGTGCGGAACATTAGTCTTCAAGAACCTTAATCCATGACAAAAAAAGACTACTAATAGCTTCTTTCGAGCTTTGATGCAAATTTGTTAATATTTTAATGCCTCAAATGATTTCCAGATACCTAGTTAAAGATGAAATGAACTTATACGATAGAGAAGTATTACACCTGTTCATGACTCTTCCTATGAAGAGTCAAGTCAAAGTTAAAGATCATCTGTCTTTGGCTTTCTCAATTTACATACTACTTTCAGTCTCTTTCTATGCTGGAATAACAAGGGATTTACATAAAGCATAAAATTAATGGCCTAATTTAAAAAATCCGATACATAAAAAAAGTGCTGTATGTATTTGTTGCATAAATTTTATTTTTAACAAATTGCTGTATTATCAGAACTTTTAGTAATAGATCATGCATTAAGTCCGATATTTAGATCAAGATTCTCAGACTGTAAGAACGATTGAGAAACTAAACTAAAAATTAATGCAATCGACGTAACGTTGAGGGTTCGTTCAATGAAGTGAATTTATCTATTATTCTAAAATCAAATAATAGAACAATATCACTACACCATGCAGTCTAAAATGGTTTGAATCAAGATAATTTTGGTTGGTGAAAAATAACCCCCTTTATCAAATAAGAATAATTTTAAGGGGAAACTCAAATGTATCAAAAGAAATTTTAAGGTACTTTACTTTACATAATACAAAATTTTTAATTTGATATCAGGAAATAATAATTAAACTTGATCAACCAACCGGTTTAATTAAATATTATTTCAAAAGATTTGTACAATTTCTTTTATGCCATAAGTTCTTGTAACTTTTTAAATTTGATCTAGTATAGCAAGGTAATTTCAACATAATTTCTTTTCAAGGTTATACATGCGTTACTTGACGGAAGAACTTTATGGAAAGAATTATCGAGTGGCAAAGCAAGAATTAGCTTGTATTGCATCAACTCATGATAAAAATCATTTATGTTTGCAGGGTCGGATAAAATATTTCAAGTAATTTGAAATTATGCGTTGTTCCACCAATATGCAATGATCTACAAGCGTCTAACTTTTACCTCTTTATACCGAGAAAATTTGATTTAAAGCCCTGTAAAAATTTTTAAATTTATTGACGAACTTCTTTCTGACTATTAAAAAAATTTTACAAACTTCTCATGGTAGTATATGAAGTCTTCAAATTGCAAAAATACCGAACGCTTTGATGGCTCGTGAAAAATACCGTCAAATTTGAACAAAAAGCATAGATTTTTGTAATATTTCACAAAGAAGAACAAATCATTAAAGATATTACTATCATCTTCGTCAAAAAATTTTAAGATGATCAATATATTTGTATGATATAAATTGTAAATCATTTTTTGACAATGCAGATCAATTTTTAGCTATTTTAGTTTTAAAGGGTTTCTCATAGTAATACCCCACTAAAAAAAAAATATTTATGACAAAATAATATATCATACATGAAAAAAAAAAGATTTACAACTTTAATACAAATGCAGCTCATATATGAATAATTGAATAGATTTACTATAGCAAAAAAATTAAAATGATCATTTATTTTAAATCAAGTAGATTAGCTGAATTGATTGTAAGTACTCTGAAAAAAATTAAACAACTCTAGGAGGAAAAATTATGCGTATAAATTTTAGTATTGATTCAAATATTTGATCATTTGAAACGTTTGAGTAACATCAAAAATGCACAAATAAATTTTTATACACTTTTGACTTTTGAAACTGAGAGATTGTTTCCTTATCTTTATGCCATAAAGCAAGTAAAACTTCAATTTTGTAAATCTAAACTGCTAAAGATTATCAATTTTAAAGTAGCAAAAACTGACCAGAATTTTTGAAAAAAGATTTATTTAAAAATGCAAATCATTTACTATCAGAAAATGACGTTTATCGTTAAGTCAGGTACGTACTATACTGAACATTTTAGCTGACGATTTTGATAAAAATCTCTGTTAAATTTGCTTTCATGAGATTTCTTTTCATAATAAAAGTGTAAATCAAATGTTTGGGTAGGTTAGTGCATATAAATAATAAAAAATGTAGGGTTCATTTGCTAAACGGTTTCAGGATCTACGGTTTTTGTCAAATGTATTATTGAACCTTTTTTTTTTTTTGCAGCTAAATATAAATTTTGATTTTAGAGGTGTGACTGTCAAGTCTTTCAATTTTGGAAAAGATCATAGGAAGTATTTGATTACACTGACACATAAAAAGGTAGCTATATACATAGTAAATGTTGTTATTAATTTAAGTAATGCAAGTTTACTTACTATGTATTGTCCAAATTATTGAATTGTGACATTGAAATTATTGACATCGACCAATATATATATTTAAGATTATTGATATTACATTTATGTATGTTTAAGAGACAACAACCTATATATTGAATTAAAGTATTATTATATATATTAGGTAATTGATTATTAATTACTAATTATATATTTATTGATTGTTATATTTGGATTGTATGTTTTGATAATCTATGTATTGAGATTAGACTATTACATAATCATTTTGAATTTAGTTTATATTGTGAAGTAGAAATAAATTCATCTTATCTTTGATTTGAAAGATAAGCAATGTTGAATTTATAATTGTTATTGATTAGAGTTTTCTAAGTTTGCTATTGATAATTTAATTGATATATATATAAGAGTATTTTATAAGTTTATGTTTTGAGAAAAGGATTTGAGAAGGATTAACGATTATATAGTTTATAATAGACAGTATGCCACCAAGAGCTAGACCTGTAACTAGTACACCTGATTTGAGCGGAATTGAACAATATCAGTAAAAACCTGTTATTCGCTCTAAATTAGTCTTTTAGACAGCCCTTGCAATCGATTGTGGTTTGTATTGCAAAAAATTTAAAAAGCCAGTTACTTTTTTCCTCGTATATAGTACAGACTCTCAAATTTTAACATTTACAGGTGTATCCCTTTTTTTTAGAATTTATTCTCAAAATTTGGAAGGCTAAAAATCTTAAATTTGAGAAGTACTTATCTGAAGTTTAAATTATTTATGTATGATTTTAGGGATAATTTAACATAGGCAATTTTTTTTAAACGGTGATGATTTTTGGTTAAACTTCACAATTTCAAAACACAAATCAAATTATTGGGCCGCCGTTAACCTTCTTCAACCTCCAGAAACAACAGCCCTGTTCTAGATCTCACGATGATGCACTTATATTATAAACGCCAAAGAGTTGTAATTGACTGTCACATTAAATGATTACTAATATCTGTAGTATGAGTTGATTTTAGCTCAACAGCTGGCATTTCACTATTTTTTATGTACTTTTCTTTTCTTTTAATCTAATAGTCATAAGAATCAAATTAGTACATTTAGGTTGCGATCATCATCTACCTCAACTTTAAATTAGCTCTAGCTTAATGATATAAACACAAATTTCAATTGTATACTTGAAATTTAGTATTAATTTATTTGAAACGAAAAAAAATGAAACGTCAACCGATAATTTCAATCGGTTATATAATTTCAATAAAACCTTAAAACCTTTTAGTAATGTTAATTTAACACATGCTACTTATTATTGTTTATTAAGGGATTACTTCTAAACGGGTTTATTCAAAGTATTTAAAACCGTTCCCTTCTTATATTCAACAAATTGGTTTACTTTTATACACAATAAGTTTACTATTAAATCTTTGATCACATTACAAATGAATACTAACATAAGTATATATCTGAAAAAGTTTTTTGACCGGTTAAGATTCGCAAAGATTTTCTAGGGGTTGTAATAAAAATTTACCCGCTATAACCGGTCGTCAAAAGAAGCTAATTGATCTTTCCATAAGTTTTTAAAGATTTGTATGCATTTCTTCTTGAAATATAGAATGGAAAATATTACCGTTCCTTGAATTTTGAGTTTATAGATTTATTAATATGAACAGTATTTACATGCATATCTCGGTATCGAGGGCCACGATCGGTGCCATAAAGATTCTGCTTGTATATGATCTTCATCCATAACTTGATCAGCATCAGTATTAAAGTTTTAGACTAAGACCCTTGTTCAACTTTAAGTTTTAAATTTGTAAAATTTTTTCAAAGTAATTAAGTCCGTGGTTATAACAGAAATAGGTCCGATCGTAAAATTTAAACGAAGAGTATTTGTCTTTATCTGACCTACAAAGACCACATTAAAAGATTTAATATTAAATTATTAAATCATTTAAACCAGTACAGTTTTTAGTCAAAAGTTAAGTTAACCTTTTCTGACCTTACCAAAAAACTTAAAAATAAAAATTGTAACACAAAAACAATATACTTTTTTGTACAAAATTAATCTAACGAAGTCTAATCAAAAAAGATAATGACAATATATATTACTATGTTCGCAGCTAAAGTCAAGGGCGAAATGAACTCATTGCCGTAATGATCAATAAGGCGAAGCTCAAACCAAAGCTTTAACAAGGATTGTTTTGAAATAAAGTGGAAAATTGTTTCATTTATGGTTTTAGTGGTACAAATTAAACTTTAATTGTCTGTAATTTTGAGGCCGACTAACTTCAACCATTTTATAATACTGATTGTTTTTGGAGTTAAATCCGTGAAAGATACTAAAGTTGAAATTGAATTGTTTCGAGTTAGTGTTGTCTTTACATTCTGAACAGTTGATAATTTCGAAAAATATCTCATTTTGTATATGTTAAATATTAATCTTGTGTAAACTTGATTACCTTTGGTCGGACATAAGCTTCATACTAAACGTACTTCAATATTTATAGGTAGAAGAAGTCTAAAATTTTAAACAATTAAAATTTGGAACCTTACAAGGTTCAGCCTTGCGGTTTCAATTTTTCAAAAGGAATCTATTTTTAATTATAGTTTTTAATTATTTTCAAAAATCTTTAACTTGATTCAAGTCGATCTCAGATGGTTAGTAAAATTGGGATATAATCTCAGTGTCTTTTCTTCAGATTTGCTCTTCTAAGTGGTCAACTTTTATCACAACAAGTAGGAGCATAAAAATGATGAAAAATCCTGAAATAAATAATCATAAAAATTACAACCGACAATTTTTACTGATACAATTAATTTGTTTGCAAATAAGCGGTTCCAAATTTAACCAGTTGTTTAACTAAATATACTAGGTCATAAGCATAGGAATGATGAATCGTTCTACTCAAAGTAAATTTATTTTTTTAATTAAACGTAGATAAAAGATTTAACTTCTAGTTTCAAGTTTTGTAGTACAAAAACTAAAAAAATTTATTATTTATTTATTTTAATTACCGAAGTAGCAACAAATTTTTAAATTCTATGCATATTACTTTTAAAAATTAAAATAAACAAAAACTCTAAGATGTTCAAGATTTAATTTTTTTCGATTTGTTACTTATAGATTGAACGTTCTTCCTTCTGACTACTTCATATCATCGTTTTCCCACTCACTTCCTTATAATTAGATTATTGAAAACAATTTACATTTAATTCATCATAATTAATTTTGCTACTTTTTTCCAAGCGTGCGCACAAAATTATTTGAAGTTAATTTTTCATGTCTGGAGTTTACAAACCTGAAGAAGAATCTTCATCATCACTGAGGGACAATACAAATAAGGAGAGTAATATAAATAATGATACCATTAATGGAGATGAACCGAGAATTTATTTGGGTCAAAATTATGATGAAGAAAAAAGTATAGGAACTGATGAATTGGATCCAAAACAATTAACTCCGAATAATATTAGACAAAACACAAATGCAACTGGGATAACAAGATATAATACTGCTAATGATGAAACATCCGTAATTGAATCAAGTATTAATTTATCAAGAAGACTTTCAAGAACTACTACAAATTATGATGAACTAATGAAAAAAGCAAGTAATTTATCATCACCTTTACCACCAATGGGTAATGGTAGACCATATCCAAAGCATCCAGGAAGTAGAGATCCATATGTTGTTCAATTCGATGGTGTTGATGATGAATATCATCCTTTTAATTGGCCATTACGTTCAAAAATTTTGTATACTGCAGTTGTTGGATTTAATGCTTTTTGTGTTTCACTTGGTTCTGCCATGTTTTCTGCTGCTGCTCCAGTTTTAATGGAAAAATATCATATTGGCTGGTCTGTAGCTGCTTTGACCACCACTTTATATGTTTTGGGGTTTGCTGCAGGTCCTATTATTTATGGTCCATTATCAGAATTATTTGGAAGAAAAATAATTATGATTCCAAGTATTCTTGGTTTTACTTTGTTTTCGTTTGCAGTTGCTACAGCTAAAGATATACAAACTATTATGATCTGTAGGTTCATGCAAGGATTTATGGGACTGGCGCCTCTTGTAGTTGCACCAGCTGTAATGGCCGACATGTTTGATAACAGATCTCGTGCTTCATGTATTGTTTTATTTGCAACATGTTTATTCGGTGCTCCAATGCTTGCTCCCATTTTAGGAGCTTTTACAGTCAAAAACAGCAGCCTAGGATGGCGATGGACATCATATTTTTTGGGAATTGTTGGTTCAGTATCATGTTTGTTTACTTGTTTCTTATTAGAAGAGACTCATCATCCAATTCTTTTGAAAAAAAGAGCAGAAGAATTAAGAAGAAGAACAGGGAATTGGGGGATCTATGCTCCACATGAGGAAATCAATTTAAGTATTCTGGAAATTGTTGAAAAAAATGTCACTAGACCATTAGTCATGTTATTTAGAGAACCCATCTTATTCTTAATAAGTGTATACAACTCATTTATTTATGGTATGCTTTATTTATTCTTGACTGCTGTTCCGTTAATCTTCAAATCAAAATATCATTGGAGAGATGGTGTTGCTGAGTTGCCATATATTTCCATGTTAATGGGTTGTCTTATTGGTGGTGCTATACTTATTCTTTTTGAAAAAAGAAACAACAGAAAAATGGATCGAAATGGTGGAAAACTGGTCCCAGAAGATAAACTTTACGGAATGATGTTGGGATCCGTTGTTTTTGTTATCGGGTTATTTTGGATGGGATGGACAGGAAATTATCATACTCATTGGCTTCTGCCCACATTTGCTGCTCTGTTTGTGGGCGCGGGCTTGATGTTAATTTTTCTTCCTTGTTTCAATTATATTATCGATTGTTATTTATTGTACGCTGCATCTGCTTTAGCTGGTAATACATTCATGCGTTCTGGATTTGGTGCTATATTTCCATTGTACGAACCTTTTTTATTATCAGATATATTGGTTTTTTGAATGGTTGATTTATTGATGAATATCAATGTTTTATCGATCTTTTTTTCATAATTGATTCTATTTGCAACTCAAATAGGTTCACGAAAAGGTTAGTTTGAGTCGATCATTGAAAAACAATTAATCTTGAAAAATTTTCCTTAATATGTTTTACTAACCAAATGTTTCTAGGTTCTCACTTCAAATGTTTCAAAACTTAGGAATTCAATGGGCTACTACTTTATTAGGATGTTTATCCGCTCTTATGATTCCAGTCCCATTTTTGTTTTTCTTTTATGGTAAAAAGATTAGAGCTAAATCTAAATTTGCTTTTGATTTGTCTTAGTGAAACTAAGGACAGTATAGGGTATAGACTTTTGTGTAGATTTCGAAAATATAGGTTAAAGGATGCGGATAAAGTTTCCTTTCATTATTCTTTAAATAATCTATTAATCAGCTCGTTGGAAAAAGTTAAACTTGCAGCCTATATCATGCTCATTGTCTAGTCTCATAGTTACATATTGTATTGTTCAATTTTATTCGTAAAGTACACTTTTCTGATTATCATAAAGTTGAGATTTTATTAATAACTTTTTGCACGAAACTGTTTGAAAAAACTTGAGACTATAAATGGTAGCAACAAAAATATGGTAGCGTTAAAAATAATTTCTAGTTGGAAAAACTTTAATCTGTGTTACCTATTCAAAAATGTTTTACAACCAATGCAACAAATAAGAACATTTACAACAACTCTAATACGACTAAAACCACCGTCCAACAAGCTTTCATCAACATCATCCACAAAGTACCTAGGACGACCATCAAATAACTTATCAGCGGGATTAGTCGGTCTAGCAAATGTTGGTAAATCGACATTTTTCCAATCAATAACAAAATCAAATTTAGGTAATCCAGCAAACTATCCATATGCAACAATAGAACCAACAAAATCAATTGTACAAGTACCACTGGAGAAATTAGCCCACTATCAAAAGATTTACAATTCACAAAAACAAGTTCCTACAAATTTAACAATATGGGATATTGCAGGATTAACTAGAAATTCAAGTTCTGGAGCTGGTTTGGGTAATAAATTTTTGAATGATATTAGACAAGTTGATGGGATATTGCAAATTGTTAGAGGATTTATAAATGATGAGATTATACACATTGAAGAAAATAAAGTAGATCCAATAAGAGATTTAGTTATTGTTAATGATGAATTGATTTTAAAAGATTTAGAATTCATTGAAATTGAGATGGAGAAATGTAAGAAAAATTTGAAAAAGCCAAATATGTCACATGAAGAAAAGAATTTGAAAATTCTCGAGAAATTAAGTGATTCATTATATGAAGGAGTTAAAATCATTAATGAAGAATGGAATGATGAAGAAATTGATTTTATAAATACTTTAAATTTATTAACTGCTAAACCATCAGTATACTTATTGAATGTATCCAGAGAGGATTATTTATCACAATCAAACCAATTCTGGGATGAAGTTCAAACTTGGATCAAAAAAAATTCTAAAAATGATAAATTAATAATGTTTAGTGCAGAATACGAGCATGATTTAATCGACCAAGAAGGCAATTCAATTATACCAGAAATTATACAAGAAATGAGAAACTTTTTGAGTCTAATTTCATTTTATACATGTGGAGATTTAGAAGCAAGACAATGGACTATTAGAAAAGGTAGTACAGCACCGGAAGCAGCAGGACTAATACATACAGACTTACAACAAACATTTATAAACTCAATAGTTTACAAATGGGATGACTTAAAATTCCCAGAAGTGTTCGATGAAGCCAAATTAAAATCTACAGGAAAACAACAAAAACATGGAAAAAAATACGTCGTGGAAGATGGTGATGTATTAGTTATAAAATCAGGAAAAGGTAAAGCTAGATAGACTTGTATATACTAATAAAGACCTTGATTTTGATCAATCAAAGTTCTTTCAAATTTTGTTGTAGTATCTTGTAATTTCAACAATAGACCAGCTGCTAGACTATTAACTTTTTGATCAATAATTGACTCCCACGATGAACTTAACCAATTTGAAAATAGTAGGATTTCATTGTTGTAATTAAGGACCAAGTATTCTACATCCAGTATGTCAAAAATCAACAAAATTCCCGTAATTAGACTTTCCACAACTTGAATTTCTTCTGTAGTCACCTTAGTGATAATTGAGCAGCTTAACAAAAGGTATTCTTTTATCATATCATTTAGCTGAGTAGATGATGGATAAGCAACATGTAAAATTAAGGTTAGTGTTTTCAAGTAGTGAGCAATAAATATCGTGGAGTAATGACCAATATCAACAGTCTCAGATTCATACCATACATTCAATAAAGGAAAATAAAAGTTTGAACCCACCAACTTGAAAAAATTAGATACCAATGGTTTTGTTTGTGGTTCATTGGCTTTCTGTAATGATTTTGATATCCTAACTAATTTACCTTTCCCCAAAATCTCATCCTGAGCTCTTTCGGAAGCTTGTTGCATCAAAGAATCTTGTAATTTGTTTTCAATTTGATTTACGTAGTTTCCTTCTAGTTGCATATACTTGTTATGTAAATTTGATGGTAATTTCTTAGTTGCAAAGTCCTTTGTGGTGTATGAATTGACAATTTTTTCATCTTTCAACCCCCGAAGTTCCCTAACTGCTAATGACGTTGCAGAAAGTATTACCATTCTTTGTTGTAATGAATAATCACCAGTCAATAGTAATTGAAATAAATAAAAAGTAACATTTGGATTTGTTACAATGACAGCCACTAAATTCAATAATTTCAATTCTTCAAAATCTTCTTCATTAAAAAAATTATCCAACGCAATTAAATTTGTAATTAATTCTTCTGAATAAAATTGTACTTCATTACCTTGTCTAAACTTTTGTCTTAATAATGTTGGCCCCTTAACTAAAGCTGATCTTCTCATTTCAAGAGCTTGTTGATTTTTTGTATCAACCGTTAAATAATCTAGTAAATCTTTTATATAAATTGGATCAGGAATTTTAACTTTTGATGGCACTAAATCATCATCATCTGAGTCTGAATCTTCTTGTATTATATTTTGAACAACTAGCTCTTTTGGTTTTGATTCTTCAAGTTTCGGTGAATTCAACAAACTCCATGCTTCTTCTTCAGACATTCTCTCAACCTGTTGTGGTTCAACAATCACATTAAAATCATCACCAATTTTAGTTGATTTGAAAATTTTCTCTTCACCGTTTAATTCACAAATATAATCAGCTAATATCACACCCAAGGATTTAACGTTATTTGAAAAAGATTGTAATCTATTACTAATAGCTTCTAAACAAACTTTATTCCTAGTTAACCCAAGGACAAAGTCTGATCCTCTTTGATAAGACAATAATTGTGCAATAAACAAAGTTCTTAATTCTTGGATTGTTATCGGTTCTGTTTTAATATATACTGGATCAGCCCACTTTTCTATTTGATTAAGTATTAGTGGCTCTGTATTTGAAGAATTTGTCAATATTAATGATATTAGTTGTAAAACATTTCTATTTGATGATTGAACACCAATTTCACATAGGTTATTATCAATATATACATATGAGAATCTAAGGATATTGTAAAGCGGAATAATGCTGCCTTCATTAACAATTGTTGTGATATAAATTGTATAAAACTTTTTGATAATCTCCTTCTTTTGAAACGATTTAAGCTGATTTAATGTGTTTAAAAAGTATTGCCAGTTTTGAGGTTGGAAGAAGTTCCTAAAAAATAGTACAAATGAATGTTTACTAAAACCCAAAATTGAATGAATGAAAATTTCTGGGACATTTGATACTTTATACAACCGCAATACAGAATTCACAAGATAAGTGATATATGCTTCTGTTGATTTTAAATTAGGATTCTCAATTTCCATTTGATTTGAGACTTGTACTTCATTAACAATTGCTAGTAGTTGACCTTTAAATATCAATTTATCAATTTCTCTTGTCTCTATTTGCTTTTTGGATGCTAACAAATTTGGTATTAATTCGTCATCAACAACATCTTGTAGTATATCAACAAAGAGTTTGAGTTCTTCTTTACTAGACGTATTCTTCAAAGTAGATACTTTACTTAATAAATTTCCAAACCCTATTAGTGATTGAAATTTAAGTTTTATTTGTTGTTTTAAGTCATTTGGTAATGATTGATAAATCTGAGGTATTGTAAAATTTAACAAAGCAGTAACCACTGGAAATGACACCTCATTCTTATCTAGCACTTCTTTTAATTGATCTATTGACGGACTATTTTTTAAAATTTCAACATCTTCATTATTCATTTGGTGTTTAAAAAAAAGTGTTGCAAATATTTTGTTTCTTCTAGAAATTCACGTCTTTTACTACAATATGATTAAAAGGTTCATGTCTGCACCATCTATACCGTCATGGCCAAATTATTCCAAGGCTAGGGTCAGCAAACGCACCAAGAGATCAAGTTCGGTACCAACGTTGTATCACGGCAATCATCCACCATATGAACCTATCACCACTAATATTGAAACTCCACCAGAATTACAAAACCTACAGCAAAGAGTTATACAAAGAGTACCCATACCCAGTAGTGAATACTTGAAAAGTTCTCATTTTAAATTTAAAGAAGGTTCAGAAGTCGCTTCCTTAGAGTTATTACAAAAAACAATGAACTATATAAATGATCCAAGTTTACCATTAGTTGCAATAGATTGTGAATCTTACGAGTTCGATCATGAAAAGATTACAGAGATAGGTATAGCAATCTTACAAAAATCAGATTCAGCGGTGCCACAGATTGACACGTTCCACATAATAATTGAAGAAAATATCCATAAAAGAAGTCATAAATATGTACCTGACCACAAGGACAAATATATGAATGGAACATCATTTATAATGAGTGAAGTAAATGCAGTAAAATTTGTAAATAAGGTATTTGACAAGTACTTATTTAATTTAAGTGGTGTAATGATCGGTCATTCAATAAGTTCAGAATATAAATATTTTAAAAAACTAGGTATAGATTTACCAAAAGATTTGAAAACTATTGATACTTTAAAATTACATGGAATAAGTAGGTCAAATGGTGGTTCATTATGGGGATGTTTAAGGTTATTGAATATACCATATAGTTTTTTACATAATGCTGCAAATGATGCTTATTATACTTTATTAGTTGCTTTGTCTTATAGTGATCCAAGTATTAGAATTTTGAAAAATTTGGATGTTTATGGTACTAGTCCATTTTTTGGTAAAAATTCATCAAAAGAAACCACAAATTTTGTAAAAGTTAATGATATAAATTTAATAGATATATAAATAGGGACAAATTGTACATAGTTGGATTAAAAGTTATTCAAATAGATAATTAAATTGCATGCAACCTGAATGATTATTTGAGATCAAATTTAATGAACCAATTTTAATTGTTCTTATTTATATATTGGTTGAATATGAAAAGACTATTAATGAATGGATTTAATGATGGAGTCATTAGTTTCAGTATTAATACTAATTTCAATTGTATTCGTGGATGATGATGATAATTTGATAATTCAGTTTTATTGTTCAACATTGAGCCACTTTAATCTTAATTACGCCTTTTTAAACAAGGAACAACGTTCAATTCATCATAATTTGTGAGTTCAATGTAGTTAGTTTCAAAGTTGTTAGTTTATTTTTTGTCATGTAATACTCAACTGAAACCATCAAACAGCTTCAAATATTTGGTATATAACAATCTAAAAATATTTTGACAGAGTGTGCGGCTTTTACTTGATTCGATTTTAGTTTTATTTTACGCGTTTAAAATTGATTTTACGATTTTAGTTTTTTTTTTAAGATCTGATTAGAGAATTAAATTTTTGTCCATTAAAAAGTTAAGATCTTGGACTTTTAGTCAAATATTATTTATAAGATAGATATTTCAACCAATGGCAAATCCAAGAAATTTATAAACTTTTCTATCGTTCAATCATTCTATTTAATACATCCTTTTTTTCATATAAAATAAATGAAATGTAATTTTACTTAAATTTTTTTCAATTTAAATCTTGTTTATTGATTTGCTTTTTTTTTTTTAGCTTCTTATCTTTTTAATTTAATTATAATTTTGGATCAAATTTTTTTACAACCAACAATACATCATCTTACCATAAGATGAGTCAAGACTATGATGAGTCTACTTCATTAGTATCATCAAGAAGACCATCTAATTACTTTTTAGATAATCCAATTGGTTCATTTAAAGGTCCTAATTCATTACATAATTTTGCATCTTCATTTACAAGAGCCCAATCATTTGCTGCTTCAAAAATAGATAATGATATTCATAAGAAACGATCATTCTTTGTAGATGGCGGGGCTTCACCCCAGCGAGACCATTTAGAAGATGAAACTTTTGATCCAGAATTAATGGTTCCTTCATATCGTGGAGAAAGACTAAGCACTGTTGTTCATGATTTACATTCAAGAAATCACTTATTTATGAATCCAATGAATGAATTAGATTCTACTTTGTCTTCCCCCAATAATGATGTTTTTTATCATGATGATGTTGTTAATGCTATAAATGATTCAAAATCAAGAAGAGGTTCAGAATATTTTGGTGGTGGTATTCCAATTGGTAGAAAAGTTCATCCTCAATTATCTTTTTCAAGTTTAAGAAGTTCTTTTTCCATTGCTCCAAGTGTTGTAACTTTGAAAAAAATAGAAGATGCAGATGGTAATATTGTTACTGTATTAGCTGGTCAATCTACTGCTCCACAAACTGTTTTTAATTCAGTAAATGTTTTGATAGGGGTTGGATTATTAGCATTACCTGTGGGATTAATGAAGGCAGGTTGGATTTTGGGTGTGCCAATATTAGTGGCATGTGGTATAACTACTTATTGGACCGCAACCTTACTTTCACAAGCTATGGATACTGATGATACAATAATGACCTACGCTGATTTGGGTTATGCAGCTTATGGATCAACTGCAAAATTAATTATTTCCTTGTTGTTTTCAATAGATTTAATTGGAGCTGGAGTTTCATTGATTATATTGTTCAGTGACTCATTCCTTGGAGTTGTTAGTGATGATGAGACAACTACCAAAATAATAACATTTTTCATATTAACACCTTTCACATTTATCCCATTACCTATATTGTCCATTATATCATTATTTGGTATATTATCAACCATCTCAATAACATTGATAGTACTACTTTGTGGGTTGCTCAAACGAACAGCTCCTGGTTCATTAATTGAAATAATGCCAACTAATTTATGGCCTTCCGATTTTTCAAGTTTGTTATTAGCCATTGGTATATTAATGGCACCATTTGGAGGTCATGCAATTTTTCCAAACTTAAAAAGTGATATGAGACACCCTTTCAAATTCACAAAATCATTAAAATATACATACTTGATAACTTTACTTACTGATTGTTCAATGGCGATAATTGGGTTTTTAATGTTTGGGTCAAAATGCAGTAATGAAATTACAAATACATTATTGGATACAGTTGGATATCCAAGTTGGTGTTACCCATTGGTTAAAGCATTGATTTGTATCATCCCATTAGCTAAAACACCATTAAATGCAAAACCTATAATATCATCATTGGACGTTTTGGTGGGAGTTGAAAATATATCAAAATCAAGGATCTTAAATTTTCTAAAGACAGCTGCAAAATTTATAATCAGAGTTGGAGTTAACTTGGTGTTTGTGGTATTAGCTATAGCATTTCCCGAATTTGAAAAGATTATAGGTATATTAGGAGCATCAATTTGTTTCATAATTTGTATCATTTTACCTTGCTTATTCTATGTTAAATTATGCAATCATCAAATTAGTGAAACTTACAAGTTATTTATATGGTTTGTTATAATTGTTTCATGTATATTGGCAGTACTGGCTTCATATGCTGTTATTATTTATTAAAGGTTAGAGTACATATTAGAAGTTATTAATGAATTTACGTTTTTTGCATTTTAAATCCTTGTCTTTTCAAAACAAAATGTAATAATTACTGTCGTCAAATTATATTGGACAAAATTGAACTAAAACATATGGGACATTCTGTTTGACTTGTCTCTTAATTATCTTGTTCCATTGTCTAACCAATACCAAATATAGAAAATCCAACAAGCAGCTACTAATTTTGACTTATCATAAATTATGATTTCAAGTAATGTAAATACCATGTATGAGTTTTGACATAACTAAATGATAGTATACTGTTGAATATCAAGGATATGTAAGTTCTGGATTCTTATCATCATTGAAAAAATCTATCATTCATTCGGAAACAACAACGGTTCAAATATCACCCGTGGATTTTATGATCATAAGTAGTTAAAACTTCTGAACCTCGATTTTTATTGTTGATGTTTTCCTTAATTCCTTCTTATGATGCAAAAAATTGACACATTAAGACTGATGAGGTGGTTGTGGTTGAAGTTAAATTGCGAATCTTAAGGTTGAAAATATAAATCTAGGGGTAATAGATCTATGTTTTTTCATCCATAGTCATACTATTTACAATTGTCAATTAGTTGTAATTCCATTCTCTTCAACTTCTTCATCTTCGTTTTCATCTTCATTATCCCCATTCAAATCAATACAAATCCAACTTGGCCAAGCAATTTCATCCCTCAAAATATTACGTAATTGTTCCATTAAAAATTTCTCAACTTTTCCTACATTTCTTAAAACGTTATTTTCAACTTCACCAATTTCACTTTCAATTCTAATTTTTTTAAGTATATCTATTCTTTCCTTATTGTTATTTTGATCGTTTACGAAATAATCAACGATATTTCCTCCCACGGGTGTTGAAACTGTTGGATGTGGTTCAAATTCATCATTTATGTCACATAAAAAGGAAAAAAACACTGAGTGTTTGAGGTAGGCTATTGTGGCTATTGAGTGGATGAATAAGTCTGTGACGTGGAGTTTTATTGGTAAAGAAATGAAATTGGGGGATGGATAATTCACTAACAATGTTACTAATAAATCGATATGTAAATCTCCTTTATATTTAATCTCTACTATTAGTTGTATATCATTTACATTCTTCTCCGATTGTTTTATTTGTTCTTGTTTTGTAGTGATTTTAGGAATGACTCTAGATGAAAAAATATTTTGATTTAAAATATGACTTGGAGTTTCCAGTCCACTTGTATTTGTTGCATTAGATGTCCCCAATATACCTTGTACACCTAAAATTGATTGAAATGAATCCTTTGATCTTGTTAATGTTGGAGGTCCAAATGAATTTGATGTGGTTGTTCCACCTCGTATGGGAGGTCTTTGATGGTGATGTGGTGACTGTTCATTAGATGTTATTGTATTAGTTGATAAATCCATCATAGTTATACCTTCAGCTATAGTAGATAATCTATCATCATCTTCTTCAGAATCATAATCATAATCGTTATCCTCTTGATCTTCTTGTGGTGGTTGTTCTTGTTCATATTGTTGCTTTAGATTTTCATTTTCTTCTAAATTACCATCATTATAAAATTCTTCAAATGGATCACCAATATGCCGTATTGTTATTTCTGGTGGTATATCTCCTAAATTAAAATTTAATACTTGTAAATTTGATATGAATGAAGGTAATGTTAAATTATCAAATTGATCTTGTAAAAATTCTGCTATTGAATCATTTATTCTTGGATCTGATTGTAGATTGTCCCAATTTATGTTGAATGACATTTAGTTGATTTAATGTAGGTTGGTTTACATTAGTTTTAGGATTTCAAGTATATCACCAGATAGACGTGCAAAAAGTTCAAATTATAACAATACAATTTATAGAGAATATAGATGTACAAGAATAAATAATTATATGTATTAAATATATAGCCAATCTACCAACCAAAACTTTCATTATGTAAATAAATTTCTTCAACATCAGTATTTCTTAAGTCATTATTAAAAATCAAACCTTGGAATTTAGATATCTTAGAAGAAACTTGAGCTTGCATTGATTTACTACCAGAACAAATGAAAATATTTCTAATTGATAAACTTGATTGAAGATTTGTTAGTATTTGAGGAATGTTTGGCTTGCCGTAATTTATTGGTAATTCAGTAAAATTAAATGATTCAGTTACTGATTTTTCAAAATCTGCTGATTTATCCATTTCTGATAATTCTTTTTCAAATTCAACTACTCTTATATCAATTTGTAATTTGGATCCCAAAATCTTTTTGCAGTTGATTAATTCTTCTGATACCCAACTTATATCTTTTTCATTTCTAACAACCCATATGAAATTTATACATTTTAAATTTTGGGATTCAGGAGTGTTTAATTGATGTTGTTGTGCCATATATGTTAAAAATGGAATTGTTGCAGTAACTCCAGTCCCAGATGCTAAAAGTACCAATTTTTCAAACTTATTAACATCTCTAAATGTTCCACCATATGGTCCATCAATATAAACTTTTTTCTTCATTGTTATATTTTTATTTAATTCTTTATGTTGAGACTTAGTGATACCATTTTTAGCAACAATTAAAAATTTCATACCACTATGAGTTTCACTACAACTTGATATTGAAAAAGGATGATTATCTAAAATTCTTAATCCTTTGAATCGTAAATAACAATGTTGACCTGGTTTCCATTTATAGTCAGAAACATTTTCAATAAATAATTCAAAAGTATTATCATCAACTTTACTCAATGTAGCTTCTCTTGATCTTAAAAACATAATGTTTGGTCTAAAACAAGTCTTGATCAAAATTCTATAAATTAATTGAGTTGCCCAAAATGCTAAAGCTCCCCACATATAATTTTGAGCTCCCAATGCATAATCAATATGCCATATTAAACAACCAAAAAATGCAATCCCCATCATCCAATGTAAATGCCAAAATATCTCATAAACATGTTTTCTAAACCAATCTTTTGATAATGTACATAAAAGACCCATTAATATTAATGTTGGAATTCCACTAACAAAATAACTATCAGTTGTAAAATATTCACGTAATAATGAAGTACCACCTTCAATTTTAGTTTGATATACAAAAGGTATAGTATGAACTACTCCCAAAATAAAACTTGCAACACCAACAAATTGATGGAAAACATTTAATTTCTCATAACTTATACCAGTTAACATTGATATAACATTTGATTTACCAGATAATACATATGTGAATGGTACTAAAGCAGTTGACATCATACCAGCTCTTATAGCTAATGGTGGTGAACCAAATCCAGCACATTGTCTATACCAAAAATGAGGTACAAAACAATAACAAGATAAATATAATATTGAAATCATCATAAATAAAGTTGAACCTATTGATTTAGGGAATGATAACCAATATTGTACATAATTTGGAGTTTGTTTATATCCAACAAATCTACAATATGAAATTAATACATCAATTAATGAAAATATTGTGTTTGTTGATTTGGTTGTAGTTTCTACTAGTATTGATTTATATCTATAATCTCTAATTCTATAATAAAGATGTTTTAAGAATGAAATAAAAATTATTACAACTCCAAAATAAACAGTATATTTTGCATAATCAGCTTGTGATTCCCATGAAATTTCATTTTGCAGCATCATTGTTAATTGAGTATATTTTGGATCTTTCATATCTGCCATACAATCTAGACCATCATATACTACTGCTCTTTTTTCAAACATTTTTATTGAAGTTAGTGGTAATTCTTTGAATATATAAACAAGATAAAACGTTGATTCGATTCTATCAGGAATATGTAAACTTTTGATACTAATATGATGTTTCAAATAAATGTAAGTTAATGTATTGTACTAGATTTCGTATCTTTAAATTATCAACACATCTAATTAATGAAATGTAATAGATACTGAATAATGAATATTAAATTAGTTCAATTGGATAAACAATCGAATATATACATTAACAATATTATCCATCATTTTTGTTGGTTTGAAATTAATTTATATATAAATTGAATTAAATTATTAAAAGAAAATTTATAAATTTATTCTTTTGGTTAATAAAAATTTGCTCACACTTTATTTTTTGAAAGTGTACAATTTCTTCAACTTTACAAATTAGTTTACGTACGAAAAACCAGTAACAAGGTTTTAAAACCATAATCCTAAGTACTTTCTGAAAGACTAATGTACATATTGAGCAAATTTATATTAAGAATGAGAAAGTTTTGAAGTAATTAATGTTGTAAACTATAATCTTTCAAGATAGCTACCATAATATGTTTTATACACACGTGACAAACTAACATATTCGAGATTAGGTTTAATACTTAAACATGTGCCTCAATGTACCGGTTTTTTAATTTTATCTATTATATATTCGTATTAACTTACCTAATTGATCAGATTTGAGCAAAATATGAGCAATAAATTATCTATATGAGCAAATTATTATCTTTTATGTCAAATCTAATCAGATCAAATCAAAAGTTGAAATATTATTTTGATAATTAAGATATTATTATTATAATCTCATTTATTAATTCATTATTAATTATTATTATTAAATTTCTATTAAGTTATTATTATTATTCTAATTATTATATAAATATTTTATTATATTATTATAATTTATACAATAGATCTGTTGTTTAACATACAGGATCAGTTAATCCAATAGTCCCATTATATGAACCTAATATAATTATAACCAAACTAAAACTAATTAAAATAGATACTGTTCCATATCTATAACTATGTAAAGTCTTCAAACCAAATAATTCAGCAACAAAAGTACTAACAGTAGTTAAAGCACCACAAAATCCATCATCTAATCCTATTAATATATGACATCCCATTATATGTTTATTTATTTGACCACCATTAGGTAATTTCCCTCTTCCAATTAATGTAAAAATAGCTAATAACAATGTACCTATTACATTAGCTGTGAAAGTACCTATAGGAAAATTTTTTATTTTAGTATTTAAATATTTTGATAAATAAAATCTTAATATTGCACCAAATGGAGCGAAAAACATTGAAAAAGTCCAATTTCTCCATGATCCTTGAGGTTTAGTACCTAATAATACACAAGTTATAATTACTAAACAAAGTCCTAAAATCATTGATATTTTTTCTATTATTTTATAAGTTTTATAATTTATTGATGGTAAATAATTATCAATTAATGTTCCTAAATGTTTACCCATATGAAAACCCATAACAGATAATCCAAATTCAGCTAAAATAACAGCTAAAAATTCCATAATTCCATAAGCTGCATTAGGATAATTATAATATTCACCAATTTGAGTATCTGCAGACTTATTGAAAGCGTCTAGTATAACTGTTGAAAAAGATGATACAGTACCACAAAACCCAGTTGTTATACCAGTATACACTGGAATAGCTCCTTTATTTGGAAAAATTTGATTATCCAATAATTTCAACCATATAATATCACTATCAATTGCTAAACCCATTATTAAACAAGCAGTAAAATTAGCCCATATTACACCAGATAAATAAGCACCTTCATATGTTGTCAATTGCATTAACCCTTTTCTAACTAAAACCCCCCATATTGAACCATGTATAATGTTTAGTAGTATTGGTGCATATTGTTTATATTTTGATATAATTTTAGGAATTTTGGGTTTTTCTTCATAACCTTCACCTTTAAAACCTTCTGGTAATGCATCAGCAACTGTTTCAGCTTCTACTCCAGCTAATGTAGTTTGAATTGTTCTTCTTCTTTGTAGTCGTGATTCTTCATAGCTTGGTCTTCTATTTGACATTTAATGGTAGTAGTATTATCATGTGCTTTTGTTTGATTTTATTTGGTCTAGTCTCATATTAAAAAATATTCTTATCATTAAATTGATAAACAAACAAAAAAAAAATCACAATACTAAAACTAATAAATTTTACCACCATTCTATTATAGAATCAATTAAAAGAAATCTTTACTACAATACATACCGATTACCAATATGCTACGACTGCAACTCGTTCACAAACTTTCAATCCAAACACTCCTACATTTCCTACTACTAATCAATATAATCAATGCTTCTCCCACAACTTCATCAATAGAACCAATTCCTACCCCATCATATATAGTAGATATATTATCATCACAACCTCAATTTTCATATTTTTTACGTCATTTACAAAGACAAGGAATGATCCCTGATTTGAATCTTATGGAAAATGTAACATTACTAGCTCCAATAAATCTGGCATTTGTTGAATCTACTGATCAAAATACATTAAATGAAAATCAATTGTTAAGATACGTTGTAAACCAAAGAATATTAATTGAAAATATTACAGAACAAACAGTGATTTATGACACGTTATACCACCCCAATGGAGATCCATATCCTATAAAGTTTACATCAAAAGATGACGAATATGTTATTGATGATATTTCAAGTATTGTTGAACCGGATTTACATGCTAAAAATCAAAGATCATATGTTCAAGGTATAGATCATCTATTACCAGTAAAACCAAGTTTATGTGATGTTTTAATACATTCTGAAAATAATGAAATTTCAATAATTGGAGATATGTTTCGACTGTTATTTCCTGATGAAGTTATACTACAAAAAAAGAAGAAAAAAAAGAAGAAAAAACCAAGACCATATCCTAAAACATGTTCTGAATTTTTAAGAGGTGTTAAAACTATGGTTATTCCAAGTAATGAACTATTACAAAATTCGTTAGATGAGTTACAATTAAAATATTATTTAGCAAATGAAGCTGATGAAAAATATGATACTACAAATGAAGCAATAGATGAGATAAATAGAGATATTGTATCACTACTAGAAGAGTTAATGTTTGATGTTTATATTGGAGGTGTTAATGGAACTGAAGGTAAATTGAAATCTAAAACTGGGAGAACATATAATTTTAAATCGAAGAATTCTAATTTACTGGTGGGTAATTTCACTACAAATACAACACATGTTTTATCGAATGGTGTACTACAAATTTTCAAAACCGGTGAACAATTTTTCCAACAACTCAAAATCCCAACAGTTGAAATGATTGCAAGAAAATCCCTTTATGCAGCTCATTATTCCAATTTTGTAAGTGAATTAAGATTTAGATCATTAGATGGATTAATTGATGGATCTATATCAAATCAAACTATACTAGTAGACATAGATCTGAGAGATGATGTTGGAGAAGAAGAAATTACAATCGCGTCATATTCATTAAAACAAGAATTAATGTATCATTTTATTGATGAACCTGTTGATTTATATGAATCTAATTATGCATTAAAAGATTCAAGTTTATGTTTAAAAAAGAAATTAGGTGGTTGTTATAAAATAAAACTAGCTAAAACTAGACCAAAGGGAAATTTAGTAGTTACTATAAATGATGGGAATGAAGTATTAGAAAGAATTAAAATTCATAATGGATCACAAATCTTAATAGTTGATGAAGAATTATCTCCACCAGTTAATTTAAAACATTCATTAGGTGATTTAATGTCATCTGGTACAATCCCGCGTCCAATGGAAAATATTCAAATTGATAGAATTCAATGCTTAAAAACATTAAATTACTTGAATGATTTTGATTTATATTCGCTAAAAGACAATGAACAAGGGTATACTATTTTTTTACCATGTGGAGCTAAAAATTCCAAGAATCAAATGGGATTATGGGATGAATTGGGGTTAGTATTGAATTATCTTGAATCCAAACCAGAATTATTAAAGAGTATTGTTCAAGGAATGTTTTTGGAGAAAACAATATATACAGATTATAATAAATCAAGTACTTTTACAAATCTAGCAGGTGGAGAATTTAAAATTACTAGTGAGAATTTAACACATCATAATAATTTAATTAAAATTGATAATGAAGTGGCTATTGATCTACCATTAAATTCGGATGTTTTATTTAATCAAGGTGTTATCCATGTTATAAATGAGGTGTTACTTCCCAAAAATTTCCATATCCCAATTGAAGACCTTATCAAAACAACATTTGATCCAAATTATGCAGATTTCTCAATAATGAACTTGTTAAAGTTATACCCCAAAATAAGAGATTCTTTGTTTGGTAAACATCCATATTCACTTATAGTCCCAAAACCAGAATCATTAAAAGATTTCAACATCACATCATCATTTGAAGAATTATTTGATTTTTTGGAATTTCATCTTATACCAAATGATCAAGTTAGTAAGTTGTTAGATTGTGTTTATGGATTTGGTAATGATGAAATTATAAAAACAAACTACACTAAGGGGGAATTGACTTGTAAACATAAATCAGATAAAACCATACTATTAAGTTTATATAAATTTAATGATACTCAAGAAGCTGGAGATGTTTCATACAATAAGGATCATGAAGTTAAATTGGTATCTCATGGCTGTACTTCACCTTATTATGATGATGTTAAAAATATATCATGTGTGTTTTTAATTGATAAACCATTAAATTTAAATTGGTTCAAGGATAAAAAAGATGATAATTTCTTACATATTCATTTAGGTATAGTTAGTGTTGGAGTTGGAATAATTTTAGGTTTAATTATGGTTGGTGGAGTAATGGTTGGATTAATGTTTTGTATAGGTGGTAAAAAGAAATCCACTAATCCTTATGGTTCATCAAAATTAAATGATGATGAAACATTACCAAGAGCTGATTCGGGATTTATGAGTGTATTAACTGATGAAGATGAATACATTCCTTATGATAGAGGATATGAAACTGATGTTGATGTCTTGAGGTCAGAAACTGACGCGTTATTACCAAGTCATATGAAACGTAAAAAACGATCAAGACCTTTAAATTATGGGTCAATTAGAGTTGATGATAATGGTAACACATTACCTAGAGATATTGGGAATTTTAAAAAAACTTTGAATAGAGAAAGAAATCTACCTGGTGTTTCACAATTTTAGAAATAACTTACAGAAATTTTATAGTCTATAGATAAAAAAATCATTAATAAACTTATGAATCTTTTATGAACAAAGTCTATAAATTGTTTCACTTTTGTATGTATTATAAATTTTCATCACCAAAAAAATAAAAAAAAAATAAATCAACAAAAAATAAATTCCTGAAACATTTAACTTACCAACACTATCAAAAATAACTAACTACTTCGATATGTCTGATCAACCGCAACACCAAACCGGTTATGTATCACAACCATTCAGTTTCCAACCACAACAAAGTGAAGCACAAACATTAGAACAATTGACTCAAGAAAGAGAAAGATTAAAAAATATTGATGCTCAATTAGATAAACAAGTAGCAGAAGGTGAATTTGGAAATTCTACTCAATTTTTGTCACAACAACAAACACAATCACAACCAGGATCACACGCACAATCACAATCAGATTCACAATCACATTCACATTCACAACCTATACAACTAGATCCATCAATACCAGCACCATTATCAGATGCAGAAAGAAGAGATCAAGATTCAAGATCAATTTATATAGGTAATGTCGATTATTTATCAACACCATTAGAATTACAACAACACTTTTCATCAGCCGGGATTGTTAACAGAGTAACAATATTAATGAATAAATTAACTGGTCAACCAAAAGGTTTTGCATATTTAGAATTTTCAGACGTTGATGGAGTAAATAAAGCAGTTGCAACATTAGATGGGACAATGTTTAGAGAAAGAGAATTAAAAGTCATGGCTAAAAGAACTAATATTCCAGGAATAAGTGTTCCAAGAGGGAGTTTAAGAGGTAGAGGAAGAGGTGGTATAATGAGAGGTGGTAGAGGTGGTGGATTCAGAGGTGGTAGAGGTATGAGAGGTGGTAGAGGTGGATTTAGGGGAAATACAAGATTTAATCCATATTAGGTAGTTTGAATGAGAAAATCATTCTAAGTAATAAACTATTTTTTTTTTTGGAATGTCTCCTGGGGTGAAGGAGATATAATATTTCAATATTTGTTGATTTAAAGAGTTATTGTAGTATATGATCTCTTATATTACTAATAAGTAAATTAATAAATAGGTTGCAAATTCTAGTCATTTTAGTCTAATTTTTATAATTTGTCTTTTGAGTTAATTCAGATAATTCCGGTTTATTATCATCAGCTAAACCCTTTATAACTCCATCAATATCTTGTTTTCTCATATCTTGTTGTAATTTATATTTACATTGAAATGAATCAATAGTAATTTCTAACCCAACGATATTTTTTTGCATAATTTTGAGGTAATTCTCAGGAGCTTCTTTAACTTCCCATTTTTTAGCATCTTCTGGCTTTTTGGATTCTTCTTGATTAGTTAACGCATTCAATTGATCTCTTACAAATTGAAAATCATCTATTATTTTTGATGAACCCTTTATATGAACACTTGCAAAATCCCAAGTTGGTACAATCTTATGGGTTTCTTGTTTTGTCGGATAATATTCTGGAGTAATATATGAATTTACAGATTGAAATATAATAACAACATTATCATTTGATTTTAAACTTGGTATTTGATGATTTGCTTTAGCTACATGAGCATATAATTTTTTTGAATTTGAATCGATTTTTAAAACAAATGGAATATGGTTTGCTATTATTTCTCCATCTTCGATAGTTATTATTGTACCTAATGGATAATTCTTAATTAAATATTCTGCTTGTTCCCAATCTTCTTGTAAATTTTTCTTTGGGATATACATTATTAATGTGATTGTTGTAAAATTGATGATTTAGCTGATGGAATTGATGATAAATTTGATTCAACTTATATAATAATTATTTAAACTAAACCAATACATTAACTTCTATTACTCATTATTGTAATTGTGGAAATATTATTAATCTTATCATAATAACAATAATACAACTAAAAAGGGAATTCTGGTGCGCTAAGAAATCATTACGAGATATTAATTTGCAATTTAAGCGGGTAATATGAATCATAAATTTTAATTTACTATTATAGCTATGAATAAATAACTAAAGATCTAGTACCACAGGATTTATATATCAACCTTGATACTTTGAAATTTAGTAGAATTAGTCAAATAAAAGTCATTATGTTGTTTTTTTACTTCAATCCCAACCACTTTACCAGTATTTTTAATGTGTCATATTTTTTTGCATTAAAACAAATGGAATATGTTCTGCTGTTATCTCTCCATTTTCTGTACTTCTTATTGTACCTGATGGATAATATTCAATTAAATATTCGCTTGCTCCAATCTTCTTGTAAATTTTTCTCTGGAATATACATTTTCAAGATGACCGTTGTAAAAATAGTGAATTAATTGATGAAATGAAGATAATTTAATTCAATTTATATAATAATTATTTAAACTAAATCAATACATTAATTGTGTTACTCATTAATTTTAAGTGGATAACATGAACCTTAATTTCATTTTTACATTAGTCCTCAAATTTAGCGCGTTAAACCATTCATCATTATAACTTATGTATTCAACCATCAAAGAATCATTGTGTTCTACAAGACTTACTCGACATCTGTTATCATGTATTGGTCTTCCAAAATCTCTTCCTCCATATTCTCCACTATTTCGCTATAACCACCATCATTATTAGTTCTACTGCTAACTCGTGATCTATCCCATACAGAACAAGCAGTTACATAGAAATCTAAGCCAAAGCAGCAAAAGTTTTTGACAAAACATTTACAAATTTGACACTCAGATTAAATTTACGACAATTAATCTATCTACCTTTTTTGCATCCTTACTGCAGTACTAATTAATTTTGACCTTAAAAGTTGAGAGAATATAGACTTTGTTCTTTCATATTTTAAAAGTCAATTGGATCATATATGTCCTTTGAGTAATGAATAAAGTTAAAATCAAGGATTATGTGGTCAGATGAAACAAATTTTGTAATTATTAGGTTTCAAAAGCTGAATGAATTTCAGATAAAATTATGCAAATCAACTTTTCCCTATCGTCACTACTTAGGCTTATTGAAAGGAAAATATGAAACACATGTTTTCATATTATTAAATTTTAAACTAAATGAACATGTTATAAATAAAAGTTTTATTATTAGAGAATAGAGATAGAGATATATACTACAGGATACGGTTAAAAGGAATTGGAATTATATTTTACTTTAATATAAAATAGCAATATTTGATTATAAATCAATTTTTTTTTTGTACATTATTGAATTAAACAAATAATTTTTGGTGATTTGAAATTGTGATTTTTGTGAATACATTAAAATTGTACTAATTGAGGGGCAAGTCCAATTGGAATTGTTGAATTTAATATATTTATGATTTGTTGTGGTAGATTGGGAAAATTGATTTGTTGATATTAATTTTTTATTTTGTAATTTGAATTGCAATAATTATGATTTAATTTTGAAAGCAATAAAAGAAGTCAATTGAAATTTTTAGTCGATTTTGAATATTCTTGTGATAATGTAGAATCAACTGATTAGTTTTAATGATATTTTTTTGAATTGAATATTTTTATGATAATGTAGAATCAACTGATTAGTATTGATCATTCTTTTTTAGATTGAATATTATTGTGGTAATGTAGAACAACTGATTAGTATTAATGATTCTTTTTTGAACTGAATATTTTTATGATAATGTAGAATCAACTGATAAGTATTGATGATTTTTTTCTAAATTGAGTATTTTTGTGATAATGTAGAATCAACTGATTAGTATTAATGATATTTTCAAGATTTAATTTTTGTGGTGAAGTAAATAAAGAATGTTCAACAACAAAACACATTAATATTTAAATTCACCATTAGAATTTTTATAATTTTGTAAAATTTTGGTGTTTTAGTAAATAAAAATATTAGGTACAACAACTAAAACCATATAATTTAAATTTTATCAAACACCTTAGTATTGGAATCAACTGATTAGTATTAATGATTTCTATTTTGAATTGGATTTTTATGATAATGTAGGATCAACTGATCAGTACTGATGATTTCTTTTTAAAATTGAATATTTCTATGATAATGTAGAATCAACTGATTAGTATTAATAGTTCTTTTTTAGATTGAATATTATTGTGGTAATGTAGAATTAACTGATCAGTATTAGTGATTCTTTTTTGAATTGAATATTTTTATGATAATGTAGAATCAACTGATTAGAACTGATGATTTCTTTTTAAATTGAATATTTCTATGATAATGTAGAACAACTGATTAGTATTAATGGTTCTTTTTTAGATTGAATATTATTGTGGTAATGTAGAACAACTGATTAGTATTAATGATTCTTTCTTAGATTGAATATTATTGTGGTAATGTAGAATCATCTGATTAGTATTAATGTTTATTTGTGGATTGAATGTCTGTGGCGAATTAAATAAAGAATGTTCAACAACAAAACACATTAATATTTAAATTCACCATTAGAATTTTTATAATTTTGTAAAATTTTGGTGTTTAAGTAAATGAAAATATTAGGTACAACAACTAAAACCATATAATTTAAATTTTATCAAACACCTTAGTATCGGAATCAACTGATTAGTAATAATTATTTTTTTTAGATTGGATATTATTGTAATAATGTAGAATCAACTGATTAGTATTAATGATTCTTTTTTGCATTGAATATTTTTATGATAATGTAGAATCAACTGATTAGTACTGATGATTTCTTTTTAAATTGAATATTTCTATGATGATGTAGAACAACTGATTAGTATTAATGTTTTTTTTTTATTTTGAATATTTTTGTGATAATGAAGAATCAACTGATTAGTATTAATGATATTTTTAAGATTTAATTTTTGTGGTGAAGTAAATGAAGAATGTTCAACAACAAAACACATTGATATTTAAATTCACCATTAGACTTTTTATAATTTTGTAAAATTTTGGTGTTTTAGTAAATAAAAATATTAGGTACAACAACAAAGACCATATAATTTAAATTTTATCAAACACCTTAGTATCGGAATCAACTGATTAGTATTAATGATTTTTATTTTTAATTGGATTTTTATGATAATGTAGGATCAACTGATCAGTACTGATGATTTCTTTTTAAATTGAATATTTCTATGATAATGTAGAATCAACTGATTAGTATTAATGATTCTTTTTTATTTTGAATATTTTTGTGATAATGAAGAATCAACTGATTAGTATTAATGATATTTTTTTGAATTGAATATTTTTATGATAATGTAGAATCAACTGATTAGTATTGATCATTCTTTTTTAGATTGAATATTATTGTGGTAATGTAGAATTAACTGATCAGTATTAGTGATTTTTTTTTGAACTGAATATTTTTATGATAATGTAGAATCAACTGATAAGTATTGATGATTTTTTTTTAAATTGAGTATTTTTGTGATAATGTAGAATCAACTGATTAGTATTAATGATATTTTCAAGATTTAATTTTTGTGGTGAAGTAAATAAAGAATGTTCAACAACAAAACACATTAATATTTAAATTCACCATTAGAATTTTTATAATTTTGTAAAATTTTGGTGTTTTAGTAAATAAAAATATTAGGTACAACAACTAAAACCATATAATTTAAATTTTATCAAACACCTTAGTATCGGAATCAACTGATTAGTAATAATTATTTTTTTTAGATTGGATATTATTGTAATAATGTAGAATCAACTGATTAGTATTAATGATTCTTTTTTGCATTGAATATTTTTATGATAATGTAGAATCAACTGATTAGTACTGATGATTTCTTTTTAAATTGAATATTTCTATGATGATGTAGAACAACTGATTAGTATTAATGTTTTTTTTTTATTTTGAATATTTTTGTGATAATGAAGAATCAACTGATTAGTATTAATGATATTTTTAAGATTCAATTTTTGTGGTGAAGTAAATAAGAATGTTCAACAACAAAACACACTAATATTTAAATTCACTTTTAAATTTTTTATAATTTTGTAAAATTTTGGTGTTTAAGTAAATGAAAATATAGGTACAACAACTAAAACCATAAAATTTAAATTTTATTAAACACCTTAGTATCAGTGCTTCTGCATCAATACTTTTATTCTTTTCTTGACATATATTTTTAATTTCGAGAAGACTTTTTTAAACTTTGAAAAAGTAATATTTAATTTTATTTCTTCATCTTCTTGATATTCTTCATTATAATGGAAAAAGTTATGTTGATCAAATGATTCACCTTCAACACTTGCATATGATACATCTGTATTGAAAAATCTGTTGTTTAGTCCATTAAAGACAAATGGTATTAATTNACAAATGGTATTGATTCGATTGATAATTCTCTTCTTACATATGTTAAATTTTCTTCATCAAACGTATATGTGTAATCAAATTCATTAATATCGGGATTGATCTCAATTATAAGCCCTTGTTCATCAAATATCAAATTTGGATGAATAATATCAACTTCATCTAAAGATTCATCCTCATGTACCTCCATAACTTCAATGCTAAAATTATGAGTCGTTTGTGGTTGAATTTGGTGGAACAATACTAATTGTTGATGATGATGATGATGATGATGATGATGATGATGATGATGATGATGATGTTGTTGTTGTTGTTGTTGTTGTTGTTGTTGTTGTTGTGGTCTAAATAATATTAATGCTCTACTTGATGGTAATTCTGAAGCTGAGTCAATTAATTGTTGTTGTTGTTGTTGTTGTTGTTGTTGTTCTTCTTCTTCTTCTTCTTCTTCTTGTTCTTGTGCAGTTGATTGAACTAAATTATGTTGTTGTTGTGGTGGTGGTGGTGTAGCTGATTTTTTTGATTTTTTATTTAATTTGAATATTTTTCTGAAAATTTTATGGTGTTTTTTATCAGTTGATGATAATTTTGGTGATGATTCTGTAGCTGATGATGATTCTGATGATGATGGTTTAGTTGATTTTTTTGAGTGATGAAATAATGAAATTTTTTTGAAAATTGACATAATTAATAAGTAATTGGAAAAAAGTTTGAATTTAATAATAATAAAGTGGATTGAACTTATAAACTCTCACAGTCAGAAGAAGTATGCTGTGAAGCTGTGGAAAAGGTGAAATTTATTATTAGTGAGAAAGAAGTAAAAAAAAAGTGACATAAATTTTGAAATCGATTTGGGAAAATCTTGAGAATTTATATTTGGTGGTTTTTGTTATTTTGTAATGCTATCTTCGACTTCGGGTATGTGGATCCTTAGTATGTATCTCAATTGATGCAAATTCAGACCCTAAATAACCCTAAATAAATTTGGAATGCCGATTTGAAGTATTGTAGTAGTTGGTAGCGGTCCCGTATCAGGATGTGCAACTTAAATGTATCGATTAAAATCAAAATATAATCAATTCCCCATATGTTGCAAAAACTTCTGAAGTATATATTTGTGAGAACCATAAGTTTCTAAATCTCCCAGGTATGCACCAACTTCGTCTTCTAATTGACGACTAAGACTTCAACAATTGCATTCTGACTTGTAATCAAAATTTTTTATCAACTGTACCTTCATAAAATATTCTCATTCAAAATTTGATAAATGTATGATAAACCCATTTACAAAGTAATCAACATCTGACAATTTAATATTTGAATGTTCAACATTTCAAACATTTCCAGAATCTTCATCAATGCAACGATCACTTGAAAAAAAAACCCATATTAGTAACTCACCAAACACATTTTGACCCATTTATGTAAATGAATACCATCTTCTGAATCACCTCCATGGTGACCAAATACGTTTTTTAACTTTTTGTGAGCATCTAAAAATAAATTGAAACCATCACTTACTAAATAATACCCCATGATACCTTATGGAACCAATTAATGGTTGGAAATTTTCTGGATTACCAAATTCTCCTTCGTATACAGCTGTAAATACTTTTTATAATGTTTTTGGAATTGTAATTTCATTTACAAAATGTCGATGTCTTAACTTTTCAACTGATTCTGCTAAATTACCAAAAAGAAATAAATTTTCTTCACCTAGTTCTCTTGTAATTTCAAAACTTGCTCCAAAAACCATTTCAATTATTATTCCACCATTCCAATGCAAATTTCGTATTTGAAGTACCTGAAACTTTTATTTTCGTAGTTGAAATATGAATCTGACATTACTTGATCCAAGATATATACTTTTATGCCTTGATACGTCATTATAATCTGTTATGAATAAAACTTTAATTAATATCTGTATCATTTCCTCACAACAACTTTACAAATGTCTTTATGTTTTTGCCATGACATGCACATTTAACTTCAGGTAATTGAAAATTTCGAAATATTTATTGGTAAGTTGTTGCTTTATTCTTTCGCTTTAGTAACTTATGCCATTTGTCGGAAATTGATGCAATTTGTAATAAAAACAAGTAGCGCCACTTCAAAGTTTTGAGTAATGAGTTGTAAAATGGCAAATATAATAGTTCAGATCTTATCAAAAATTCTCAAATCTTAAGATGAGGAAGATTCAATTTAAGTGTTAAACCACATCAACTGAAACTACGAATTGACATCCTTAAATTTGCTAACCATTTTTGACGTGAATTCATCGAAAGTGAGTTATTCATTGACACGTCTAAAATCAAAAAAACTAAATCTGTTGGATATGAGTTAATTAGTTGCTTTACCCTTCATTCTGCATTTTTTCTTATGTTATCAGGTGATGCCTGATTTATTGGGAATGAAGTGATTCTGAATGACTATTAGTAAAACAATTGAACCTGACTTGGAATTTTTTTTTTTTTGATAATGATTTGATGTAAAATCAGTCTTATTTAAGACGTTCAAAAAATCTTAATACGTAAACATAATTTCAGTGCGTTTCAAATTTAGCGTACTTTTCACGCACATTCAATACTTCAATCACTCTATAGCTCATCAACAAATGACTATTGACATAACTAAACTAATAGAAGAATTTGAGTTTAATCGTATACTAAATTCAGACACGCAAACTAAGCAAATAGCAATACTAGGCACAATTGATTTAGAAAATGCAATACTAATAATTGAAAAATCACCATTCAACATAGAATTAATCAATTCAGATCCAAAATCAGTACCAACAAAAATTATCAGCAGTCTATCATTAATTAACTCAAATGATGTATATAACTGGGCTAAAGCAACATTAAATCAAGACTTGGATCAATTGCCAGCAGCAAAAGTAAACCTAATATATCCAGCTACAGAAACCCATATTCGAAAATACAATCAACAAAAATTACATTATGTTAGGGAAACTCCCGAGATGTACTACCAATATGTTATACCGTACATCGATACTATGAAGGGTGAAAGATTGAAATGGGTTTATAATATTTTGTTTCATGGTAAGGAAAAAGAATCGTTCATATATCATGATGAATCAAAAGATGGATTTGTATTATTACCTGATATGAAATGGGATAAAGTCAACTTGGAGAATTTATACTTATGCTGCATAGTGAATAGAATGGATATTGGTTCGATAAGAGATCTATCTGGCAGTGATGTAATTTATCTTGGAAATTTACAAAATACTATACAAAAAGTAACTCATAAAAAATTTGGACTTCCACAAGATCAACTAAAGATATTCGTCCACTATCAACCAAGCTATTATCATTTCCATTTACATATAGTCAACGTACATCATCCTGGGCTCGGTGATGGTATAGCTATCGGTAAAGCTATTTTAGTTGATGATATCATAGATAATTTGAAAATAGATGGGGAATACTACAAAAAAAAAACTATTGGGTATGTCATCGGTGAGAATCATGGACTTTGGCTGATTGAAGGGTATAGAAATTCTGTAAGAAGTCAATAGAATTAATAGATATGTATAGATGGAATACTGAAAAAAAAAATTTTAATATTTAGAATCTAAGGTTTTAAAGAAAAACTTGTCTAATTTAGATTCTTAATAACTATGCACCAATCTTTCACCCTCTCAATTAAATATACTTGATTAGTTCAAACATTGGTTAGATCCATATGTCCTGTTTAATAAGTATTAAGTTTACTAAATTAATTGAATGATGCATTTGTGTAATAAATCAATTGATTAATACAATTTACGAATATATCAAATCAAACGTTATGATATACACTATTACATTCCTATTAATTACCCTTTTCACTTCTAACATACAATCGCTTTAAACTCATGAATGATAAAAATAGATCAAGACTACCGAAAACCAAAAATATGCTAACTCAATCTAGATTACCTAGATTTCTGAAACCATTATTAGCTATACTTTCATTATTTATTATTTATTCATTATATACAAATCATAAATCCACAATTCATTCTACAAATCCCGTTGATGATATAAATATAATAAATATACAAACTGAAAACCCACTACCTAAATTAACAATTGATAGATTTAAAGATTTAAAAGGTGAAGTTCAAGATGTCGACTCAACATATTTGGATAAATTGGATAAAAAGACAAAACAATGTCCTGATTATGTTACATATTCACAACAAAGACATCCACCATTTTCCTCGGGTTCTTATAAATACCCTTACATGAGACCTGCTCCAAAATGTAGGACATTTGTATCAAAAGCAGTTGAAGCGCTTATCGATGATTTAAAAATGAAAATAAAAGATCCAGATTTAGCAAGATTAGTGGAAAATTGTTTACCAAATACTTTAGATACTACTATATTATGGCATAAAACAAGCAAAGATACTCCTAGCAAATTGAAAGATTTGACTTATCCACAAACATTTGTTGTCACTGGTGATATACATGCAGAATGGTTAAGAGATTCTGCGAGACAATTATCATTATATCAAAAATTAATAAAATATGATCCAGTTTTACAAGAATTAATTTTAGGAGCTATAAATACTCAAGCATATTATGTAAACAATTCACCATACTGTAATGCATTTCATCCACCACCTGGATCGGGTATTAAAAAAGGTAACACAGCTTATGATAATGTCCAACCAAGACCAGATTGGAAACAGGTATTTGAATGTAAATATGAAATAGACTCACTAGCTTCATTTTTAACATTAACCAATGAATACTATATAAATTCAGGTAATGATTTATCATTTATTAATTCATTATGGTTTCAAGCCTATGAAAAATTGTTGATAGTTTTACGTAGAGAAAGTGAACCTACATTTGACGAAGAAACTGGTCAAGCGTTACAATATTACTACTTATTCCAAAGAAATACAAATAATGGGTGTGAAACTTTACCTATGGGTGTGGGAAACCCAGTGAACTACGGAACTGGCTTAATAAGAAGTGCTTTCAGACCAAGTGACGACTCATGTATTTTACAATTCTTTATTCCGGGTAATGCTCATATGTTGACTGAATTGAAAAATGCTAGAAAAAATTTCCTTAATGATAAACTTTTGGCTACTTTCGATAACAATCTTGAAGTAAGATCCGAAATTGAAATACTTATCAAGAAAACTGATTTTTTCATCAACGCTATTTCTACAGGATTAAAAAAATTTGGAACTGTTAGCCATCCAGTATATGGACAAGTATATGCTTATGAAGTCGATGGATATGGTAGTGCAACTTTTATGGATGATGCAAATGTTCCATCATTATTGGCTCTTCCAGATATGGGTTTTACAAATATCAACGATGAAGTTTACCAAAATACAAGAAAAATGATATTATCAAAAGATGGTAATCCATACTATTTGAAAGGTAGATATTTTGAAGGTATTGGAGGTCCACACGTAGGTATAAGAAATGCATGGCCAATGTCATTATTAGTCAAAATTAGAACTACTGATAATGATGAAGAGATTTTACAAGCTTTGGAATCGATAATGGAAACAACAGGAGATTTAGGATTAATGCATGAATCCATCAATGTTAATTCAAAATATGGTAAAGATTATACAAGATCTTGGTTCGCTTGGTGTAATTCTGAATTTGGTAAAACTATATTGTATTTGGCTGAACAAAAACCACATTTGATTTTCAAAGATGAGTTTAAAAATATAAATTATGATATATATGATTTATTTAAAAAGGTTGATACTTTATAGAATGAAAAAATCTGGAGTTTTGAAAGATGTACTTTCGTAGTTCTCTAAATTTTTTGCAGCCAAAATTTTGGTGATACAAAACAGCCCCCAGAAATTTAATCTCCGATGAGTGTTTACAAAATTAAATTTATTTATAACTACATCTCCAATATATCATAAATCAACCGCAATCTCCAATATATCATAAATCTACAAGAATGAGTGATGATGATGGATTAATGCTTAATTTTGCTATTCCTGATAATGGCACAACTACGACTGCCAATACACAATCAAAAAATGTGAAAGTACGAGGAGGTAGATGGAAAGATAGAAGAATTTTAAAACTAGAATTAGAGGGAAGACCAAAAGAGAAAAAAGTAAAAGGACCAAATAGTATACCGATTGATGCAAGTAGGAAAAGAAGAATGGAAGAGAAACCATCAAAACCAAAAAGTTCACAATCAAATCCAACAAGTGAATTTAAAAGAGCAAAATTTACAGAAACAAAAGGAGAACATGGAGGTAAAAATGATTCATATGTATCTTCATTGTTTACAAACAATACAGCATCAACTCAAGAAGTACCAGAAGAATCAAAAGAAGAAACCAAAACATATTTGCCATCAAATGCACCAGATAAAAATGCAACCTCTTTTGCTGGTTTAGGAATAAATGAAAAATTATCCAAACATTTAACAGATCATCAACGTTTCAAATATCCTACAAAGATTCAAAAATTAGTAATACCCAATTTATTAGTGACTGAAAGAGATTTATTTGTAAAAGCACAAACTGGTTCAGGTAAGACTATGGCTTTTATATTACCTATTTTCCACAAGTTGATGATGGAATATAAACATAAAATTGGTAGAGAATCCGGATTATTTGCAATTATTTTAACACCAACTAGAGAATTAGCTAATCAAATATATTCAGTATTGGAAAATTTAAATAGATGTTACCCATTTTTAGTACCTGGGATAGTTATTGGTGGAGAAAAGAAAAAAAGTGAAAAAGCAAGATTAAGAAAAGGTGTAAATATATTGGTTGCAACACCAGGTAGATTAGCTGATCATTTGGAAAATACTAAAACATTAGATATAAGTCAATTACGATATTTAGTACTTGATGAAGGTGATAAATTAGTTGAATTGGGATTTGAAGAAACTATTTCTAAAATTACCAAAATTATAGATGATAATTCCAAGATTGACGAAACTAAAGATAAATGGCAAGGATTACCTACTAGAAGAATTAACATTTTGTGTTCTGCAACTTTACAAAATAATGTTAAACAATTAGGAAATATTATACTAAATAATCCTGAAATGATATCAGTTGATAGAGAAGTTGAAGGTACGATATTATTTGATGATGATACAACTGGAGAAGTTCAAACCAATAATGAACATGAATCTTTTGCTCCAGATCAATTGATACAGAGTGTTTTGATCGTACCTCCGAAATTAAGATTAGTTACATTAGATGCATCATTAGTCAATATTGCAAACAAAATTGAACAATCAGGAGAATCTTCAAGAAGTATTGTATTTTTTTCATGTTCAGATTCAGTCAATTATCATTTTGATGTATTTACAAGAGATGGTAAGAAATTCAAAAAAGTAAAAGATGAAGAAACTGGAGAAACCAAGACAATATTGGTATCACCTGATGATAGTGCAGATGAAGATCAAGATGATGCTGAATTAACATCACCAATTATTAATAAAAACACAATAATATATAAATTACATGGTTCATTATCACAACAAACTAGAACTACTATTTTACAACAATTTATAAAAGATGATCCAAAATTCCCACATAAAGTATTATTTTGTACTGATGTTGCATCAAGAGGGTTGGATTTACCTAATATTTCAAATGTTATAGAATATGATGCACCTTTCACTATAGATGATCACTTACATAGAATAGGTAGATCAGCAAGAGTTGGAGCAAAAGGTAATGCAACATTATTTTTATTACCAGGATTAGAAGAAGGTTACATAGATGCAAAATTAAAAATAGTTCATCCAAGAGAAGAAAACCTTCGAGTAACAAAATATGAAACCATTTTATCATCAGCATTTGGTGAAAAAAATTCCACAACAAAAAATAAATTTGATAAATTAGGTAATTGGGATATCCATGCAACAACTTGGCATCTTGAAGTAGAAAGATGGTTATTAGAAAATTCATCCGCTTTAGCAAAAGCAAGTCATGCTTTCACTTCTCACATCCGAGCTTATGCTACTCATTTATCTCAAGAACGTAATTTTTTTAACGTGAAATTATTACATTTGGGACATTTAGCTAAAAGTTTTGGATTAAGGGAGACACCAAAGAATTTAGGTAAGAAATCTTCTAAAAATAATGATAAATTTGAAGAATTGGAAAATGGTGGTAAGAAATATAAAAAGGAAGATCCAAGGAAGAAAATGTTAAGGTTAGCTAAATTGGCTGTTAACTCTACTAGTGAATATAATTATTAGAAATGCATATTTAGTGAATATAAATTTTTCTTTTTGATGTATTGTTCTAAAATGTCTTAATTTGAAACCAATCAGGTCGAGTTGGTAACTTATAGGAACTTGTTATTTAGAACTGAGATAGTTTACAAAATTTTAGTATTCAATAAAATACAATTCATACAATTATACATTAAAAATAAATTCTATATAAAAGCAAGTACATACGTGTCTCTTGAATACATTCAAATTTTAGAAAAACTCTTGTAGTCCTAAATTTAAAAAGTTATACATTGAACTTTCATTCAAGACGAAACAAAATAATTTGAATATAAATAAAGGGTGTGTATTAGATTATTTCAGTGATGCCAATTTTGTATATTTTTAATGATTATATTAGTTTCATGAATTAAAGAATCAAAAATTTAACGTAGTCATATTTAACAGTCCTAAATTATTAGTGTTCGTGCTCTAGGCACTAATGATGTTAGTAATTAATTGATGAAAGTAGTAAAAATTTAATTACTGATGAATATCGGTTTTTTTATCTTGTATTTATATTAAAATTTTAATTAAAATTTGATATGCTAAATTTAATTTATTATTATTATTAATTAAAGTAAACAATTTTAGTGACAGAAATGGCTGGCTTCAAATATTTTTATGTAAGATTTGAAATAACAAAAATTTATAATGTTGGTATTTATCTAAATTTCTTTACATTTACGATTACAAATTAAAAACAAAAACAAAGATAGATTTACAGAATAAAGAGTAAATACTATTTACATTTGGACCCTTTATAATCATTGAAATTTTTTATTTTATATTCAAGTAATAAGGACATAAAAAACTATAAATTTGTATAAATTATGTAAAATTAAGTTAAATTATTTTGATAAAATTTTTACCAACTTCAATAGATTTTTCATCTCTTTCTCTAACATCATGTGATGGTTCATTTAACATAGCTGTTAAAGCATCAAAAACAAAAAAAAAATGTGTTTAATAAATTTATAGAATCATTATTAATTGGAAGAATTTAACTTATATCAAATAATTATGGATGAATAAAATTGAGTTAAACATCCGTACCGCAACACAATTATCAAATGAAGGACTAAAAGTATAAACTATTAATTGTAATAATGTGTTTAATCAAGATAATTTATTTTAGAACAACGTTATTTGTGCTACACAACTAATTCTGATGCAACATAAGTTATAAAATTCCTACTTAATAACTTATTAGTAACATTTTCTTCAGTTCAAATAATCAATGACAGATCCAAAACTATCTTATGTCGATTTATCAAGATATGGAGCCCAATTACTGAATATAAGAGCTCAACTTAACGGAAAAAGAAACAATATATCAACAAAAAGAGACCTAAATCAAATCCTACAATTATACGCTCAATCCAAAACAGTTTTGAAAAAAATCAATTCCCTTTATATTGTTTATAGTCCACATGGAGAATTATTTGGTCAATTATTAAAACAAGCTGAAACAAATAAAATTAAAGAACCAGATTGGAAACAATTAGAGACTCAATATAGTAATGATTTAAGTTGGCATTCTATTGAACATGTTGAGGCATTATTGAATCATATTATTGATAATATTGGTCAAGGTTATTGTCATATCTATGAGTTGAAAATGTTAGCTGGTTAACTGGGCAGAGTAGAGATAACCAAAACTTCTGGTAAGTTTTAAGTTCTAAGTTTTTCAATTCTATATTCAAATTTAATTATATAAATGATCTATATATTCATCATAAGTAGTTTGAGATTCCAATATAATCCCATCAGCATCATTGATTAATTGATTTTTTAAATTTGTAATTTGTTGATCTTCAGAATTCAGTTTAAAACTTAAAAATTTCCATTCTTCTTCATCAAATTTTTTTATAGATTTTAAAGAATCACCTAATGAATGACTATATCCATCTTGATTATTTGTAGAATGTTTTGCAGCAGTTTGTAAGATTTGTACACTTGGTTTTTCCCCTTCGTCTATATTCATATTTTTTCTTTGTTGTTGTAAATTCTCCTTATCTACATCATCTATGTATTTAAATGTGGGTCTTAATTGAACACTTGAATTTATAGGGATTAGGATGATTTTACGACCTAATATTGGATCGTCTATTATTTTACCTGCGTAATTTCCTGATGTCAATGGATCTAATACTCCTGATATACTTTGTAAATTGATATTTTCTCCCCATTCTTCTATTTTGGTTGCATCAAAGAATTTAGTTGGATTCAATGGTAATTTCAACTCAAGGTACTGTGATTGTGGTTTTATAAGTGATAGTATTTGTTGGTTTTTTAATGGTCTAGTTTTAGGTCTTCCTGGATATTGAAATAAATGTAATGATTGATTTTTGTTGTTTGGCATTTGGTTAACAACAAGTGGGATTGATTCTATTATTGGGTCGTCTTCTTCTTCTTGTTCTTCTTTTTGTTCTTCTTCCTCTTCTTCTTCTTCTTCTTTTATTGATGGTGGTGATTGGAATGTATTTTGAGGTAGATTTATTGAATCTTGTCTTAATCTATCATCAAATGACATTTCTTCATCTTCACTATTATCTTCTTCTTTTATGGTTGTGGTTGATGGTTTATAACCTCTTCTGGTATCCAACTCTTCTTCTTCGTCAATAAATAATTGACTCATTTTGAGCTCGTACTATATAATTTTGTTGAAAAGATGTGATTTTAAATTTTGATGCAAAATATCATCACTACATAATATTTTTTTTGCATCATAATTAAGTTGACTAACATTCAATACTTAGAAAAACTATTACAATTACATATCAACTCAATACAAATGACTACTGACTCATTTGATATAACGTCCACTTACTTAAGATTTCTAGAAGATGACAAAGATATGACAATGCCTATAGCGGCCATTGAATCATTAGTAACAATGTTACGTCAAAATCAACCTTCCACATCATCAGAATTAATCAATTTAGTTTCTAAAAATATAGAAATATTGAAAAATTCTATACCTAATAACATATCATTATCAGCGGGATGTGATTTATTTATGAGATTCATTTTAAGAAATACAAATATATATAGTGATTGGGAACTGTTCTCAAAAAATTTAATAGAAAATGGTGAATTATTTGTTAAAAGAGCTAAAATATCAAGAGAAAAATCTGCAGAATTTGGATTGCCATTTATAAAAGATGATGATATAATTTTAGTACATAGTTATTCAAGAGTTGTTTATACATTATTATTAAAAGCCAAAATTGAAAGATTAACTAGATTTAAAGTAATAATAACAGAATCAAGACCTACTGGAAATGGATATTTAATGGCTAAAAAATTAAAAGAAGCAGGTATATCATGTGAAGTAATAGTAGATAATGCAGTGGGATACGTATTACATAAAATAGATAAAATATTAGTTGGAGCTGAAGGAGTAGCAGAAAGTGGTGGAATAATAAATCATATAGGAACTTATCAAATTGGATGTTTAGCAAAAGTCAACAATAAGCCATTTTACGTTATAACTGAATCTCATAAATTTGTTAGATTATTTCCATTAGCACCTAATGATTTACCAAATATGAATAATTTTTTAAATAATAAAAGTCTTGGATTAGTTATAAATGATAATAAAGATGAAACTAATAAAGGAATAGAAGGTGAACAATTTTTGGATAATCATTTTGTTGATTTTACTCCTCATGAATATATTACTGCTTTAATTACTGATTTAGGTGTATTGACTCCTTCTGCTGTTAGTGAAGAATTAATTAAAATTTGGTATGATATGTAAATATAAACTAATTATATATTCATTTGAAACAGAGACATTGCATTAACCTCTATATGGCCACTTTACCTTGTCTCTATAGTATTTTACAGTTTATTTTACTTTAGTGTTGTATATAGTTAAATAGTTGCAAAATATTTTGTGCATAATTACACTACCAATGTATATAAATCTTAGAACCAGTTATATTACAATTAATTTTCATTACTTAACCAGATCAATCAATACAAAAATCTACTTCAAAACACAATTACAACCCCACATTACTACATCCAAATAAACATATATATTCACAATGTCAAAATTTGTAATACCTACAGCCTTAAAAGAATTAAGATTTCATTTATCCCAAAATGATAAAACATCACAACCATTAAAAAACTTTTTAGTTAAAAATTATTCCAATTTAAAAACTCAAACAGATTATAAATTACCTATTTTAATTAGAGAAAGTTTTGGTATAAAGCCTAGTGTTACTGTTAGATTTGAAAAGGGAGAAGAAATAAAGAAAAGTTTGGATGGATTGAGTGAAGGTGAAGTTGAAAAAGCTTTGAGTGAAGTATTGAAGAGATAAAGGAAATGAGAGAAGATATTTTAAGTGGATGGGAGAAAAATGAAGTGATGATTGGTGAACAAGAAAAATCGTTTTTGAACGATTGGAATGAACTACTTTCAAAAGTTTTTTGTATATTAGATGTATTTTAATAAATATATATTTATATTTATAAAATGCTCAATTCTAGAGGAATAACAAGTAGATTGAGAAAGTAAATACAAATAATAATTATTAATGACCTATATAAATCTATAATTTTGGAGAATCACCAATTTGATAAATTCCCCAACCTAAACTTGCAAATTCATCATTATATAATTCCTTTATAGGTAAATTTGAATCTTTTGCAACCCCACTAGCAACAATTATAGGTAAAAAATGTTCAAAAGTAGGATGAGCTTGTCTTAAAATAGGATTTTTTTGTAATTCATTAAACTTTAATAATTTATCTTCTTCTTTTTCAACAATATTTTTTAATAAATTATTAAAAGGTTTAACATATGGCATAACTTGTGATGGTTGTCTCATTGATATACCTAAATCTCTTAAATTATGTACAGACATTCCTGAACATATAATCATCCCCTTTAAATATTTTTGTTGTGATTCATCATATATTTCATTTTCTCTAAAGAAATTTAAAATTTCACCCAATTTAAAATTTGAATCAAAATCTTTATCACTAAAAGTTAATGATACTTGAATTATAGAAGTTGTAGGTAAATCTAAATCTTTATTTATTGGTTGTGGTTTAGTTTGAGTAGTATAATCACTAAATGCAACTTTAAAAGGAACCCATACTCCATGATCAATACCACGATTAGTTAATTTTGAATCAAATCCAAATTCTTTTAATTTCTTTGAAATTTCTCCAGCTATAAATTTATTATTTTTTGAATGAAATTCTTCTTTATACATATAATTTGGAAATCCATAAAAATCATAAATTAATTCATTTTCTTTACCATTAGTTGTACTAATTTCTATAAGATTATTTTTTGAACTTTGCCAATGTGCACTTAATACAATAATATAATCTGGTTTCCAATTATTTTTAATTTTGGATCCAATGTTTTTTATTTTATTCCATGCTCCTTTATTACCAAATGAATCATCTTCATACATAAAAGTTGGACCACCATGAGAAAAGAAAAAAGTAGGTAATGGATTTGGTGATTTTATAAATTTTGTAATTGATGACATTGTTGTTTGATTTGATACTAATGATGATATAATGTTTTCTTTATTTGTTTCTGTTATTGAATAATAATTGTAATAATAATATATAATTGAAATTATAATTGGAATTATAAATGTAAAGAAATATTTCATTTATTTATAGTAAGGCTCGAATTCTGCAATTCTATTCTTTTCGAATGATTAAATTATTCTATTTATATATCATCAAACTATTGAAAAAATTGATCAATTATAAGTAATCTTAGTAAATATTCATAATGTAAATGTAAAATTAATAAATGAATGTGTGTTTTATAAAATATTTGTATAATTCAATACATGAAGTAATTGATTTACAAATTAAATTAATAATATTACTAATTATAAAAATGTACGTATTTACGTATTATTATGGGATTTTGTAACCGATCAATGTCTTGAAACTTAAGTCTAATATTTTGCAATTATGACATTGAAAATTTATACTCTAAACAGTCATGACAAGTATTAATTACGATATTAACAAGTTGGGTAGATATTATGATTACTATATAGGTTGAAATTGAAGTTTAAAAAACAATAATTTCCTATGAGGAGATATACAAGTCAATTTTTTAGTTTATTTGTATCAAAACCAAATCAAAACGTAAAATAAACTTAAAACAAAACATTGAAATTATTTTATTATAGTAAAATCAATTATTTAAATTATAATATGTGATACTGGTATCTTTCCAGCTTTTCCATCAAATTTGAATTGAGATGATATATAATATACATATATTACCAACTAATTATATATTAATAATTAATTGCTTTTATATAATAATATTGAAATTCAAATAATAATAAATTTAAGGGGGCTTTCGAAGAAAAATATTGATTAACAAAATAATATTTTTATATTTGTGGTTAATCAAATTGATAAAATTGTAAGATGAGATAAAACAGTAGAAACTATTTTATTGACAAAATATATAAGGTTCTTTTTATTATACTTCTATTGTCTAATAATCTGTTAATGAACACTAAATAAAATTGAAATAAAACGGCTTTCAAATATGTCTTGGTTTTAAATTCTGTTTTATTCTTATTCTTCTTCTTATTCTATATTATTTAGTTTACTACATAAAAAATATTCTCTCGTAAATATTAGTATAATGCAGAAAGAAATGCTACCAAATAGTTTTGATTTTTAATACATAATAATAGCAATTTTAAAATATATAAAATGTATGAATGACTACTTTAAATGATAAAGAACAATAATAGAATACTAGAATTATTGACGTATATTATTATTGAACACTAAAACACATGCTATTTAAAGAAGACAGTTCAAAGTATTTTGTGTTAGTTAATATGTGAATTGATATTTTTTTAACTTATTTCTCGAGATTTTTTACATCAAATATTGTAAAAGATAATCGTATTAATTCAGTTGATAATATGAAATATTCCAAAGTAAAATCTAACAGTAAATAGAAAATTGTTGTTAATGCTTCCATAATTAGATTTTATCGTTTTCAATGATTGTTAATTCTTTTTTAGTTCTTAAAAAACTAAAATTTAAAAATTGGTTACATTATAAAAAAAAACGCAAACTTGAAATTCTACTTTATTAATAATATTAACACAATATTAAATTAATACACAATAATAATAATAAATACAATAATAAAATAAATATAAAATTATCATAATAATCCTTCTTAATAATTTTTGTATATTTAGATTATTCATTGCCAAAATCATATTAACATCTTATATTTCAATTGATATCTAATTTGAATACAAAATTTTGTTGAACATTTAACCAAGTAAACTCAAGCAGTACCATACATTACATATAATTAAAGTTTATAAAAAAAATAATGGTTGGTTTATTCAATAAGAGAGTATGTTTTTTTTTTACAACCAAATTTCATTAAATTTATTTGATTTATACATCTATGATTGAAATCTTTAGATTTATACAATTTTATATCAATTATATACTAACAAATCTTTTATTAATTAAGAGAAGACCAGATTCTTATCAAGGTTTTAGTAAATATGCTCATGAAATAAATCAATATCATAATAATTCACAACAACATGCTGGTTTACCAATACAACAACAACAACTGCAACAAGGAGTTCAAAGAAGTCAATCATTAACTAGTGCAGGTCAAGCAGCAGCAGCAGCATTAAGATTACATTCATCACCAATCAAAAATCATCAAAATCAACAACATCAACAATATAGCAATATTAATAATAAATCTCAATATAATCATACAGCAGCTCAAAGACAATATGGTAGATCAAATTCATTAAGTAATAATAGTGATGGTAGATCAAATTCTTTAAGACAATATACTTATCATCCTCAAGCTTCTTATCAAGTAGGTCAATCTTCTGGGAAGCAACAATCAACTAATACAAATAATAATAATTCTGAAGTAAGAAGATATAATAGTTTAGGATCAAATAGTAGAAATAATATTTCAAGAAATAATCAATCACAACAAAGATCAGTACAACAACAACATCAACCACAACAAAGACAACAACAGCAATATATACATGAAGGAATTGAAGAAGATGATTATCCAATACATGAAGAAGGAGAAGATGAAGAAGAATATGTAGTTACAACCACCACTACAAAAGTTGTTGATTCACAAGGTAGAACTCAATCAATAATCACCAAAACAATTAAAACTTTCCCAGATGGTTCAAATATAATAGAAACAGCAACTAAAAATATTTCAAGATCAAATTCAAGATCAAATTCTTTAAGTTCTGCAAATTTTAGATCTAATTCAATGACTCATCAACCTATAAATTTAACCAAGATAGATGAAGATTTAACTAATTTTGATTATGATTATCAAGTTGATGATTTAAATGATGGAAATAAATTGAAATTAAACACTGGTGAATCACAAAATCAACAATATCAACAGCTTCCACAACAACAACAACAAAGAGATATAATACATGAAGAAGATGAAGAAGAAAATGTAGTTGTAAAACCTTCTGAATTAGGTGAACCATTTACTGATGATTTATCAAAACCAAAATATTTAGGTGCATCAGATAGAACAAATTCAATAACAAGTCAAGGTAAACCAATAAGATCAATATTGAAAAGTCAAAAACCAATTGATGAATTTGAGGAATCACCATCACAACAATTACAACAACATCCAGTAGGAGTTGATAATATACCAATTGCTGCCGCTGCTGCCGCTTCGGCTGCCCCACAAGCTGCTTCAAATGATGTAAATGAAGCCTTACCTAAAAATTCAAAACATCCATATCAAAATTTAACTCAAAATACTCCGACTCAATCAAAAACTAACAAAACAAAAAGTCCAAATTTTGGTCCACAATCTTCATCTTCAAGATCTAATCAAAATTCAAGAACCGTTCAACCAATTTCTTCACCAAAAGAAGGTATTCATTATAGTCATTCACCAGGCAGTTCAATAAAATTTGATGATAAAGTTGAAACTATACCTATACTTAGTGAGAGATCGACTTATCCACAACAACAATATTCTCCACCACAACAACAACAATACCAACAACAATACCAACAATATCCTCAAAATCACTATCAACAAAATTCACCACCAACTCAAAACCAATATAAGTCGAAAGGTAAAAAATCAACCCCACCAGGTCCACCTTCTAATCAACAACCAAGTGCTGATTTTTATGCAGCAGCAATGCAAGCAGCTTACAAGAAAGTTTATGGAGATCGTGATCCAAATGCAGTGTCACCACAACAACAACCAACTTCTCCAACTTTGGCTAATCCATCACAACAACCATTAACTCCTCCTCAACAACCACAAGAAGATCACCGTAAATCCAAATTTGGATTTATTCCGTTGAGTCCAAGAAAAGATCAACAACAATATGAATCACCACAACAAATTCAACAACAACCAGAACAACAACGGACATCATCAATTAATTCATTTATAAGAAACAAGATTCAAAATGATCAAAAAGCAGCAGCACAAGCATCAAATGAAAAAGCCATTCCATCAAATTACGAATATACAAACCACCATAGAGAATTTCCTTTACATTCAATGAGGGATCAACCAAAAGTAGCAAACATGAGGAAGGAGAAATTGAAAGAAGATACAAAATTAGCAAAAGAACAAGAAAAAGAGCAAAGACAATTAGCTAAAGAAAATGCAAAAGAACAAGCAAAAGAGGAAAAACAAAGAGCTAAAGAAAAAGAAATTGAAGATAAGAAATTAGCTAAAGAACAAGCAGAGTTAGAAAAACAAAGGGCAAAAGAACAAGCTGAGGAAGAAAAATTAAGAGCCAAGGAACAGAAGAAAAGGGATAAGAAACCAATCTTTGGTGGGTTGTTTAGTAGAAGAAAAAGTCAATCTGGTACTTCTGTTTATTCAAATGAAAGTAATCCTGTTGGTGGTCAAAGACAAACTCAAAGAAATAGTGTTGAACCTACTGCTAATAATAATGTTGGTACAATCCCTGTTGTTGTTGAAGACTCTACTCCAATTGATAATACTGGCTTAAGTAATAATCAACCACAAACTACTACAATTGTCACTGGAACTACATACCCTGATAATACAATTACTGAAACTACAATAATTGAACAAGAGCCAATTCAAAACGCTAATACTTCGAAATCAGCTGCTGGTGTTGATCAATCAAAAGGTTCAACTACACGTGAACCAATTCCTGAAACAAATTTAGCTCCGCGTCCAGAAATAAGTGAACCAGTCAAAGTTGAAAGATTGGGACCTGCTCTTGAAACACAAGCTGATAATATAGTTGAAGAAATTCAAAATGAAGCTTTAGAAAACGGAGTAGTTAACGTTGAAGGTGTACCAATAAGTGGTGAAACATTAGGACCAAACTTGAATGAAATCCAAGAACCATTAAATGAACCAGAATTTTTAAATCCATCTAATGCAAATATTGAACCTGAAATATTGGAAGAAGAAGAAATAGAACAAGTGAAAGGTGATCCAACTCATGATGTTCAACTTGACAATGGTGAATCATACAAAATCTCAGTTCCAAGAAATCATTCATATGAAGATTATAGAACTCCAGGTGAAGAAATAAATGAATTTTTACCACTGCCAAACATTGGTCAAAGAGATTCAAAATTCATTGATGACTCATACACTACAAATAATCAAGCAATAGAATCATCAAATATACCAAAAGTTCCAAAACCAGAATTGAATGAAATTGATGATGATGAATATGAACAAGAAGAACCATCTTTCAAAAGTTATGAAAAAGTTGAACCACCAAGTAAGGAAGTTGAAGAAGTTTATGATATTGTTGATGAACAAGAATTAAGACAATTACAAGCTGATCCAAATGTTAAACTTGAAGAAGTTAAACCAATCAATCCATCGTCAGCTATAGAAAGTAAAACTCCTCAAGTTAATGCGGTACCAACTTTTACTTCAGATGAAACCATTCAACAACCAACAACACTAGATCCAAGTTCTCCACACCAAAAATTAGGTCATGAAGTGCATCCATCAGCATTTGTAAAAGATCATAAATTATCTCAACCACATGAAAATCAAACTTCTGATACATTTGCAGGTTCTCAATTTATTAAAAAAGATCAACCACAATCCAAAGTAAGTAAAAATTTACCACGATCACCACAACAACCAAATTTTGTAACTGATGAACCACCTCAACAACAACAACAACCAACCTCAACATCTCAAACACACGGAAGTGAAACTTATGCACCACCACAAGAGAAGAAAAGAGAAACTTACTCATCAGTAGATCAAGATTCGTCAGCTCAACCAAGTGCAGATACTTTACCAACAACGCAATCAAAGTATGGTTACGATCAACAACAACAACAACAACAACCACTTCAACAAGTAGCAGATACTTCATACGAACAAAATGGTGATCATGATGTTGTAATTGAAGAAAAGAAAAAGGGCAAATCCAAGAAAGATAAAAAACCAAATAAATTTAAAGAGAAATTGTTCAAGTACTTCGTTAGTGCTTATGATAATTAGAATATAATGTATATTAGTATTCACACAAGTTAGTTTTAATATTTGATTTTATTGTATAACTATACAAATTTAATGATTGACTTTATCTTCGTAAGATCTGAAGATGTAGAATATGATTCTATAACAAATATTTTTCCATTAATATGCTATGTAATCTATTTACTAAAATTTCTTTTGAGCTTTAAATCTTTGCTTAGTAGGTTTTTGAATCTTTGATTTACCCATAACTTTACTTTTTTTTCTTTTTGGTTCATCTTTTTCATCATCATCATCATCATCAGACCAATCTTCATCATCTTTTGTCTTTTTGAATTTCAATTTATTCTTTTGGCCTCTTATAGGAGCTTGTTTTACTGCATCTAAATAAGCATCAATTCCTGATTTACCACCTAAAGGATCTGATTCTTTTTCATCGAATATTAATTTACCATTTTTGGTTTTAAAATCTTGTTGTTTTTGCTTGAGGTCTGATTTAGTGAATTTTTTAGGTTTTGAAGAAGAAATATGAGCTAATGCTTGACGATCTAATAAATTTAATGGTTCATCGTTTGATTCTAATATAAATTGATTTGATTTTTTGTTTTTACCACGAGTGCTATCTTCATCATATATATCTACTTCATCTTCTGAAATATCTGAATCGTATAATGCTTCTTCATATGCTGATACAAATTTCTTATTTGATGGATTAGCACCAGCTTCTATTTCTGGGTCTTGTGTTTGTTTTCTCTTGGCTCTTAATCTTGATTTCTTAATGTTGATAACTAACTTCTTGTCTTCTTCTGGCATACTATTTTCAACTTCTTCAACTCCGAATTTTCTTATCAATCTTTCAATTATATGTTTAACTTTAGATTTGAAATGTCCCTTATGTTCATGAGACCATTTCATTAATTTAGCGAGTAATTCTGATAAGTTTGCTCTAACCATTTCTTCAGGTAATGATAATATTTCAACTTTTACAAACCCTATTGCAGATTTTGCAATTTCTCTTGAATTATGAGTTAAGAATAATTCAACAGTTGATGATATCTCAAGTAAAGTTTCAGTAGATAATTTATCTTTAAATTCAAAAATTAAACATGATATTGCTGTTATGGTTGCTGATATCATGTGTGGATTTTGTGAAGCTAAACCTGCACTTACCATTGTGAAGAACTCATTTATGGATGCTTGTGTTGGTTCGATAGATGAATCAAATCCTGGAACTTTTGAATTTTCGATAACACCACCTTCAATCATTTTCTCTCCCATTTTGATCAAAATTTGGTAAGATAAACCTCTTGATCTTTCGTTAACATCTTTTGTAGCCATTATTATTTCTTGTAATACTGATGGAATAAAATATAATTCTGTTTGCGGTAATAATTCAACAACTAAAAGTATAGCATGTAATCTTGATGTTCTTGCTGATTGATTTGTAACTTCAGCTGCTTCAATAATTTTGTTCTCAATATCTCCAATATATTTAAAAACTGATTTTTTACCTTGTTCTGATTCAGTTAATTTTGTTATAATTCTATAAGCTCTCTTTTGTAATAATGGTTTTGTCTCTAATGAAATTGTTAATGCAAAAATGGAAAAAAGGGCATTATGTGATGAATCTGGGACGTATTTTGCCATAGCTACTATAAGATCCATCATTGTTATACTTGTATCTGGTTGTGACTTCTTTGTGGTTTGAGTTTCTTCATCTAATGCAGTTTTTAACATTCCACATACTTTATCAAATGTTGACGCTAATTCTTGTGGCGATATAATTTTCAAATATGCTTCTATTGTTTCCAAAACAAATCCTCTTGATTCTGGCATTGTGTATGTAAATACATTAAATAAAACAGTTAAAATATTAGATGCAATTGAACTTAAATATTCTAAATTTTTAATAGCCTCTTCTTTTGGATACTCTTGTTGCAATAATAAATTATCATCATAAAAACCATCTCTGTATAAAATATTTGATTCAACTAACATTCTCCATGCATGACATATAGAAGTTCTTAATTCAACTTTTGCAAACATTAAATCCGATAATTTTGTAGCAAAAGATTCGTCAAATGCAATTGAAAGATCTTTAGGTAAATCACAAAATCTTGGTAATAATGACCAAATTTGATCAATTATAGTTTGAAAGATTTTAACATTCATTGATTCTTTATTAGTCGATTCTCCAATTTTGGTTTCAAAAAATTCAACACTTGGTAAAATATCATTCTTGTAATATTCTAATTCTGCAAAACGTACATTATCCCTGAGTATAGGTAATAACCAAGCTCTACCAGCTCCAGCTTGACCAGTTAAATTTAATGGTAATACACTCAATACAACTTGTGGACCCATTGATGCTATAGATGCAGCTATACAATCTTCTGCCTCTTTGTTATGTGGGAAATTATCAGCTTCGTTAGTTCTCCAATCTCCAACAACTTCTAAAATACTAAGGAAATCTGGATTTGCTCTTGATTGTAATTTGTTGATTGTTGCTGTTACAAATTTCAAAATTTCACCTGTTGCGTGTTGATATTTTATGGAAAATAATTCTTTTTCTATTAATTCTGAAATAAAAGTTATAGTGTCATCAACTAATTCATAAATTTCTTCAGTTATTTCATATTTTTTATTTGGTTGTAACAAGAATTTTTCAGGTATGGTTTGAACAATTATGGCAATTAAACATTGTGCAGCACTTGTATAAATGTCTTTTGAATCTGATGCTAAAAATTGTGAAACTATACTTAAAACATGTGGTATTTTTTTTAAACACTCAATTGGTGATAATGAACTGAATCCCTCTAAGGCTTTTGCAACAACAGTCAACCAAGATGCAGTTAAATGAGAGTCATTAACACTTGGCTTCAAATCAAATATAGCATTTAATACCTTGGTGTATTTTTCAACATCTATTACATTTGTCATTGATTTGAATAATCCTTCAAATGCTTCAAATGCTGCACCAACTAAATATTGATCGGAAGTCTTGGAAATTTCTAACAATGCATCACATAATTTTTCAATGTTTTTAACTGGCCATGAATTAGATGATGTTATAATAGTGATTAATTGTAAACAATGTATGATTTGTGAATTTAAGTCCTTATTAGGATTATTTTTCTTTTGTTGTTTATATTCATTTAATAAAGTGATTAATTGATTTAATGATGCATCCGAAGCAGATGATGCCGCGACATGAACTGGACTTGGACTAGTTGGTGGATTTTGTAATATATTTTTAACAGCTTCTTGAGCTCTTCTTCTAACTTTTGGTCTTGGATCAAATGATAATTCAATAAAAGCCATAAATGCACGATTTGGAGAAATTGCACTTCTTTGTAACCATTGAGAATTGTCTTGTGCTAACAACAAACTTTCCATTGCTCCAATTGTTGATCTTACTAATGGTGCTTCGGCATTTAAATTTAATGGTTGAGATAATTTTAATAATATATCATTAAATTTTTGTTTTAATAATGGTTTTGGAGTAAATGGGAATATGATATCAAGGAAATATGCCGTTGTTGTAGCTAATTCGTCATCAATAATTTGATCATTTTTGATACATTGATCCAATAATGAAAGGAAAGATACAAAATATGCAACTGGTGTTTTGTCATTTTTCTGTTCTTCTATATTTTCTTCAACTGCTGATAATATTATAGCTAAATGTTTTTGATTTTCTAATTTTGATGTGATTTGTGATCGTATTTTGGATAATCTGTCTTGTAGAAGCTCACTATCATTCTGACTATTTGATATAGTTTCAGACATTGTTGGTTGTATTTCAAATTGCATGGATTTGAAACTTGATTCAAGTTAAATTTATTTTTTAAATGCATCTTAATTTAATAGAGATGAGAATTATATGAGAAGAGTCAGTCATGTGATTCGGAAATATAACACCGTATTATATATTATATTTAATATATACAGTCTATGCATCAAGATTCAAAGCTTCAAGATATTGATCTATAACTTCAATATCTCTATTATATTCAAGCAAAGCCATTTGATATAATTTGATATTTTCTCGTTTATCAGAAAGTCCAATAGCAGGATCAAAACTTTCATGATCATCTCCCAATGCATATTTTTTAGATAAATAATATCTTATATCATCAACTAATTCAATAGTATCTGTAATTTGTCTTTCTTTAATTCTTAATGCTGATTCATTAATTAATGTCCTTAACTTTGCACTTTCTGTCTCTGATTCATAAATATTTTGTAAATTATATGCAATCATTTTCGTTATATGTTGTTCTAATTTATCACATCTTGTCTGCCATGCGATTCTTATTAAATCATATGCATCATGATTAAGATCTTGTTTGAGTTGTGAGTATTCTTTAGTGGAGAAAGTCGAATATTGAGAACTAATCTTCACAGCAGCTATTGTTTTCAATCTTTCTAGAAATAACTCATCAGCTGCAAATAATAACTCAACTGTGTTTTGTAGTGGTATTTTATCAACTTCGTCATGATATAAATAAGATAGCACCATTGTGCCTACTTTTTCATTAGATGTACTCCATGATAATCTTATTACTGGTAAATGTATTTCTTCTAATTGAGGTCTGTTCACTACTGAAATTTGACCTTCTTTATAACTTGGAATGTCTTCTTCCGCGTATCTGAATATATCTGATTTAAACATAGTGTCAAAATATTCTGATCTTGCAATTATTGATTTATTAGCAGGATAATATGTGATGGTGTCCGAATTTGAGTCGACATTTGCTAGTATAACGTCGGGTATTGAATTCGAATTTAGTATTTGTGATTTCGTATTCTCATCTATAAATTCTTGACAATCAATATCCTCCAAGTCAACATCATCCTCCAAGTCCAAATCTGATTTAAAACTTCCTAGTATGATTTCATTCTTCAAAAGTACCAGAAGATCTTTCCTAGCTTTCTCAACAAATTTCAAAGCCAATGCATGTTTGATTTTGTATTGTTGTTTCTCATCATCAACACCTGAAATCTCAATAATGCCCTCCACTAAATCATACAATTCATACTTTTTTGCCAAATCTAGCACTTTTGAATGAATTTTAGTGTTTGTTATAGCCATTGAGTCAGTTCTTAAATATATATAATCGATTATAACCTTAAATGCTAAAGGATCAACTTCTTGTGGCATGTTCACTACCGATAAATTTTGCCAATCACTAGTAAACTTCTTCATAAAATAAGGACTTCTCGAAGCTAATAAAAATCTATGCAATGCAAATCCAGATAACTCAGGACTTAAACCTTTTTGATTAAACTTAAAATAAATATCTTTATTTGAAGGATTAGCCAAGAATAATGAAATATGTCCAGCAAAAGGTTGATTAATGTCCACAGCTTTTGAAACATCATAACTAATTAATAAATCCCTGATTTCATCAGTTAAAGCTCCATAAATACATCTTGCACCTTGAAAAGTATCTCTATCACATACTGCTCCTCTTTTCAATAATAATTCAACTATATTATAATAACCTCTTAATGATGCAGTATATAGTAAAGAATTATTATATTCATCCAATTCGTTTATATTTAAATCTGGTGTACTTAATAATGAATCAACAACTTCAAAATCTCCAAGTTGACAAGCATGAAAGATTTTAGTATAAACCAGTTCTATATTATTGGATTTGACGTTTGCTGAATCATTTACTTGATCATTTGTTGCAGAATAATTATCACTACCGTCGTCATTGAAAGATGGTGGAGTTCCAATATCAGGATCATTCAAAGATAAATTCTGACCATTAATGTTTAGTGATGAAAATAACAGTTCTGTTGATTCTGACATGAATAGATTTAGTCATCGATATAGAATTTCAAATCTATTGAAATGTATTATAGATTGATTAGAATGAAAGATATTATGATTTTATTGTGGCAGAGCTGCTACCAAACCGTTCTAATTATTCACTTTATCTTATAAAGATGATACGAACTGTATTGAGAGAATAAAGATTTAGATCTGACATACAAAATCAATCAATATATGACTTTTTTTACACCAACAATCTAATTGCTTTCATTAATATACCCTCCATCAATTTCCACTTATGCATTTGTGGATATAATCATCAGCTGATAGCTCACTATGTTTAAAGGTGTTAATAATTTAATTATATTCAATTTAACAAAGTATATCGCCACTACAAAAGAATTATTATTAGTGTAGTTTTAGAACCACTTTGAATCCTTCTTGTTCTACAAGTAATACACAATAAGATTTATATAATCCTCTATATCATTAAACGAAGTTTCAGCATTAATCAAAATACAATGTTTTGGAATTATGTCATTTCAAATTGGAATTAAAGATCCTTGTTTTCAACTTCAATTGCAACATCAAATAACCATAGTGGAGAACTTTGTGAACAAATCAACAGAAGATTGCATGACAAGTCATAAGTAATAATTGTGTCACATTATCTGTCTACAGTCTAATAACAAATTTTGATTAATGAGTCAGAGTGATATGCATAAAAAAAGAGAAGAAGCAGCACATCACCACAATCAAGTATTTCCAACAAACAAATTGAAATTGAACCTTTAGAAGAACTAGGATGGAAATAAAAATACAATTGACTGAAATAGCCATTCAAATATAATTTAAGAGCAAAGCAATTTAGTAAAAATAAATCCAATTTTGTTGAAGAAAGTTCGTGTAATACGGATGTGTAATACTTCTATTTATCAAGGACAGGTTTGCAATTACAACAGTATCAACAAGAATAGGAGGAAATGGGAAGACTAATTGAATATGAAGAAGGACAAATCACCAATAATTAGATAGCAACTTTTCATCGTTATCATTAGCTTCATAAAACCTAAAATTGTTATTTCAGCAACCCAACCAGCAGCATTGACAATTGATCAAGCAAACAACACCAGAGATGTATTGAAAGCATCTAGAACTACATCAGCGACTTCCCAATTATCACGTCATAATCATCAAAGAATTGAACAATCAATACACAAACAATTGTTTCAATGGGCTGATAGGTTTTAGTTATGACCTTTAAAAACTCTCGTTTAATTTAATTATTACAATTCCGATCGCTGGTTCAAAATAATGAAAGTAAAGAGTGACGTGAGACTAGTGAAATTTAGCTGATGTGTGAATTGAACCATTTCCCCAGTTTTGGAGTCTACATATTTGGATTTATTTTAATACCCGACAGTTTTTATGACAGTTTTAGTTTATATCACTACTTTATGACTAGAATGAAGTCAGTGGGAACAATTTTAATCATGATGGTAGCTCAGTGGAGTCTAATTATGTATATTTTTTAGATTCTAAATTTTATACAAGGGTATGAACTAAAGGGTCCTAAAACAAAACCGCTACCAATATTTTCGGAGTTCAAATTAGTTTATATAAGCTTTGCAAAATCTATTTAAATTTGCATGTATAGATCCAAATCTACACTCACAATTATGTCACTACAAATAGTTAAATTAGCATTCCAAAATAGTTCAAATCACTGAGTATAAATTAATCAAATAGTTTCTCAAATCCTCACAAAAATTGATATCACTTTTTTTTCATAATCAACCAAAACACACTCAAACTTTGAACTTTAATACATACTACAAAGTTTAAACTTACACATATCAACTAAAAATTTCAATTATATTATAATAATATTCAGATATATACACATCAGTATATCAATCAACTTTAAAATTATACACATATTACAATCAATTTTACTCATATCATAAATTTCAAATTTATACAACTAGAGTATATCACACAACTTTTAAGTTTTATAAAAATTAAAATCAACTTTACTCATATTAAAACTTACTCAAGCTTTGAACTTCAATACATACTACAAAGTTCAAATTTACATATATAAACTAAAAATTTCAATTATATTTTTATAATATTCAGGTATATACACAACAATATATCAATCAACTTTAAAATTATATACATATTACAATCAATTTTACTCATACCATAAATTTCAAATTCATAAACAAGAGTATATCACAGAACTTTTAAGTTTTACAAAAATTAGAATCAACTTTACTCATATTAAAACTTATTCAAACTTTGAACTTCAATACATCCTACAAAGTTTAAACTTACACATATCAACTAAAAATTTCAAATAAATTATAATAATATTCAGATATATACTTATCAGTATATCAATCAATTTTAAAACTATAGACATATTGCAATCAATTTTTTTCATATCATAAATTTCAAACTTATACAACAGGAGTAAAACACACAACTTTAAGTTCCTTAAGAAGTAAAACTAACTTTATTCATATTATATAATCAAAATTTATACTACAGTTACAGTATATTAAATATTTTTTAAAATTTATACAAATCAAAAACTTTAAGTTTCATACATCTACAACTAAGAAGTTTTAAATCTTATACAAATACTACTTTTTAGTTTTAAATTTCATACAACTACAAATTTAAAACAAACTTTTATCAACTACTAAAATGTGTTTCCATCAATCAACTAAAAAAAACAATATTAAAAACTTTTTCACCAAACCATTTAAAAACCACTCAACTAAAAAATCAATTAAAAAAATTCATCAATTAATTTCAGAAATGGACCCAGAAAGTCTTGAAAAATTACAACAAGATTTAACTAGAATTACAGTTTTACATAATAATCAATTATTTGATGCAGGTTGTATATCACCAGTTACAATCATTAGAGATGAATTAAGTGAAACTGGTATTTATGCAAGACCATTTAATTCACAACAACAACAAAAATTAGAATTAGATGACAATCATGGATTAGTTACAAATGTTTTAGAAGATGGTGTTGCAATTAAGGACTTAGAAATTATTGCTTACAAAAACGACTTTGCACCAGGTTTTGGTAAGGAAGAAGATAGAGGAATTGCAGATTTAGCACCAGATACTAATAGAGAAAGAGCAATTGAAATTGATGAAAATGGAGAAACTATTATATTTATGGTTAATGATCAAGTTGAAAAAGTTGCTAAAATTGATTTCGAAAATGAGGATGATTTGGAATCATTAGTAAATAACTCAGACTATGAAGCTTATATTGGAAATTTCAGATCTACCAATTATTTGCCAAGAAGAAGAAAAAACAAATCTAATAAATCAACAAATGAAATTAAATCAAATAAAACAGAAGCTGATTCAAAATGGAATTGTTACAATTTAAATGAAATTGTATCTGATGAAGTTATATTTAGTCCAACTCTGAACAATTCCAATAATGACGAAAATAAAATTGTACCACATAATAAATCTAGTTCTGCTTTACCTAATGAAGAAGATAACAATTTTGTGGTTGTTAATACAAAAGACTACCAAGTCAAGGATTATGGAACTGTCCTTGTGAAGAAGAGGAGAAACGGGTTTAATGCTGCTCAGACCTTAGAATTATTTGATGATGTTTGTAAAGTAGGTTCAAGCAAAAATTTAGAACAAAACAATTCAAGTACAGATGAAACTGCTGATGATAATAATCAATTGAATGAAGATGAAGGAAATGAAAATGCTTCGTTTATTAATGATCATTTAATTACAAGTTCAGATCAAAACCAAGAAAGATTATTTGATGAACTTAACAATCAATTAAAAATAAGTTCAAAAAGAACTAAATTTTTTAAATTTTTGAGAATTTAATAACAATATCGATTATTTTGTGGGATTTTTACCAGAATTTGATATTAGTATTTCACACTAAAGTTTTCAAAGTTTCTTAAAATTGGATAGCCAATTTCATTATTACTAAGTGTTTTCAAGAATCAAAACCATTAACAGTAGAATTAATAACATTAGTTCAATCCATTTTTCATAAATTCAGATAAATTCAAAAATTATGCAAAAAATTATTCACCCTATGGTTTGATTATCGTCAGTAATTATACCTTTAAGAAAATACTCAGTTATCAAAAATCAATATTTTCAACATTTTCAACATTTCAAAATTAACATTTTCAACATTTCAAAATTAACATTTTCAACATTTCAAAATTAACATTTTCAACATTTAAAAATCATCAAATTTTAATTTCATATCATCATCAACATTAGCAATTTTTTAATTACAAATCAAAAAAAGATATCAACAAATTTTTCATTACAGCAACCTTAGACTGGCCACCTATAGTTTCAATAATGGATAAATACCTTTCAGCTACATTTTTAGTTCACAATAATTTTAAGTTTTTAGCGTTTACTTTCATAAGTTAATAAAATCAATTAACTTGATTGTTTTCAAATTTGTAGTTTTCTCTAGTCTTTATCTATTATTAGTATTGTCAGAAGTAAAAGTTCCATAAGTCATTATATATATATAAATTATAGGCCCTCGTAGTCTTGCACTAATCATACATTTTAAATATTAGTCCAAATATATAACCCAAAACTAATAAATTTATCATATTAAGAAAGAATGCCTCTAATTTATTATCCTTACCTTAAATTACTTGGTTACCTGCTGGTCTTCTATCAACCATGTTTACAATTCTGGTAAGAGAAAAAGCTTACTACAATTATGCTACAACTTGAATAATATTCTTATTTTTTTCTTTTATGTGTTTAATTAAATTACATGAAAAGTATATAATAACCTAAATGAATATAAATTTATAAAATAAACCAAATTCTCTTGATTTTATTGAATAAATATAAACCCTTATATTTTTTTTCTTTAAAAATTAGAACATTATAAAAACTCTAAACTTCTTATCTACCTCTTGAAGTAGTTTTAGTATGTTGACCTCTAACTTTTAATCCCCAGAAATGTCTAATACCTCTATGAGATCTAATTTTTTTCAATCTTTCTAAATCATCTCTTAATTTTGATTCTAAATTATTTGCTAAAACATGATAATCTTTACCATCAACTTGATCTTTTTGTCTATTTAAAAACCAAGCTGGGATTTTATAATTAGTTGGATTTTGCATAATTGTAACAATTCTTTCTAATTCTTCTTGAGTTAATTCTCCTGCTCTTTTATGTAAATCAACATCAGCTTTTTTACAAACTAAATTTGAATATCTTCTACCAACACCTCTAATTTTGGTTAAGGCGTACATGATTTTAATTCTACCATCAATATTGGTATTTAATAAACTAAATTAAAAAGTTAGTATTTATTATCAACGAATTTCTGAGATTTTTGGGGGTTGGAACATTGAGATTTGATTTGATTGAAGAGACCTTCGAATGTCCGGGAACAGATTGCGTTCTCTATTTGTTGCAGATGATGCTTAATTGATCTTTAGGCCATCTTATATCTAATTAGTTGTTTATGAAATTTTTCAAAATTATAATGAATTTGACTTGGCTTGACTTGGCTTGACTTATCTTATGTTCATAAATTCTATTCTAGTGAGTTGAATCATCGCCCGTTTGATACTGTTTCTGTGTGATACTGACTGATTAATGATATATATTGTAGTTCTTTAATGGTCTTTCTCCAATCTTTCATAATTAAATTCTTCCCTTCATTTGATTCCAAATCTCATTAAATGACATAATCAATCCTCCAAAATGATCTGTATCTCCATTTATCTTGAAAACATACCGTAAAATATGTTGGAATGAACCTTGTTCTTGAACAACTAATGGCATGTTTGATGATTATATGTATTTGGTTGTTTTATTAAATATTCAGAAGTTCAAATATATCTGAAATATTTCAAATTTTTTGTTAATTAGATTTCTCTCTCTCTTAGTTTTACTATTAGTGAATTTTTTTTCACATACTTAAGAATATTTTAATAACACAAACTATACCTGGGATTGGTAGCACTGGCCAATGTGGTTGTAGCCCTAATGTTTCAGAATTTTATAATCAATATGGCTAGTTTGCAAAAATATGCCGATATCTAATAGTTATACAAATGTAGAGTAGAGTGAAACAAATTCATTAGAATTACTGAATCATTACCATTATAAACCTATATACATGACCTCCTACTTAATTACTATATTTAGCTATAAACCATTCCAAAGCATCTTTTTCAATGAAAATTCTATTAGCTTTTAAAAGATCTCTAACTTCAACATTATCTTTTACTAAAACTCTACCTTTAACTTTAGCTACAGCTTTAGCTTTTTCTCTTTTAGTTAATTTTGAAAGTTCATTATCATTTAAGAAAAATTTTTTTAAACTTTGTTGTAGATTATCTCTTGATGAATCAGTTATAAATAATAAATTTAAATTATTTAAATTATGTGATGATACGAATGATTGAGTTATTTCAAGGTTAGGTTGACCGAAATCACATTGATTTTCAACAACTACTAGATTCCCATTTTTATATTGAGAAGTTAATGCAACTTGAATAGCTTTATTATATATTTTTGAAGGTAAATCAGTACTCCAATCATGATATCCCTTTATAGCATGTGCTTTGATTTCATTATCCATATGAGGTGAATTAGCATCACCTAATCTTGCTCTACCTGAACCCTTTTGTGGTCTTAATTTTTTATTTGAATAAGGTGAATCTGATTTTTGTATAACGTAGTTGGATCCAACTCTAGAACAATCGGCTTCGTAAACTACTGCACTCCATAATAAATCTCTTCTTGTTGGTGTATGAGTATTGAAAAATGTGTGTGGTAATGGGATAAATTGAATAGGTTCGAGGTTTGGGAATGAACGTAATTGGGCTAATGTATATTTTGGTGGTTGTGATATTTTCAATGTTGATGATGTGGCGGTGGTGGGTATTGTTGATGTGGTGGTTGCTAATGTTGTGATTGGTGTAGCTTCTGTAGCTAGTCTTCGTATCGACTGCCTAAACATTTTTTGATGTGATTGTAAATTGTGAAATATGTCTTCTTTAAATTGATCTAAAGTTCGGGTATTTTTTTAATTTGGTTGTAAAAAAAAAGTAGTTTCGCGATTACCAGAAAGAAGACACATTAATGAGACACTAAAAATTTATATCATTCAAGTTTCATATATTAAAATCATTACTAGTCTAAACAGAATTATTTACATCATCATTATTATTATTATTGTCCTTTTTGTCATAATTTTTAGGTGGTGGTTTTGGTGGTTCAGGAGTATCTTCATCATCACTACCTATTATAAAATCATCTAAAGGTACATAATTTGGATTGAGCTTATTGTTATTGGTTTTACCACTTATTTTATTGAATGCTTTTGTTATAAATCCACCTTCATCCTTATGTAGGTTTTCTTCTATATCTTCTTCAAATGTATCTAATTGATCTGCCCATTGAACATTTTTCTTTTTGTTTGTTGTTGATTTTTTAATTATTGATGATGGTCTTGATCTATATGATGCGTATAATATATATATACCCCATATTACTATGACTATTACTGCCAATTGTATTAATCTTGTTATTTTATTGCTTGTTGGTTCTTCTGTGGTGGTGGTGCTGGTTGTTGATGATGATGATGAAGAAGAAGTTATTGAGTCTGTTGTAGTTGTAGTTGAGTTTGATTGGGTTGGTTGTTCTTCTGTTTCTTCAAGAGAATGTTGATCTTCTTCTTGTTCTACTCCTTTTCTATGTACACCTAATGGATAAGTAATAATTTGATTTTCTTTCTCATCATAATTATCAGTTATTAAATCAATTAATGCTCTTGAAACATCAGGTAAATCATAAGGTACCATATGACTTGAATTATAAATATTTATAAATGTTATATTTCTTTCTTGTAAATAACTTCCAACTTTTGAATTATCATGAATCCAATCTAATTGTGAATCTTTATTTTCAAAACCTATTTGACCATTCCATTCTAATTTCATTAAATATTGCATTACACCTTGAGAATTACATATAATATCATTAGCACCATTAAATAATATTATTGGAATATGTTTAACTAAATCTGGAATTTTATGAACTGATGGAAACAGATGTCTTGCATTAAAATTTCTACTAACTCTTCCAGTACATTCATGCCAAGTTCTTAATTGTTTTAAATTTAAATCATGTTTAACATCATTATCATTTAAAAATGGATTAACATATTTTAATTCCATTGGCCAATTCATACCACAATAAGGCCAAGAATCTCTTAATGTATAATCATACATATTTATACATTTTTGATCATCATTTGCCAGTTGATTTAAAGTATATTCTAATAATTTTGTTAATATACCTTCACAAATTGATGAATCAATTTCTGCAGGATTTATTTCATCATCATTAAAATGATTATCTATTTTATCAATTATTTTTTGACATTGTTCTTGTTGATTTAATAATTCTAAGATTTTAGGATGTGATGAATCAATTAATTTATTTTCAATAAAAAATGGTAAATAACTTAAACTTTGTTCATTAGGAGAAACCCAACCATTACCAATTAATAAACCTTTTAATTTATAGGTCTTATCTTGTTCATCTTCTTTTAAATTTTGATTTCTTTTAATAATATAATCTGCAATATAAGGAATATATTGTCCAGCATATGATTCACCAGCAAGATAAATATCATTTTCTAAATCCTGAGGGAATACTTCATAATATTTTTCCATAAATTTTAAAAAATAAAAAGCCATATCATCTAAATCATGTAAATATTTATCTTGATCAGTATAACTAAACCCAGTACCAGCAGGTTGATCAACAAATATAATATCACCACTTTTATGCCATGTACCATTATTTAAAGTTACTTGTTTATCTTTATTAATTCTAAAAGGACCAATTTCTAATAATGCCCCATCCATTGATGAACAACCAGGTCCACCATTAAGCCAAAATATAGTTCTTTTATTATTTAAATCTGATTTTTTAGAATCAATAAATTTCCAAAAATAATAATTTGTATTATTTTCAGGAAATAATTCCAATTGTCCTGAATACATTAAAGGTTTATAATCATCATCAATATTATTCAAACCAGGTAAATTTGTAACTAAATATTGTTTTGTTGGATCTGAATTAATACCTTCTTTTGGAGATATAGCCAAAATAGTCGTTATAAATATACATATAAATAAATAAAATGAATTATGAAACATATTTAATTAGTAGATGAAATTCATAAATATAAAAACTTAATAATAATAATGATAATGAAATGAAATAATTAAATAGTGCCTGTATTTCTTTTTGTATGTATGTAATGTATATATATATATATATTAATAATGGGATATAATGAATATGAGAATATATATGAATAAATAATAAAACTGCCTTTTTAATAATGATTATTTGAATTGAATTTTTGGAGTTGAATTATAAAAAATGTTGTTGATAAACTTAAATTTAAAGTTGATGAATTTGAAAAGTTTAATATTAAATAAATCAATTGTTTTAATTTCAAAGTTATTAATATTAATATTTGGGCAATGATTATAAATTATTATTATTAAGTTAAAATATAAATCCTAATTTATTAATTATTATAATTATCTTGTTTTAAATAAAGTATATTGATTAAAAAATAATAACTTCAAATAATTAATATTTAATAATAAATATTATTTTACTCAACATGGTAAAATAGTGTAAAATATTAAATATTAATATTATTTTATAGGCCTCTATATAATCATTAAAAAAATTTAATATTCGTAACTGAAATTTTATAATTGAATTCCAATGCTACCAAATTACATTTTTAGTTTAATTACATAATTTTTAATTTTTTGACACATATTAAGAAATAAAAATGTCATTTATTTCTTGAATAATCTATTTATTAATAGTTATTTAGATTTGTTTTTATATTATAATGTTCATAAGCCAAGCCATGATATCAGTTAATTTTATATAATCAGGTATACAAACGTCAGGATAAATTTCAATAAAATCTATATGATTTATTTATTGATAAATCCCTGACTTTATTTTTAAGAAGAATTGCAGAAAAATGATTTGATTTTTGACTTAACATATCCGATAATAATTATTATAAAATTTCTTATGTCAAATTGAAAACATACATTATAATATATCTTAATTTATTACAAAAACTCTTAAAATATGGAAAAACTTCAAGCTAATGTTTATCCATATTTATCCAAATCCTAGAAATGATTCTTATTATATTACAAATTTTATAATAAAAAACAGGAGATTAGTATTACAATAATTAATTATTATTATTTTATTAGTACCTTAAATAATATCGGATAATGATTATAATATTTCTCGTAAAATTTATTCCGATAATATATATAAATTTTTCTTTTTACTACTCTCAATTTTATCAACTTATATCCAATATTATTATTTTTTTTATTTCCATTTTAAAATCTATATATTCTCTAACTGATGTATCTATAAAATATTAAATAATAAGCTAACAATTAATAAACTACTAATTAATAATAATTTTTTAACAGTTAATGATTTTTCATTTATATTTCCTAATATTTCAATTTTAATACCATTTGATGTACTATTTATTGAACGAGTTATTGAATTTGAATTAGTACTAGATGATTGTGAATTTGAATTTGAATTTGAATTTGATTGAGAATTGGTTGATGTTAATGTAGGTGCTGACCAAATTGATTGACTACCTGTAAACCCCCATTGATTAAATGTTGCTGAATTTGTATTTGAATTTGAATTTATGACTGAGTTTGTTTGTGAAGTTTGAGAAACTGTATTTGATTGTGTTGATTGTGTTAATGTAGATTGTTGTGAATTTTGTGAGTTAATTATTGTTGAATCAGTAGATGATGTAGTAGTTCCTATATTTTGACTTGATGGAGTCCACCAAATTGTAGTTGAACCTTGTATAGTATTAGAAATTTGACTTTGTACTTGTTCTGATTGTTGTTGTTGAGTAGTTTGAGTATTTACTAGACTTTGAGTATTTGAAGCACTATTAACATTATTTGAAGTATTTACAATTGTTGTATCTTGATTAGAATTTGTAGTTGAAGCTTCATTATTATTACCACCACCAATATTATTATTTGCACTTCCATCTAATCCACCTAAATTTGCAGCATTAATAATAGTTATAATTGATAAACAACTTAATAGATTATATTTAATTAACATATTGATTGATTTGTTATTTGATTTTGATAGTTGATGGAATTTTTGGTTGTAAATAAAAAAAGTGAAGATAAAGATCTTATATACTTTTTAAAAATCATATTTCTTTTTTGTAACAATCCCTTTTCATGACATATATTGACATATTGTATTGCATCATTAATTAAATCTCATTTATTACTTAGTAGTATAGTAAAGTATCATAATTAGATCAACCAGCCATGTTTTGATTTTGTTGCATAATTATTTTTCTTTAGTGCTATATTAGAGTCACAAAATCAAATTTTCATATATCCGAACTAAAAATCAACCAGCATAAATCATAAATAGGATCATTACTACAATAAAAATAAAATTTAATGATGCAATGTTTTTATATTGTCTATATTAAACTATTTATTAAATCATAGCATTTATCAATAGCACATTCAATATCTGATTCAAATAATTCAATAATTTTATTTAATTTCTTAACAATAAAATTAATATATTTTTCATTATTATCATCACTTAATTTTTGTAAAATTAATAATTGACTTAAATAATTATCTTGTTCTAACAATTCTTCGTCTTGATCATCATCTTCTTCTTCTTCTAGTGTGGATTGTAGTACTGGTGATACACTTCTAACTAATCCATATGCAACTGATATACATTCTTTTAAATGATTTGAATTTTGAGAATTAATTGATTTTTGTAAATTTTCTAAAATTAATAATTCTGTTTGTCTTTTAATAAAAGTAAATGATGTATCCCTTGATGGTGATAATGGTGGTAATAAAGGTATATCTAAATAAAATAATTCTGTGTTGGTGGTGGAACTTGATTTACTGGGTGTTATTGGAATATCTATTTGTTGTTGTTGTTCTATAATATCTAATTTTGAATAAATTTGTTTTCTAAATGATTTGTTGTTGTAGTTAGTTGTATAATTTAAAATGGGTACTTTCTTTAAATCTGAAAATTGATGATAATTGTGAATTTTAAAGTTGATTAAGATGTTTTTATTTGTTGATGGTAATATATTCTTTATAGCTATAGTTTGTTTTGAAGAATTTATTGGTATCATTGATCCATTACTTTCAATAGATGAAATTTGAATACCTTCATCAGTGTTGATAGATAATTTAAGATTTGGTATACATATTTTTTGATATACTTCTTTAATAAGTGATTCAATTGATTTTAAAACTTCTTCATAATCTTCAAATCTTATTATTGATTCATTACCATATTGGAAAGGTGACACTAATGAAAGTTGATTTAATGATTCTGTATATTTCCCAATTTTTAAAACACTTATTGAAAAATTATCTCTCAAATGGGAATCAAGTTTTAATGATTCATTAACATCTTCTTTATAACTTCCACAATTAACTATTAATACTTCATTTATTGAAGATTCAGTATTTCCCAAAAATGGATATAATGTATTTAATTTATTTAAAGTAATTTGAATTTCTTGATTAGTTGATTTAAATTGATTTGGAATTATTGAAATTTCATTAATTAAATCTTGCCAACCATCCCAATTAGCTTCAATACTACCAATAAAAGAACCAGTAGCACATGGAGATCTATTCCCATCAACTCCTACTAATATTAAAGATAATTTATCATTATTTCTTAAACTTCCCAATATTTTATATAAAAAGTCTTGTAACCAATATTTATAATCTTGATTTGACATCCAAGATTTATTATATAATGGTAATGCAACTACTAGGTTTAATGGTAAATTTAAAGGTGGTGGTAGTAACTTTGTAATATATAAATTTGAAATTGAACCACCACAACTTATTGAATTATTAAATCTAATTAAATTTTGTGGTATCATAAATTCATTTTGTAAATCTATCCAACAGGTACTTGTAAATTGAAATAAATTAGTTAATGGATCTTGTTGTTTTAATACTTGAATTAAAATATTTTCCCACTTTTCAATTATTATTGAATTTTGATGATAAATATATAATTCAGGTAATGAACTTTCTGATAAATTTAAATTTAATACTCCATCATTGGAAAGATTTAATGAACATAAATCTTCTTCTATTGATATCATTCCAGCTAAATTATCATCATTATAAAATAATAAATAGTTTTTGAATAAATAAATTACTGAATCATCCCATATTTCTCCATTAATACTGATTTTTAATTTATCAAATATTATTAATTCCCCCAATTCTTTATTTAATTGTAATTTTTTTTTCAAATGATTTGAAATTTTAGTTTTTAGTTGGTACTCAGATAAATTAAATTGATTTGATGAATCATTATAAATCATTGGTGGCTTTATATTAAAAATATAACTTATTTCATTATTTTCATTTAATCTTACATTTGATGTCTCACTAATACATGAAATATTTGGAGTATATAATTCTGAATCTTTGGTGGTTGGTTGAGGTAAAGTAAATAAAGATTTTGATTCATTTGAAAAAATATCACTTTCTGTTCTATTAAATGTGGGAGTTATTATCGAAGTGGTAGTGGTTGATATGGAAGAAGTATTCGAAGTATGAGGTTCTAAAAATGGATTTTCTTCATCAAAACTATTTTCAGTACTTAATGATAAAATATTTTCAATTATTGTTTGATGTATTTCATTATCTGCTATTTTTGTAGGTAATTTACATATATTGCAAATTGGTAAATTTTTTAAATTTGATTTATCTATTAATAAAGTAAAACAATCTTTATGGCATGTATGTTCACATTCTAATTCCAATATAACTTCTCCAGGTAATGTTAAATGTAAAGAATCATGACAAAAGCAACATTTATTTTCATTAAAATTCTTATGTATCTTAGTACTGCTTTTTGGTGGAATGGGACTTGTTTCAGTTATTACTGTATCTGGTGATGAATAATGTTGGAAAGACATTGATGATGATGAAGTTAATGTTGGAGTTGTGAAACCATACAGTTGTTTTGATGAAGTTGAAGAATTTGGAGTGAAAATTGGGGACTGCATTGAATATGAATTTGTATTTGGAGTATTTGGTGATATATCATAACTTGAATGTGATTTTTTAAATGGTGATGTTTTAAGTTTTGTTATTATTGAAGACCTTCTTCTTTTTGGAGTTGACATTGATATATTATTTACAAGTTAATTGAAGTATTAATGAAAAGTTAATAATTGAATCAAATCAATTTTATAAAAATAAGACATTGTTACCATTATATATTTTAATATATGAAACTCATTCATAAGTTTGATCCCCTAATTAATATCTTTAACTTCCTTTGTAACAATGAAACAAATATTTACCAGTTAAAAATATGAAATTTTGAAGTTTACCATAATTAACATATACTAATAAAACTTTAAACTGAAGTTATTAAGGATTTATAATTATTGAAGCCATATCTAAATATTAGTAGATTTGCATAATAATTATTATAATTCTGACTTAAAGAAAATAAATCTTGTCATATTGAACCTCATGTATCAAATCAAATTATTATAATTCGATGTAAAAATTAAAATTGATTAACTATTATTATTTGTGTAATAATAAATGATTAACACAAATAAAGTAACATGCATCAATTACTAAAAAGGATACATGTAAAATGTAGTTAATTAATTACATTGATAAGGGAAATAAGAAACAATGCAATTCAATTATCATATGAATTTGTTAGTTTTATATAGCAAAATTGAATTAATGGAAAAATAAAATCATGTATAAGTCATATTTCCAATTGTTTATAATTGAGAGTAGTTTGATTTTAAACTTGTAACTGAAAACTATTTACAAATTTTATTCAGATTAAAAGAGATTAAATAATAAACTACGATCTTTCAATTAGATGAAACATTTAAAAAACGTGTAACAAACTATCAACCGGAAAGCAAAAGTAAAATCGTAAGAAAGTTTAATGTAAATTATTATTATTATTTTATGTATAAGTTATATGTTTTAAATTAATCTCTTTACAATAATTTATTTATCCATTTTTTTCTTTATTTTTCCATTTCATCTTACATATTTAATTTAATTTAATTACAACTTTAATGAACTACTGATATCACAAGTTACATTAATATATTTAATTATGTCAAAAGTAAAACTTGGGGTTCAGAACAATTTTATTACTCTCAAAATTTACACTTAAATTCTTTTATAAATTATAAATTATAAATAAAAAAGGGGTGTTTCAGATTTCATTAATTCAAAAAAAAAAACTGTTGAAATAATTTACATCAAAAACTTTAAATTTTAAACTAATGAAATTTTGTCAAAAAGGTCAAAAATTTCTTTTTGAATTTATATTGTTTTTAAAGACGTTTCATATTCGAATAGTTGCTTTTTTTGCAACTGCTTATTGAGAAAAGTTTATTCACTCAACGGGGGATCTTGGAGTTATTTACATCTAGTTTTGTAATTTTATAATAATTTATAATAAATAAATACGAAATATTATTTAAATTACTATTTATTATAATATCATGTGAATGAAGGAAATTTATTTCTAGTACAATCTTTAGTTTCATCAATGTTCATAATTTTTTACACATACTAATTTCTTCGGTACATTAAAAATTTTGGTTATTTTTACCGTAATATTTATTTAGTCATATAAATTTAAATTTCAATCGTCAATAGATACTTGACTACCATATTAGTTGAATCTCTTACAAGATCGAAATTGAAATGACGATGTAAAATAAAAATAATTTTAATCATTTATTTTCATATACGATTTATTTTAATATCTACTTTGATACCAAATTTTTTTCAACTTTGTCTACCTAAAAACTTTATTTAGCCTTGCTTCGACTTTTAAAACTTTAAACAGCCTTCACACTTTAAACCCTACCTTTGTACAAGTACGATTAAAAGTTTTACCCGCAAATGACCATGCGTGCGGGAATCTAACCATGAAATTTTCAAAAATTTCGCATTAGATTGTGCTGATACGTCAAAGTTGATTTTTGTACCTATTTCGTAACCACATATAAATCAAAGAAAATTTAACAAAACAAGTTAATTTTGAGACTTTTCTATGTTACGATCTTTTCTTGAATTTTAACTTCACATATTTCCGAAAGTTGTTGGAAAGTTTTAGCGTATTAAATTAAGATTGAATTACTATCATAAAAATATGAATAATATGTTTATACAATATTATTAGGGTCAAATTGATGAAAACGTAATGAAAATCCAATTCTCTAAATTTTTGAAAGTCAAATGTACTTGAATCAGCCTCAACTTGAAATTACTGAAAAAATTTTTATTGTGTCTAAAACTTTAATTTGAAAAATTTTTAAAATCACATAAAAAAATTTTAGTTAGTCGTATCTGCAACAAATACAAATACCCAAATAAAGTTAAAAAATATACAACTAAAAAATATCATACCGTAACTTAAAAGGTACTGATACGTAAATCAAGATCTAGGAGATCATAATTTTTCGTAATAAACTTATAATAATATTTTCAAATTTGTTTACTTTTTGAATTTTATTTTATTATCTTGTGCGATATTATTTAGATCAAACATGAAACAAATTTGAAATATAATAAATTTTTTTCACTAAATTTTTAGACACCTGTGGGGTAGATTATTATTATAATTTGCCGTATACGGGTTTGTTTTGATCTTGTCATATATTATTTACATCGCCAATTGCAGATACGATTTAAGGCAGTTTTGATCCATTCAAGATCCTTTTTTTTTAAGACTTTAGTCATGTTTTGAAAATATTTAGTTATCTCCGAGCTAATTTTAATCGATACTTAGTTACCGTCTAAATTGTTTGGTTTTCTACTTGACGATTTGTCGAAAAAGATGAGTATTCCAGTTACCCCATTTTGACGTTTCAAAATTAGGTCTAGATGCAAAATTTATTGGGGTTCAATTCAATCTCGAATCTGAGACGAGTTTGATTCATATGTCATACCACTCCTTTCAACTTTGTTTGACGAGCAGCTTTTTCCACAAATTGGAAAGATTCACAAATCTACAAGAATCATCACAAAACATTACACTACTCAAAAATTAGACGGTCAAATTTAATCTTTCGTAAGTTCAGATTCCTCAACTTGCATATTTAAATCACCAATTGTACAATGTTTAAAATAGTTTAAAGTACAAAAGTAGGAGCTAAAGCAGAATTGAGTAAATATAAATATTCTAGATTCAAAGCCTTTTCATTGACTGTAAATAATTCTTTTAAAATATTGAGAAGTTACTTATTTTAAAAGTAAATGATGACCAACTCTTACGACAGTACCGTCCAAGATATGTAACCATTTAACTAATCTATCAAAATCTCCATCTTCAATAGCTTCATTCAATCCAGGTAAATTTTGACCAGCTAAAAAAATTAAAGTTAGTATATTAAATTCTAGATTTGCAAAATTAACACTTTTTTATACATACCATAACCAGTATATCTACCACTAGCAAATACAATATGTTTAAACCAAGGTCTAGTATGTAATCCCTTTGAATACAAAAAGTTTCTTTCAAAATATTGTAAACCCTTATTATGACCTTTAATTTGTAAATAAAGTTTAATTCTTTTCCAAAATGGTAATTCATCTTTGTGTTCAAATTTTGATTGTAAACTTTGAGATTCAAAATCATACTGTTCAGTTACATTTGCTAAAAATTTTAATGATTTTTGAGTATGCTTGAGTAAATCTTTTAAGGTTCTGTTATCGTGATGATGATTTACATCTTCACTTTCATGAGTTATTCCCATTTGCATTTGTTTACATATTGGAGTAACAAATTCACCACTTGTAATTTCTTTCATATAATTATATTCTTTTAAATCGAATTTTGGATGTGATTTAATTTTCTCATTTAACCATTTCTTTGGTACTTTATGAATCGTTTCATTATAATAAGCTAATAAACCCTTTGCATAATCATTTAAATTAAAATGAATTAATTCTCTTTCACTTAATTCTAAAGCCAATAATGCTAAATATTTTGCAGCAACATTATGATAAACAAATCCTTTATCTCCAAATTTCTCCATCCAATGATAAGAATCATAATTAGAATGATAATGATATATAGGGTCTTTTTTACCACCACTAAATCCTAAATCAAATGATGGAATACCTAAATGTTCTAAAAATACCGTATAATCTGATCCACTACCTAAAGTTGGAATATATTTATGATTTTTAGTGTAATGCTCATATAAACTACCACCTTCTGGATAATCTATCTTTTTAGCGGTTTCTAATAATAAATCATTTAATACTGGTGAGGAATTTAATTTTAAATTTTTACCACTAGTGGCAACATCAACATTTAAATATGCAACCACTTCCTTTTGATACTTCTTAGCAAAGTATTCTCCACTTTCCGAACTACCAATTAGACCCTGTTCTTCACCATCATATGAGTTTAAAACAATAGTACGTTTGAATTTATGACCAGCTTTCTTCAAATCACCTAATGCCCGTGCAATTTCAACCAAACTAGCACTTCCAGAATTTGGATCTCCTGCACCACCTTTAATCCAAGCATCTCTGTGATTACCAATAATTATAACTTCATTTGACTTCTCACCTTTAATTTCTCCATAAACATTCCATATAGTAGTATAATTAAAATCTTGTAAAGAATATAAATTTAATTCATATTTTGAAGGACCAGTAGTATAGTTAAACCCATCTAGTTCACCTTTAAACCCTTGTATTGATTTACCATAGCCATTTAATTTATGTAAAATTGGTTTAACTTCACGATATGATATAGGTAAAACCGGAATTTTTCCAATACTTGAATGTGGATCTTGTCTTTCAACACCTGGTTTGGAGGCATATCCGGGAGTTGTAGGATCACCTGGAGCTGCACCTTCACCTCCTAAAAATTGAACACTACCTCTTTGAACTGAACTTTCTTGTCTTGCTGGTCCTTCTGGATATTGTTTATAACCATTAGCTGGTGTTATTCCATTATCATCACCTGGATCTGAGTATATTAATACACCAATTGCTCCTTCATCTTGAGCAAATTTAACTTTTAAACCACGGAATATACCTCCATAACGTACAACAACAATTTTACCTTTTACATCAACACCATTTTCTTTTAATAACTCAAAATCTTTTTTGGTTCCATAGTTAGCATAGATATATTGACCAGTAACATTTCCATTAGCTCCATATCCCAAGAAAGTCGGAACAGTATCATTTCCTTTTGTAGTTGGATCTTCATCAATAACATCTTCTTTTAATGGTGCAGTATATACAACTTCTCCTTTTGAATTTAATAATTTTAAATCATGCTCTTTTGGGAAACTAAGGTACACTTCATATGGGTCTAAAGTTGTATCAAAACCATATTCTTGAAATTTTTCTTGTGTCCATTCAACTAAATGATAATTTGTTCCAGCTAAATGGGCTTCTGCTGTGTAAATTTTTGACCAATTACTTGCTAAATTAGTTTCAAGTGAATCTAAAACAATTTTCTCTGGATTTAATTTCGGTGAATTATTGCTAAATACTGAAATTGATATGTTGAATAAGTTAAAGTAAAATAAAATACCAATTGCTGAAATCCAAGCTATCCATTTCAAACCTTTACCGTTGTTTCTGGCTTTGGGAGCCTTGTAAATATTAATCTTTTCATCCATTCTAAATTTGTTAGTTAATGAAAAAGTGATTCAAAAGCACTTGTGAGCTGAAAGTTAACAAGGATGGATTTATAAAATATTGATGAAATTATGCTTTTTTTTTAAATATAATAGTGGTGGCTCGAAATATTTCAAAAGGAATTAATACGGAATTAATTGGTAGTGCAGTCTCTTTTTACTTATCTTATCGCTTACTTTAACTTTTGTGCCGTGTCAAGGAATTTACTTATCTGACATATTTTGTGTCAAAATTCAAACTTTGACATATTTTAACTTTCCTTTAGTTAGAGTTAGAACTACATGTTTATACAATTCAATATTAAACTCTAATAATTAATCTCTATTGTCTAATGTACTTAACTTTATATTCTCTATTCAACTATTTGTTTTACAAGATCATCAATTGATTCTCTTAAAGTATAATATTTTTCAATTCCTAAAATTTCTTTACTTCTTGAATCATTCGGTGGAACAAATTCACTTTCTGGCATTGGTTCCAAAGTAGGTAACTTATCTTTATATTGTGGGAAATCTGATTTGATTATAGATAAAATATTTGGAGTAGTTAATTTAAATGCTTCAACTAAAAGTCTTTGATTTGATGCCTTTGGATTATTTAATACAGCAACATGAGCTTTTGCGGCATCTCTTACATCAACACCACCAGTTGCTAATTCTGGTACATAACTATCTTTATTTAATTTTAATAAATCTCCAACTGTTTTTGTAGTTGATGGTAATTTATCCAAATTAATTTCTTCTTGAAATACAACTGGACCAGTCAAGAAAGCAGGTAAAATTGAAACAAGATCAAATTTTGGTTTTTGTTCTTTAATATGTTTTGCAAATAATTTTTCACCTTCAATTTTTGATACAATATATGACATGAAACGATCATGTTTACCTGCTTCATATGGGACATTTGACCAAGCTTCTGGATCATCAATATAATGTTTATTTACGCTAAATAATTCAGGAGGTGAAATCATTGCCGATGATGAACTAGTATAAATGACTCTTTCAATTTGATGACCATGTTTTGTTATTGAATGTAAAGTATTTTCAACTAAATAATTACTTTGTTTCAACACTTTATTTTCCAATTCTTCTGGTTCAACAGTTGAAAAATCAGTGATTGCTGCACTTGCAATAAAATATTTAGCTTCTTTATGTTGTTTTAATACATAATCTAAAGCTCCATGTTCTGCATAATTTTCAACAACTTCAGTTTGTAAATAAGGATGTGCAAATAATTTAATTAAATCCATAGCTGCAATTTGTGAACGAGCAGTTGCAACTACTTTATATTCATTTTTTAATAATTCAGCAATTATATGTTGACCTAAATAACCAGTACCACCAGTAATGATAACCGTTTCAGACATTGTTGTGGTATTATGAGAATTGAATAATTTGAAATTGATTAATTGACTTTTAATTTTAATTTATCAAAAAGATATGAAATTTTCATTCTCTAAACGGCACAAAATCTATGAATTTCTGAAGTTGATTTTATTATTATTATGTAGATAATTTGTTAATGCACAATGTAATAAATTAAAATTATATAATGTAACTGCCATATTTGATGTCTTTGATGTATTTTTTTTTTTTTCCTTGAAAGCATAAGGGAGATGGATTTACCAATAGATCTTCTTTTTGTTCAAGCAGCGAGTCCTTTAACTGTTAAGTAATATCCAATGTAGATTAGGTCATAAAAATTATTTGGAGATTTCTCTACTTTTGATGTTTTAGGTAATGAAAATAAATTAGTCACATGTTAATAACGGTGACAGGTAGTATTTAGAGTCCAGGTCAACACCATTTTCATTCCAACTTTCACCTTTTTTGGATACTTTAGGTATTACTTTTGATGTCCAACTGTTAATTATATTCAGTGAAATAGGTCTCAGATTTATTAGTTCCATCATATTCTGTATTTTTTGTGTCTGAACCATATTTTTTTTTCTGCATTTTCTGAGACATTTCCAACATGATAAACATTTTGGCTTCTAGGTTCTATACTACGATCGGTGCTAAACTGTTAAGACCTATAATTAGTGTACTACAATGACTTGAGAAACTTTCAATTCTGACAGTTTCGTTTATAGATAGAGAGATAGAGAAAACTACAACTTTGTAAACAATCAAGTTGGTTGATTTTATTAACTTATAAATGTAAAAGCTAAAAATTTAAGAAAAATATTGTGAATTAAAAATGTAGCTGAAAGGTATTTATCCATTATTGAAACTATAGGTGGCCAGTCTAAGGTTGTTGTAATGAAAATTTCGTTGACATCTTTACTTTGATTTATTATTGAAAAATTGCTAATGTTGATGATGGTAAAATATTAAAAGTTGATGAATTTTTAAATGTTGAAAATGTTGATTTTTAAATGTTGAATATGTTAATTTTGAATTGTTGAAAATGTTAATTTTTAATAATTGTATATTTTCTTTAAAATATAATTACTGACAATAATTAAGTGATAGGGTGAATAATTCTTTGCATAAATGTTGAATTTATCTGAATTTATGAAAATTGGATTGACCTAATGTTATTAATTCTACTATTAATGGTATTGATTCTTGAAAAGACTTAGTAATAATGAAGTTGGTTATCCAATTTTTAGAAGCTTTGAAAACTTTAGTGTGAAGTACTAATATCAAATTCTGGTAAAAATCCCACAAAATAATCGATATTGTTATTAAAGTCTCAAAAATTTAAAAAATTTAGTTCTTTTTGAACTTATTTTTAATTGATTGTTAAGTTCATCAAATAATCTTTCTTGTTCTTGATCTGAACTTGTAATTAAATTATCATTAATAAACGCAGCATTTTCATTTCCTTCATCTTCATTTAATTGATTATTATCATCAGCACTTTCATCTGTACTTGAATTATTTTGCTCTAAATTTTTGCTTGAACCTACTTTACAAACATTATCAAATAATTCTAAGGTCTGAGCAGCATTAAACCCGTTTCTCCTCTTCTTCACAAGGACAGTTCCATAATCCTTGACTTGGTAGTCTTTTGTATTAACAACCACAAAATTGTTATCTTCTTCATTAGGTAAAGCAGAACTAGATATAGTATGTGGTACAATTTTATTTTCATCATTATTGAAATTGTTCAGATTTGGACTAAATATAACTTCATCAGATACAATTTCATTTAAATTGTAACAATTCCATTCTGAATCAGCTTCTGTTTTATTTGAATTAGCTTCACTTGATGATTTATTAGATTTGTTTTTTCTTCTTCTTGGTAAATAATTGGTAGATCTGAAATTTCCAATATAAGCTTCATAATCTGAGTTATTTACTAATGATTCCAAATCATCCTCATTTTCGAAATCAATTTTAGCAACTTTTTCAACTTGATCATTAACCATAAATTTAATAGTTTCTCCATTTTCATCAATTTCAATTGCTCTTTCTCTATTAGTATCTGGTGCTGAATCTGCAATTCCTCTATCTTCTTCCTTACCAAAACCTGGTGCAAAGTCGTTTTTGTAAGCAATAATTTCTAATTCCTTAATTGCAACACCATCTTCTAAAACATTTGTAACAATTCCATGATTGTCATCGAATTCTAATTTTTGTTGTTGTTGTGAATTAAATGGTCTTGCATAAATACCAGTTTCACTTAATTCATCTCTAATGATTGTAACTGGTGATATACAACCTGCATCAAATAATTGATTATTATGTAAAACTGTGATTCTAGTTAAATCTTGTTGTAATTTTTCAAGACTTTCTGGGTCCATTTCTGAAATTAATTGATGAATTTTTTTAATTGATTTTTTAATTGAGTGGTTTTTGAATGGTTTGGTGAAAAAGTTTTTAATAATGTTTTTTTTAGTTGATTGATGGAAACACATTTTAGTAGTTGATAAAAGTTTGTTTTAAATTTATAGTTGTATGAAATTTAAAACTAAAAAGTAGTATTTGTATAAGATCAAAACTTCTAAGTTGTAGATGTATGAAACTTAAATTTTTGATTTGTATAAATTTTAAAAAAAATTTAATATATTGTAGCTGTAGTATAAAGATTATATAATATGAGTAAAGTTAGTTTTACTTCTTAAGGAACTTAAAGTTGTGTGTTTTACTCCTGTTGTATAAATTTGAAATTTATGATATGAGTAAAATTGATTGTAATATGTATATAATTTTAAAGTTGATTGATATACTGATGTGTATATATCTGAATATTATTATAATATAATTGAAATTTTTAGTTGATATGTGTAAATTTGAACTTTGTAGTATGTATTGAAGTTCAAAGCTTGAGTAAGTTTTAATTAATTTTTATAAATTTTAAAAGCTGTGTGATATACTCTAGTTGTATAAATTTGAAATTTATGATATGAGTAAAATTGATTGTAATATGTGTATAATTTTAAAGTGGATTGATATACTGATAAGTATATATCTGAATATTATTATAATATAATTGAAATTTATAATTATAATTGGAATTTGTAATGAATATGTGTAAATTTAAACTTTGTAGTATGTGTTAAAGTTTAAAGTTTGAGTAAGTTTTGGTTGATTATAAAAAAAAGTGATATAAATTTTTGTGAGGATTTGAGAAACCTTTTGATTATTTTATACCTCAGTGATTTGTACTTTTTTGAAATGCCGGTATTTTGATTTGTAGTGAAATAATTGAGTGTAAAATCGGATCTAAACATGCATATTTGATAGATCTTGCAATGCTAATTTGAACTAATTTGAACCCCTCACAATATTGGTAGCGGTTTTGTTTCAGGACCCTTTAGCTCATACTCTTGCTTAAAATTTATAATCTGAAATATATAAATAATTAGACTCCTCTGAGCTACCAGAAAAGATTCAACTGTCCCACTGACTGCATTCGAGTCATAATGTAGTAAATATGAATCGTAATTGTCATGAAAATGGTTAGGTATTGAGAAAAACCCAAATATGTAGACACCAAAAACTGGGAAATAATTCAACTCAAACATCATTTACAATTTTTACTAGCTCACGTCAATCTAGTCTTCCACTATTACGAACCAACAAATGAGATTGTAATATTTATAATGAATGAAATGTAATTTAAAGGTCATAACTAAAACCAGTCATCCCATTGAAATAGTTCTTTGTGTATTGTTTGTTCAATTCTTTGATGATTATGACGTGATAACTGAAAATTCAGTGATGTTGATTTGGACGCTTTCAGTACTTCTTTGGATGGTCGTTTAATTGATTGTCACTGCTGCTGGTTGGGTTGTTGATGTAAAAAATTTAGGTTTTTGTAAAACTAATGATTGTGATGTAACGTTGCAATCAAATTAATTGTAATTTGCTCTAGTTTGTCTTCATTTGCACTTTTTTTTTGTTTTCATTGATACTGTTGTAAGTGCGATTGTAATTTCTGATATGATGAATAGAACTAATAGTCATCGACAATTCAATAACTTCCTCTTTAAAATTGAGTTTTATATTCACTGAAAATCTCTAATTTTCGGCTACTTCTGTCATTTGTACTATTGCTACCGTTTCAATTCTTTGAATAAACCAACGATAGTATTAATTTCTAATTGTCTATTAAAGGTAATGATAATGTGGTGATGTGCTGCTTCTTTTCTCCCTATATGCAAATGACTCGTAAAAGATTGATCAAATTTGTTGTTAATTTGTAAACGGATAACGTGACACAGTTGTTACTTATGACTTGTCATGCAATCTATTCTGTTGTTTTATTTAGAAACTTCTCCGCTATGGTTATTTTATGTTGCCATTGATGTTGGAAACGATGATTTTAATTCCAATTTAAAATGATGAAGCAAAATATTGAACTCTGATTAATGTTGAGGCTTCGTTTATTGATATAGCGGATTGTATAAATCTTAATTGTGCATTACTTGTAGAACTAGAAGGATTTAAATTGATTCTAAAAATAAACTAAAAATGATTCTGTTGTAGTGGCGATATACTTTAATAACATGACTTTGATTAAAAAATTAACACGATTAAAACATAGTGAGCTCGTAGCTGATGATAGTTTCCACAACTTGAATTTGATGAAGATTATGCTAATAAAGTAATTGAATAGTTTGTGTAAAAAAAGTCATATTTGAATTTGGACTTTATAAAAATTAAAAAAATATTTAATCTATGTGTTTATTAATATATTTTTTGTATTCATTATAGATACTATATAAATCTCGATTTTAGCCCCCCACTTGATTTTCATTAGATGTATCTCATCAAATGAATATATCGTAGATCTATTAGGTTTTAAACCGATGGCAATTGAGCCATAAATTGAGTTCAAATGTTGATCATTTTTGTAAGGGAACACATTAATATTTGCATTAATATTTGCAATTGCAGTTGCATCAATTATTTGTCTAAATTCCGAGATTGCAGTTTCATAATACAATCATTCTGAATTAGTCTATTAGACAATATGGCTTACTCGTCTAGAAACTACGATAAAAGTAATTAATTGACAAAGGTTTTTCTCAATCAAGTATATAAAAGAATAATTGCTATATGGATTTAAAATCTGAAATATATAATGAATTTACTTCTCATTAACTTTCTGGGATTTTCAAATTAGATAGTAAAAGCAATTTCTAGAAAAAGATCAAGACAGTTATTGAAAATATATTAAAGGTATAAACATTAAAAAAATATATTATAATACAAAAGATCGAAGAAAATTGAAAAACAAAAACTTTTTAATTGATTCATAATCAATTTTTTAAACTTTATTTGTAATATCACCCAAGATTCTTCTTTCATTATTATTAGAAGTCATAGATTCATATTGTAATTTTTGTGTCAATTTTGAAGGAATTAACTTGAAAGTCATAGTTGAAGTTTTTGATCCATTAAGAGCAAAAGGTTGTTTTTTATTTGTTTCAATCATTTGATGATTTTGTTGTTGTTGTGATAATTGAGGAGTTTGTGATACGGTAGTGAGTTTTGATGATAATGTTGTTGTTGTTATTGTTGATTTAAATTTATTTTCTTGATCAATTATTATTGGTGATGGTGGTGGAATTATTGGAATTGAAATTATTGGTTTTAACGGAGTTGATGAAATAATAGTATGTAATGGTTTAATAATCCTTTTGGTGATTTGATCTGGTTCTTCTTCAATTGAATCTTCACTAGATATTTCTTCTTCATCTTCTAATTCTTCTTGGTGTTGTTGTTGTTGAAGTAATTCTTGTTGTTGATTAATCGGAATATTTGTCATTGGTAATTCACAAACTTCTTTTTCATAATTAAAATTTTTTCTTAATGATTGTCTTTTATTTTGAAACCAAATTTGTACTGCTTTTTCAGTCATTTGTACTTTATTTGCAATTTCAATTCTTCTCAATTTATTTGGTGTTGACCCAATTTCAAATTGTTTATTAAGGATATTTAATTCATGAGGTGATGTTCTTCTTCTTTTTCTTCTTGCTAATGGTGCATTATCTATTGATGGTTCTTGTGATGGGAAAGTTGATGGTGAATGTGAAATAAATGCATATGATTTATTATCATTAATTAATGAAGATGTTGATGATGATTTTAATTGATTACTAATTGTTGATGAAATTGAAGTAGATGATGATGAATTTGAATTTGATTTTGTTTTAGATTTACGTAATTCTAAAATACTTGTATCCATAATTGATGAAGAATCTTCAATTAATGAACTTGTTGAAATTAAAGATTTTTTTGATTGTGTAATAGTTGATGGTGGAGGAGTTGGTATTGTTTTTGTAGAAGGATATGAAGTAGTAGTAGTAGTATATGAATGATATTTTTGAGGTGGGGAAGGTCTTTGTAATGAGGATGTAGTTGAAGAAATTGAAGAAAATGAACCAGAATTTAATTGTGATTGATAATTATATTCTGAAGATGAAGAATTAAAAAATGGTGAAGATGAAGTTAATGGAGTATTTGAATTAGTAGTATTAGTGGTATTAGTAGCATTAGTAGTAAAAGTATCAATTGATGGTAATGATGAAGTAGAATTAACTTTAAATGGAGTAGAAGTATTATTAGTTAAAGGATGATCTTTATAATGATTTGTATTTGCATTTGATAAAATTGATGATAAAGGAGGTAAAGAAAATCTTGTTGATGAAATATTAGCTTGTTTTATATTTGAATTATGTAATGATATAATTGATGGAATAGTTGATGTTGATGATGAAGATGTTGACACAATTGATAATTGATTATTTGAATCTAATTTTTTTGGAGTTTGTAAATGAATCATATTTAGTTATAAACTTTTTTTTTTATATGTGTACTAAATGAATTAAGGAATGAATCAAAGGGGATTAGCAGAATAATTAAATTTATTATTTTAAATAAATAAGACTTTTAGCTTCAACTATAAATATAATTGAAAGATTGTTGAAAGTGATGAATATTGGATATTTATATATAATAAATTATAATAAATCGAATTTAATTGAATAAATTGATCTACTTCTATGAATTAGAAATTGATATTAAAATATATTATCGCGTTGTTTACAAATTGAAATCTAATTAAAAAATCAAAACAAGTAAATTAATTTGTAAATGAGATTACACAAACAAACATACTTCAATTAATGAACTGAATTCGGATCTAATTGAAATCAATTAATCAACAAATTATGCATTCAATTTAAATTAATGAGATTGAGTTTATTAAATAACTGAAATTTAGTTACAACTATATTACTTTTTTTTAATCTATAATTTAAAATTAAATAAATGCATACTTTTTTATAAGTAATTAATATATTCATGAGTTCAAAAAAAGGAAAATGGTATTGAATTATCAAATCAATTTTAATGAATCTAAGTTCAATTCAACCAGATTAATTTAAAAAATAATATTTTTACAATTACAATCTAATAAAGTCAATAATTTCGTAAATTAAATTTGATTAATTGTTTGATTGATTTCAAATTATTATTTATATTGAGCATATTTTATATACAGGTATTATGTTTTTATTTAAATTTACTACGCGATGAATATTATATTATTATATACAGGTTTACTAATAATTTAATTAAACACGCTTTGTAATTATTAATACTTATTAGATATATTATTAGATTAAAGGGTACTAAATTGAAATTGTAGTTATTTAAAAGGGTACTTCTTTTCTAAAGAATAACTTAAATAAGTAATTAATTTACTGTAATAGGTTAATTAATTAATTCATTGATTTACTAAATATATTTAGAATGGAACTCGTACTGTACCTTTTCAATTTATTAGATTAATTCAATTTTACTGAATATTTTAATATTTTAATACTCATGTGACATATAAATACAATTTATATATTTATATTTAATATATATATACAATTCATAACATTTAAATTCTTTTTACTATACATTAAATTTGTTAATAAATTATTTGATTATTAATTGTTATATCTTTTATAGTTACATCATATTATATTTTATATGTTTTGTAATTATATAATTGTATAACAATTTTAGTTAAAAGAATAATTATAATTGGAATAAATTATAAATCAGTGTCACTAATTATAATTTCTTGACATTCTTATTTAAAATGTAATGTCTCAAATTTCACATTTTTAATTAATTAAACTTTTTTTTTTATTTGTTCTATTAACAAATTTATTGAATTTATTTTAAATTTTAAACTTTAAACTTACTAAATTCAAATTATAATTTTGCAACCAATTACTAACAGAATAATTTTAGCTCTTTGAACTTTATTCTCATTATAAACTTAATTTTGAATCTCTAAGTTGATTCAAACGAGTTTTTAAATCAACTACTTATCTATCAAATACTATTCATATTTAATTAATATTTGATTAACGGACTTGAAAATGTATATTATCTTACACGTGCTATAAATTTACGATGATGTTAGTGCATAGTAAATATAGAAGTTATAATTTTTTAAAACACAAAATAATTTAAAAAATTAAGAAATTTATAAAGTCAGTTTTAATCATACTTTAAATTATAATAATAAATTCATATACAAGAAATTTAAAATTATGAATTAAAATTATATAATTTTTTGGTTGTCAAATTTTTAATATTTACTTTTTGATCAACGACAATTCAAAATACATCTTTCTTTATTGATTCAATATTACTGATATTATACCAATCATCAACTTAAATTTTAATATTGTTAATGGTTGCTAAATTATAATGAATTTAATAAATGAAAAACAACAACTACATTTAAATCAATCAAAATCTTTTTATAAAAAATATTATATACTTACAATACTATCATCAATACTACTATCATTATTAACAATTCCATTTATATATAAATTATATTTTAATGAATCAATACAAAATTCAATTCTTTTACCTAATTATTTAAATTCACAAACATCTCCAATTTTAATAGAATCCATTGAATTAACTTCAAAACAAAAAGATGAATTAACAAAATTAGGTTTAAGTCATAAAAATCCTATAAAATTAATAAGTAATGAAAAAGGTGAACAAATTATTCATGGAAGGTTTTTACATATAACTGATATTCATCCTGATCCTTATTTTAAAGAAGGTTCATCATTTGAAAATGTATGTCATTCATCAAAGGGTTCAGCTTCTAAATATGGGGATGCAATAAGTGGTTGTGATACTCCAATGATTTTAATGAATGATACAATAAAATGGATTAATACTAATTTAAAAGATAAAATTGATTTTATTGTATGGACTGGTGATAATATCCGTCATGATAATGATAGGAATTTCCCAAGAACTGAACAAAATATATTTGAAATGAATGAACATGTTAGTAAATTGATGTATGAAACTTTCAAAAAACCAGATACTCCAGAATTACAAGTTGATTTAATACCAAGTTTAGGGAATAATGATGTTTATCCTCATAATTTATTTTCAATTGGTCCAACATTACAAACAAGAGAATTATTTCAAATTTGGCAAAAATTTATACCACAACTGCAATTACATATATTTAATAGAGGTGCTTATTTTTTTAAAGAAGTTATACCTGGTAAATTAGCAATATTATCAATAAATACTTTATATTTATTCCAATCAAATCCTTTAGTTGATAATTGTGATAAAAAAAAACAACCAGGTTATAAATTATTTGAATGGTTAGGTTATGTATTAAAAGAAATGAGAGCTCGTAATATGAAAGTTTGGTTAACGGGGCATGTACCACCAAATGAAAAAAATTTTGAACCAACTTGTTTAAGAAAATATGTTGTTTGGATTTATGAATTTAGAGATATTATAGTTGGTGGATTATATGGTCATATGAATTTAGATCATTTCATACCTTTAGATAGTGTTGCTGCTTATAAATCTATTAAGAAATCAAATTTTATTAACGTTTTTGAAGATGATCACTTAAGTGACGATGATGATGAAGAAGAAGAAGAAGAAAATAGAGCATTGGGAGATACTTCATTTTATCATGCATTGGATACAAAATTTGATGATTCATTTTTTAGAATACAAGGTGGAGTACCAGAAAATAAAGTTGAATATATGGATACAATGAGAGAAGAAGTTTATGCTAAAATCAAAGGTTCAAGAAAATCAGGTAAATATGGAGAAAGATATTCTATATCCTATGTTGGAAGTTCAATTGTCCCTACTTTTAATCCAGGTATTAGAGTATGGGAATATAATATTACAAATTTAGGTAAAGAAATTACAAAAACAAATTTTGAACCATGGGATAAATTTTTTACATCAATTGAAAAATTAATTGAAAAACAAGATCAATATACTGATGACAATGATTCAGATAATAGTGTTTGGTCATTTATTAAAAAGAGAGATAAAACATTCCCAAAACCAATGCCCAAAAATGCAAAACTTGGACCAGCATATATTCCACAAACATTTACACCAGAAAGATATGTTCAATATTACGCAGATTTGAAATCAATCAATAAGGGATCAAAACCATTTGGATATGAAATTGAATATGTTACAGATGATAAGACATACGGTCTTGATGTATTAACGGTGGATAAAATTTTACAATTTGCTAGAAAATTAGGTAAACCAGTTAAAAACAGATCTATTGATTCACAAAAGAAAAAACATAAAAAGAATAAGGGAAAAAAAGGTAAAAATGGTGATAAAGATGGTGGTAATGGAGATTCAAAATTAGAAAAACTTTGGAAAACTTATTTAAAAAACATTTTTGTTAGTTCTGGATATGAAAATACTGGACTTGGTTGAAAAATAGACTTCCAAAATTGTATAGCTAATGTAAAACTAACTAATATATTAATTATTTAATGTGATTATTTTATTTCTTGTAGAAATAACTTAAGTATGGGTTGTTAAATATTTTTGTGTTTGTATATAATCTAATCGTATTTTTTGCAACCAAATTTATAATTTTTTGGCAACCAAATTTTAATCTCACAACCAAAATCACCACCACCCAAGATATGAGACAAAATGTCATCAGATTCAGATTCAACTCCAGAATTTAAAAGTATAGAATTATCTCATTCAACACCAATTGATCATTACCATCAACAATTAGAAAAAGAATCAAAACTATATCATACATTAGATCCAAAATTTAAAAATAACTCAATTTCCAGTGATATAGAATATGGTAGAAATTTAACAGATTCACCAGATAATAGTACTTCTATTATACAAACTAATGGGACTGAAAATTTAGATAACTACTTCAATTCCAAATTCCTAGAACCTATATCTACTAATTGGGAAGAATTTATTTCTTCGTTAGATTTAAAAAATCTTGATGATTGTGATGATAAAAGTGAAGTTTTAAGTGTTGATAATTTATTAGAATTATTGAATAATTCTAAAGCTGGTGATATTACTACCCCTGTTGATAAAAATTTGAAATTAGATCCTATTGAATCAGTTGTTAATGATCAAGAACAAATAATTGTAAATGATAAACATGAAGAAATTACAAAGGATAAACCTAAAAGTGAAACAGTTTCATCATTAGATGCAGTTTCAACTACTCAATTTGAATTTAAAACTAATCCACAACTAAATATTAAAGACTTAGAATCTAAAATCAAATTTAATCAAACTCAAATTCAATTAATTAATAATGAAATTGCTAAAATCAATTCAAAAATTTTAAAATTAAAAAAATTATCTAATTTAAGTAAACCCTCAAGTTCAAAAACACAATTAAACCCAAAAAATTCACCTAAATTAAGCAAAATTACAAAACCTGAATTATCTTATGATTTTGGTGATGAAGAAGCTGAAACTGAAACTACAAAATCTAATTAGCTAAAATGATGCTTTTCGCTTATCTTATTTTTTTGCATCCAAATATATACGAATGTATGTTTGTGTCAATTTTGAAATTTTAGTTTTGTGTATACAACTGAATCTACATTTTGTCTTCAAAATCAACTTATGATACTTGACACTTCTTCATACAAATCTATACAAATTAAACTTCACTGAGGTTCTAATGACTGGATACTGACTTTAACTGGTTAATATTGTGTTGTAACGTAGAAATTTCACTGTACAGTTCAAATTTTGTTGCTACCAAATTATGCAAGTCACATGACTTTTAGGGCTCTTCGCACTTTTTTCAATTTTCAATTTTCACCAAAATGAAAAAATTATATTATCAACTATTTTACATAGTTTAATTTACTTCTTTTAATATCAATATAGACCATTAAATTCCTATCGTCAATATAATATACAAGTCGAAATGGGTGGTACAAGAGATAAAAAAGTTCAATACTTCTCCAAATTAAGAGATCTTTTAGAAGAATACAAATCAATCTTCATTGTTGGTGTTGATAATGTTTCTTCACAACAAATGCATGAAATTAGAAAAGCTTTAAGAAAAGATGCTGTTGTTTTAATGGGTAAAAACACTATGGTTAGAAGAGCTTTAAGAGGTTTCTTATCAGAATTACCAGATTATGAAAAATTATTACCATTTGTTAAAGGTAATGTTGGTTTTATTTTCACCAATTCAGATTTAAAAACTATTAGAGATACTATCACTGCTAATGTTGTTGCTGCTCCAGCAAGAGCCGGTGCTGTTGCTCCAGCTGATGTTTGGATTCCAGCTGGTAACACTGGTATGGAACCAGGTAAAACTTCATTCTTCCAAGCTTTAGGTGTTCCAACCAAAATTGCTAGAGGTACTATTGAAATTGTTTCAGATGTTAAAGTTGTTGAAAAAGATGCCAAAGTTGGTCCTTCTGAAGCTACTTTATTAAATATGTTAAACATTTCTCCATTCACTTATGGTATGACTGTTGTTCAAGTTTATGATAATGGTCAAGTTTTCCCATCATCTATCTTGGATATTACTGATGATGAATTAATTAAACATTTCGTTAGTGCCATTAACACAATTGCTTCAATTTCATTAGCTATTGGTTATCCAACATTACCATCAATTGGTCATACATTAATCAATAACTATAAAAACGTTTTAGCTTTATCTATTGCTACTGATTATACTTTTGAAGGTTCAGAAGCTATTAAAGATAGATTAGCTAACCCAGAAGCTTATGCTGCTGCTGCTCCTGCTGCTTCAAGTGGTGGTGCTGCTGCTGAAGAAGAAGCTCCAGCTGCTGCTGAAGAAGAAGATGAAGAACAATCTGATGAAGATATGGGTTTCGGTTTATTCGATTAAACTAATCCATTAAAAATTAGGTTTGTAAAAGTAAATAAAGCAATTTTTTAATAAATTGTAACATTTAATTATCTTCTAACTATAATAATAATTTTGTGTAAGGAGCCTCTTAATTTTTTGCAACACTTTTTTATTTTTACAACCAATTTCAAATGAAATGTCAATTGATTTATATGAAAGTTATGGGTCTTCTGTAACTGTATCTGATATTGTATTAGTTTCTGAAGATTCAGTTGAAACAAATGGGGGTGGAATTGATTGTTTACCAAATGAAGGACAATTAAATATTTGGTTTCTGAAAATTATTTTAGCAATTGATGAAGAACCATATGAAACTATTCAAGGTATTCAAAATTTTAATGAAATGATGTGTTACTATCTACGTTCAATTTTGAACATTATTCATCTTGAAGATAATGTTTATCGTTTTACTGCATTTATGTCAAATAATAGAATGGATTATATTATTAAGATTATATCAAGTAATATTAATGAACAAGGTTTTATATTTTCAGAAGAGCCATTTAAAGATACTTACAGACTAGTTTGTTTGATTCTACATTTATTAAGAAAATTTGAGATCAAAATCAATATCAATTTAATGTATGGATTATTAGATAGTTTATTAAATTTACGCACATTAAAATTGGTTGCAAAAAAAGATGCATTCGCAAATGTCATAAATAATTTGATAAACAAAATTTTGAATGAATTAGTACCAGCTCCAAAATTATTTGAATTAGTCAAGGTTCATTTGAGTGCTTGTCAACAATTGGAAGAAGTTGATTTTCTAGTAAACAATGTCATGTCCTTGGCAAAGAGTTATCTTGAACATGTGAACATTTTACTTGAACCAGATAATGAACAAATTAAATTATTATTTAGAGAAATTATGGTATTATTAGTTGATAAAAATTACCATAATTTAAATAAACTAAATTACAGTATTTTAAAACAACAATTTAGAAAAATTAAAGCTCAATTTAGATCAACATTGAATAATAATAAATTTGCTTCACTTGAATTACAAAATTCAGATTTTTATCAATATAATTCATCAATAGTTGAGAAAAGAAGAAAAATTAAAGAGTCACAAAATAATTCCAGAGAAGAACAACAGGAAGTACAACAGGAAGTACAAGATTGGGTTCCAAGTTTCATTAATGGAAATAATTTAAAAAATATTGAAGTTTCAGATCCAGATGATGAGCAAACCGAAAAACCCAAATCAAGAAATCCACTTAAGAAACTATTTAAAAATGAATCCCCGAAGAAGAAATGGTTTCACTTTCATAAAAATAAAGAAAACTAATCATTCCCCAAATTACCTAATGCTGTATATATTAATGAATTCCTAAATATGTACAAAAATCTAATTCAAATCTTAAAACTTTTTATCCCCTCTTCTTCTTATATTTTCTACAGGTATTTCATGAGTTTCTTTAATATCTTCAACAACAGGTTCATTAATTTCTTGAGTTAATTTACTAGTACTTGGCCAAAAATTAGGTAATATTCCACATTTTTTAAATAACCATGCAATTTTAGGAGTTGGTTCAGCACCCATACCTAACCAATATTTAGCTCTATGAAAATCCAATGCAACATCTTTAATAGGTATACTTTCATCATGTAATGGTTTTGGTGTAGATATTGGATTATAAGTACCTATTACTTCTATTGGTAATTTTTGTTGTGCTTTTTTAGCTTTCATTACAACTATATTATATATTGGTTGATGTTTTCTACCAAATCTTGCTAACCTTATCTTTATTAGGTTTCTTTTGTGAGCTGTTTTTTCAGCTAATGACATTAGTGGACTTGATGACATTTGTTGTAGTGGTTGTGTGGTGATGGATTTGTTTGTGAATTAATTGAAAGTTTGTATGATTTGGATATCTTGAAATAAATTTTCAATTTTTATTAGCGAGACTTTGGTAGCTCGATTTATGGTTGAAGTTTGAAATTCGAGGCTACTGGTGAAATATTTGAAATTTGATCAAGGTAGAGAAATATAAAGGAAAAAAGGTGCTGATGATTAATTGAATTTTAAGCGTTCTTTCGGTTTTGTTTAAACGTATGTTCGACGTATATTCGATGTTTTCAAGATTTATATTTCCTCTATTAAAATATTGATGTACGGATGTTAATTGCAAAATAGAGTTAAAAGCCAATTTGTTAAAGGAATTGGCTCAAACTCTACCAAGTTGAAAGATTTAGAATTTATGGCTGTATGTGTAGAGAATTTCAGTTGCTGTGTGCTTCGTGATTTAGAATAATAAAATTCGTACCGCTTTTAAGAGGCTAATATTTAACTGCTTAATTCAGATTTAATGCAAAAATACCAAAAATATTATTTTTTACAATTCATCTTCCACACGAAGAATCATATAAAAAGACCATTCTCGTGATAACAAAGTTCTGATAACTTGAGTTTAGTCTATTTACTCATTAACTGTAGTTTATTGAGAATTATGTAGATATTATGATTATAAAGTAATTCTTACTTCTTTATAGTCTCTATCAGCATCTTTTTGATTTTGTGTAACAAATTTTGTAGTACAGAAATTATTAGAAACATTTTTTTATTGAGATGACAATCTTTAATAGTAGAAATACATAATCATATAATTTTAAACTAACCAACTATATTACTTATTTAACTATTCATAATGGCCGGAAGAAATGCAATAAATAAACCAAAGATTAAAATGTTGGCTCAAAGTCATGCAAAATCATTAGGTAGAAAAAGAGCTGCAAGAAATAGTATACAGACAAGATCATCAACTTCAAGATATGCATCAAGAGGAACTACTGCCCCAAGACCAACCGATTCAAAAGCTATAGCATTATTTACAGGTGAAACACCAAATCCAATAAGTAAAATGACTACAAATACATTATCAAATAAAAGAGCCAAAAAAATTGCAAGAAATCAAAAATATTTTACCAAAAAACAAGAAGAAGATATAATAATGGATGTTAATAATGAATTAAAACAAACGAAATTAGATCAAGTTAAAAAAACACTTTGGGATTTAATAGATAGAACTGAAAAAAATGGACCTTTGGTGGTACCTGATTCAGAAGGAACAACTTTAGGAGTACAATCATTTTAAGAATACACAATAGCATCGATTATAATACAATTTTCATTTCGTTTTTATTTAATGTCTATATTTAAAATTATTTAGATCTAGCCAATATACTTTCATCAACTGTTTTTTTCAAGAATTCTGTAACTTCTTTTGGATTTTCTGCTTTAAAAACTGATGTTCCAGCAACAATCACGTTAGCTCCAGCTTCAGCAGATGGTTTTACAGTATCTTTACCTAATCCTCCATCTACTTGAATATTCAAATGGGGATATTTTGCTCTTAATTTTTCAACTTTTGGCATCATATCTTGCATAAATTTTTGACCTCCAAAACCTGGTTCAACAGTCATAACCAATACCATATCTAAATCATCTGCATAAGGATATACTTCTTCTATTGAAGTATTTGGTTTTATCCCCATTGCTGCTTTTAAACCATGTTTTTTAATTTTAGCAATTACTGATGCTGGATCTTTTGTTGCTTCAAAATGGAAAGTATATGAATCACCACCAGCTTTTGCAATATCTTCAATCCATTGTTCTGGATCAGATACCATCATATGACAATCAAATACAATTGGTTTATCACTATTTTTTGGGAATTGTTTTCTTAAACTTTCAATTATTGGTGCACCAAATGAAATATTTGGTACAAAATGACCATCCATAACATCTAAATGTAACCAATCTACATCACCTGTATCAACTACTCTTTTACAACTGCATCCTAAATTTGCAAAATCTGAAGCAAGTATTGATGGTGATATTATTGATTTGACCATTGAGTTGTGACTTATATTGTTGTTGTATTCTTTGATCAAAGCAATCGTTTTAATAATTTTTCAATAATTTTATTATTCAAAGATTAGATTGTTGTATCGGAAATCTCGTGCGGTTCGAATTAATTCTTGACCCGATCAGTAAATTTGGCTGCAAGAGTTCATTTCTTAAAGGCATAAGAGTAGTCTTTCTTACATACAAGATCTCGTCATTATAAATTATAATATACATAAAGACATATTTGATCCATTAATTGAAGTGTCAATTGATTTCGTTGGTATAAATTCCACTGCTTATCATTTTCATGGATTTTCGAAAAATTCCGGCAACAAAACTGAATTTGAGAAATTCACTCACAGCCAATTCATAAAGTATTTACACATATATTCGATGACAACAGAAGAAAATCATACAGAAGGAGCTTCATATGCTGAGCAAATACTAGAGGCAGCTAGAAGAAACAATACAGAATTACTTCTCCAAATCAAATCAGAATTAGGTAATGATCAAATCAAATTATCGGAATTAATAAATACCACACATGAAGTTATTACAAATAATACACCATTACATATAGCATGCAATTTAGGAAATTGGGAATTTATAGATATAGTATTAGATATAGAAGGAGTTGAAATTGATCCACAAAATAGAGCACAAGAAACACCATTACATTTAGCAGTTAAATACACGATAAATGAACCAGAACATGGATATTTTGTAATAGATAATTTGTTAGATGCTGGTTCAGATCCAAGGATAAAAGACAAAGATGGTTTAAAACCAATCAATTATGTAAATCGAGATAATGAAAAACTAGCACAATTATTAGAAAGTGCAGAATATGCTATATCTATGGAAGCAAGTGAAAAAGAACAATTAAAAGAATTTGAAGAAGAAGAAGAGGGAGACGATGGTTCAGCATCTGATTCGGATTAATTATTGTATATTAAATGATAAAGTCATCTACATCCGAATGTTTCCAATTCTGTAAGATTGTTTGACCTTTCGCTTTTAGTAACTCTCTTTCAACATTTGATCTTTTAAATTCTTCGTAAGTTCTTGCATCAATTGGCAACGGGAGATTTTTAGCTAGACTCTGATTGCATATAATACTCTCACCACCAGGTTTAGGAGGTTTATTTCTAATAAATGATCCATTTTTAACTCCATTATTTAGTACTTGAACTGTTTTTGATGGACAAATGTATAACAATGATAGCGGCGAAGGTTCCTTGATATTAGACTTACCATATTCAAATAAATCAAAATCATACTTGAGTAGTTCTAATTGATGATCTGTTGGGAATCTATCTATAAAGCATCTATAAAAATCTTGCTCTGTAACATCTTTTACTACCAAAAAATTCAAAAAAATAGGATCAAATAATGTTGAAGTTATAGCATTGCAAATACCCGTCAATTGTTTCAAACATAGTTTATCAGAACATGATTTTGAATAAGAAATCAAACTGTCTGATCTACCTGGTTTAGTTCTTACAACACCCAATTGATCAAAATTATTTCTACCCCTATTGAATGTTGACTCGGATCTATTTGACTCCCAAGGATCATTGGATTCTAGATTATTTGATAAATAAGTCATTGATGCATCTCCACATGGAGGCTCTGTCACGAATAATGCTAATTTTATATCATTACGAAGTTGGAATATATCATTGTTCTTCTTCACCAATTTGGAATCACTCTTTTGAACTTCCTCAAGTAAGAACAAATTGAATAATCTTAATGACAATATCTCTGCATGCATATCATGAACCATTAAACCATTGGAATAATTTCTAACTTTATTTGGTAACACTTTCACTCCAGTAGCTAAAGTAATTGGAATTATTTCTCCATTCATAAGTGCTACTATGCTAGCTAAAACCGTCCATTCTATGACTCCATTTGATCTCGTTGTTGGTTTACCTGATTTAATATTTAGGTTATTGAATTCATCAATAACAGTTCTGGCTATTCTATTCCCCAAATCATCATTATTCATCAATGTTTCATAATAATAAGAAAAACTAGAAAGAAGTACAAAAATCTTGTGCCTAATTTTACAAAAAATTGAACTATCATTATAAACATAATTACTATATTAATCTATACAAAACTCAAAAACAACTGGTTTACTTCCTATTCTTTCTAACTAAAGCTCCAATAAGACCAATACCTATAGCTAATACACCACCAGCTATTCCAATTCCAATTAAACCTTCTTGAGTAATCTTCTCCTCTATATTTTCTTTCAATTGTGAAGCTTGCAGATTATGAGGTTCTATTTTCAATAAAGCTTCAATATACCTTTTTGCATTTGTATAATCACCAATTTTGAAAGATACTAAACTTAAATAATATAATATTTCTCTTCTCATTGAAGTTTCAGTTTTATATAATGATGTTAATATTTCTAACCCTTCTCTTTGTTGTTTATGAGAATTTGATTTTATTAAACCCCATGCATAATTAAATCTTGTTTGTGGTGATGGCTTTGGTTCTTCTGATTCTAATTGATTTCTTAATACATTTAATTGATCTGGTGTTAATGGTTGCTTTAGTTCTTCTAATGCTGGATATACTGAATTGAACATTTTTAGATGGTTTGCGAATTCCTATTATTGGGACTTGATTCTATTTGATATGTTGTAAATTAAAATGTTGATGGCGTTGTTGAAATAAGGAGATTTTAAAGATAATAATGGAAGGAAAAAAATTACGATTAATTTTATTTTTGATTTAAATTAAGCGGTAATTCTATAATCTAGATTTAAAAATAAATATTATGATATTATTTATTATAAAACTTAATATACACAAGCCTAAGTATCATATGATTCATTAAAAAAATAAATATTTGGTGCATCTTTCATCCATCTGAAATTTTGTAAATTATATTCAACTTCTTTACCAAAGGTAACATCTTCACCACAACTTACTATAGCTAAAGATTTGAAATATGATTTATTTGTATATTTTAAATTTGTTATATGATTGTTTAATTGTTGATTGATATTTAATGGTTCGTATAATTTGTTCAAAATTGAATCATCTATATCTTCACTGGATCCTGAACTACTTGACTCAGTTTTAGTAATGACCTTTTCGGTATTTGTAATTTCGGTTACTTTATTAGCCGTAAAGGTGTCGAATGGATCAGTTGTTGTGATATTTATTGAGCTGTCATTAATTGTATTATCGGCTTCTACTCTTGAAAGTTCCTTGTCTCTAAATTCAATCACATCATCTGAATTAATGAAAATGTTGAATTGTAATTTTCCAGTTCTGATAAAAGGAATTAACTTGTCAATAACGTGTTTGTACCATTTGATAGCTTTAGCAGATTTTACTGTCCAATAAATCGAAATAACAGGATGATCTGGTCTACATAAATAATCCTTTTCGATCTCTTTGGTATCAATAGTTTGTAATAAATCTAAACAAACTGGTAAAATGAATGAAGCACCTAATTCTTTAGCCATAAATGCAATAGAATCAAAAGTAATTAGTGGTTGCATTTTTGCACCTGATGGACCCCTAAAAGCAACTTTTAAAATGACAGTATTTGGATCTTCGATTTTTCTATAATCTGGTATTTCCTCTGTTGAAACTTCTTTCTTTTTGATTAACCTTCTGACTTTATTGAAATAAACATCTAATTTTGGTCTGTACCAAGGAATATAATCCATCATTGTTTCTTCTCCAAATAATTGTTTTTCTTTTAATGCACCAACTTTTTCAAACAATTTCTTAGTGAAACCGTTTCTCTTACGAACCAATACAACCATCTTACCTGTTTCTGACAAACTTGTGATTGTAAATGGATGGTGCTGAAAATAATCAATTTTACGTACATTTAAATAAATATGTTGACCAGGTCTCCAATTTCCATATTTGAACCTAATTAATCCAAACCATGAATTAGGATTGAAATTTTTATTAATTTTGATAGGAATTGAGATTTTCATAATTTCATCATCTAAAATTTCAAAAGTTGACCACCCTTTTGTTGGTGATTTTTTTGAATGTACAATACCATAAATTCTACCAACAACTTTATCAATAACTAATAAATGAACACCAACAACAACCATTGCCTTTGTACTATCGTTATGGAAAAATGCCATTAATAACATAATAAAAGATTGAGCTCTATGATGAACCATTGCATAATCATAAGCATATTTTCTAATAAATTTAATATTCCCTAATGCTAAAAATGTAAAAGTAACATAGGCAGTAATACCAAATGCATTCTTAGGATATTTTGGATGAATTTCTTGATATTGAGGTCTTGCCCAAAAATAACAAACAACAATAACATGAAAAGTAACTAAAATAAACATCATAAATGAAAACCAAATATGTAAAAAAGTAGTTCTTTCATAAGTTAAACCCGTAACACCAGTTATAAAATCACCTTTTGTAATTAATAAAAATACTGCTGGAACTTGAGCAATACCAATTCTTGCACATCTTTTAGCCAATACTGAAAATCTTGGAATATACGTGATATCAAGTGTATTTTGATAACATAGTCTTCCATTCACCAAAATATATAATAAAAACAATAATAAAACACTTGGTTTAAAATATATGACTCTTCTTTTAAATTTGAAAGATAATGTATAATTAAAAGTGTTCCATATATTGTATAGAATAAACATCGTTTTAAACCTGTTTGTTTTAACAAACCTTTTCTGTCTTAAGTGTCTAGGGATCCAAAAGAAAATTATACCATGTACAACAAATACTACTAAACTGAATGCACAACTCATCCATTGATATTTTGTATTTCTAGTACTCTCAAACTCTCTTTGGGTTTCAATTGGAAGTTGGTCCATGATTGTATGAAGTTGCACAATAAACCAATTAAGAAGGTATTAATATTTAAAAAACAACAAGATCTTATATGATCCCCAAATTTGAATTGACAAATATTATCATTTCCTTTTATATAATTTTTCAAGATTTTATGATACATATTAACTTTAATCAAGGAATAAAAAATTTCTTAATAATAATAATGATAATAATAATAATAATTTATGAAATATAATGCCCAGAATAATATTGAACTTTTTATAACATATTATCTAAAACATCTCTATGTAAAGATTATGTAATTTGTGATAGAATAAACCTCAAAGACTTGTAAACTTGATTTACTTTTACTTTTCTTAAAACAAATCTATTAGCACCCATTATATCATTTTCATTAAGTGACCAATCAATCAAGCATGTAGTTTATTGCAAAACCAAACGAATTAACTATTCAATTTTTCCTGAGTAAATTTGCAAACAGTTAAAATTAATAATAAATTATTTTTTTTTTCTTTACTATACAATTTAATAAATAATTTAATGGAAATAAAATAAATAAATATTTTATGAAATTTTACATCTATACTTTAATTTTTTTATCTTTTTGATCAATTGAATTTAGGAAATAATAAACTCAACTCGAAGCGTAGATCAAAAGCTCAATTATTCTTAATCCACTTAATAAAAGCCAAATATGATTATCAGATTAATTTTTACTAAATAAACTTAACTAATTAATGAATAGATTTTTTGAGAAGTTTAATTGAGGACAAGTTTAATTCGAAAATAAGTTCATCTTTGTTACACTTTCAAAAAATAGGTTTTAAAGTTTCAGCCCTTCTTTTTCAAAATAATTCTCAATTAAATCAAATTCTACTTTTTAATCCAAAATTATATTGTTTTGAATTCTTTACAATACATCATCCACAAGAATATCTTGACAGCTTCCTGTTAATCAGATCTGTATTTAAGTGCTCAAATAATAGAAGAGTTAAGTGTAAAGGTTTTCTTTCCGATTGGTTAAAATTTTTATATTTTATTATATAATTTTCTTGATTTAACTTTTACTTTTCAATTTTTTATCGATAATTCCGAATAGTTGTAAATGTACAAAATAATTCTTCTAGAATTGAAGCATTTTATAATCAATTAGTCTGGGCTAGTTTTAGCATTTGTTTTAAGATTTCCTATTAAGTACTTCTTCAACTCCATCAACAGACAAAAAGTTATTATACCATTTTGCAACATTTGGATATAAAGCATCAAAATCTTTAATTTCATATCCAGTACCAGTTAATTTTTCAAGTCTTCTATGATTACCAGCACCAAATGCAATATCAACTATAGTAAATTTATTACCAATTAACCAACCAGAATTTGTCTTTTTTAATTGATTTTCTAAAACTTCATAAATTATTTTAAATCCTTCAAGAATCTCATTTTCAGTAAACTTATCAACATGATTAGCATTTACCAGAATTATAGCTCTTGCTAAATTAAAAGCTGCAAATTGAGCTGATTGATAATATAACCATGTTTTTTGTTCCCAATATAATTCAGGTTCATTTTCTTTATAATAATATTTACCTTCTTTATCATAAGTTGTTGCAATATATTCTAATAACGCATTACTTTCAAATAATTTTAAATGTTTTGAATCATCAACTAAAGTTGGTTGAGTTCCATTGGGGTTTAAATTTAAATACCAATCTTGTTTAATTTCTTTTGTCGGCCATGTAAAAAAATGAATATCAATTGGTGCATTTAATAATTTTACCAAAATTAATGGTTTTCTACCATTACCAGTTGGTCCAGCATATAATGTAGGCATTTTTGAAGGATTCAATTGATGAATTAACAAGCTATTTTTGGGGAATTGAAGAACTTATATATTAACTAACCAATTTCAGATTTGACCCACAATTAGGATTACTAATAATATAAATCTCGTAAATTAATTAATTAAACCTCAATTTTAAATTTCTATATAAATTCCAATTCGGGTTCAAGGGTCGCTTATTATAATTAAAGAATTGCTAATACAACTTTCATCAGTTTTATCAATCTATTTATTCATTCATTAAACTTCTAAATAAAAAAAACTATTTAACTCCAAGTGATGTAATACTAAGAGTTTGCATTTGTCCTAATAAATCATCAATTTTACCATCTAATAATCCATTAGCATAATCATCTCTACTATTTGGATCTAAATATTGTTGAATTTGAGCTAATCTTGAATAACCTTCGGTACAAAATCTTAATTGAATTTTGACTAAACTTTCAAATGATGGATCATAAAATGGTACTCGAAGTGCAATTAATTCAGGTAATTCATTTTTTAATTGATCATTTAATTCTTCATAAATTTCTTTTGCAACTGATAATTCCTTTTCAGCTCTTGGTAATTTAGCTGCATCTTTTGCTGGTTTATCAATTAATCTTCTAACTTTTGATTTACATTGTTCATAATCAGTCTTTTTATGAGCTCTTTTTTTCAATGCTTCTTCAATTTCAAGAAAATAATGAGCAAATTTTGCAATTGGATCTAATACAGTTTCTCTAAATGGTCCATCTAATTGTTTAACAGTTTCTTCATCAAAATCTTGAACACATTGTCGATAATATGTACCAACTGTTGAATATGCTGATGCTCCTTGTTTTGATTCTTCATATAAATTAGATACGATTTCAGCAATTGTAACCTGTGATCTTGTAACTGCTCTTATATTGTCTAAATAACCTTTTGATGCCTTTTGTAAACTTTCTCCTGCTGTTTTTAATGTCTTGTATCTTCTTTCTTCTATATCAAAATCTTTATCCATTGTTTTATCAACACTTTTAACAGTGACCGAGGCACCTGCTCTATTAATTGCTTTTTTAAACCCTCCCCAAGACATTATGAAATTGTGTTAATTTTAAATATAAATATGAGTTTGATTGAATTGAAAATTTGGGAAATTATGATAATAATTAAATGGTTGTAAAATTAATATGAAATTCAAAGGTCACACTCTCTTATCAACAAAAAAAAATAATATGATTAGTTTAAATTTAGAAATAAAGCCGATTGCATTATTTACCCCAATCAAAATTTGCTTCGTAATACGAATTAATGCTGGAAGATCAACTAGATAAAAATGAGGTCATTGAAGACAAGAAAGTTGAAATTACCGAAGAAATAGATACTGCTGAATCTGGTCAACTGAAACAACAAAAAATTGATGAAATAATGAAATATAAACAAGAATCAACATTACTTATAGGTAATTTAAAGCAACTACAACATTTAAATGATAAATTACAAAATGATTTAATATATATACAAGATTATATAAGTAAACTAATAAATCAATAAGATTCGGTCGAGTTATTGTATCTTGTAAATAGTTGTAGCATAAATTAACATACTTTAAATATATACGCACATTTTTTGTAATTTTTATTTTTTGGTACCATTATTTGCAACCAACTTTTTTTAATCAACAATGTCTAATGAAAATATCAATTCAATTGATTCAAAAGAGCTTGAAGAAAATCAAATTAAATCTGATGTTCAGACACCATTAAGAAAAATTAATTCAAATACGTTTTTCTACTTACCAACAGTTACTAAAACTGATCAAGCAAATAATGATCAAACTATAAATTCAAATATCAAAAAAAATGAAGAAAATGAACAAAGTTTATCAAGTGAAGAATTTTATGAAGCGTCACCAACTTTAGAAGAAGAATTATATTTCCCAACTTTATTAGATGAAATTAATTATCCATTTGTTAAAGTACCAATGCAACCTCATATGTCAAAACCTTTAAATGTTACTAGTGAATTAAATTTAAAAACTATTCCAATTGCAAATATTCCAAAATCATTTCCTTTGAATCAAGAAGCTAAATCACCTGAAGAAGATGCTTTATGTAAAATTTTAGATCATGAATTTAATGAACTTGATCAACAACAAGGTGATGAAGAAGAAAAACCTAAAACTCATTGGTGGTCTAAAAAGGATCTTTGGTCGAAATTTATTGAACGTAATGAAAATGATCAAGATTTGAAATTAAGTAATTTAATTGATGCTAATATTGATGATATTTTTGTTCAAATTTATAAATAATTGTTACTGTATAATGATAATGCTGTCCAACAATCAATACTTTTTGCAGGTTTTAAATTATCTCCCATTGTAATTATATTATCTCTTAACTTCTTTCTAATATCTATTGGAGACTTGGCTATAAATTTGTCAATTAATTGTTGTACTAATGATTCATTTTGATGTATTTCATTAACTCTGAGATCTTCAATCATGTCAATTTGTCTTAAATCTATAACCAGATATATTTTAACAGACTCGATACTATAATAAACAACCAACCCATCTCTTTGGTTCGACCCTAATACGGCTAAAACTGAACAAGAAATAAAGTACATTGACTTTATCTGTAAACCCATTAAAATTTCTCTAATCTTAGTTTGTAAATTAGCTGAAAAATCATGATTCACAACGAAAACTTTTTTGGTAAGATACAGATTTTCATATAATGCTTGATGAATTAGTTTCTGAAGTAATTGTTTGGATACTTTTTCTTCTCTTAAGGGTAGATAACTTCCCAATTTTTGATTATAATCTGAAACTAGTTTTTGGTTTTCGGGTGTTAAATTTTCAAGAATCTCGTGTTTCTGATCTGGAGTTATTGAATGATCATTGAGTTCTAAATGAGATGGATATTCATTTCGATATTTATGATAAACAATAGGTATTATATCTGGCTCTTGTCCTGCAATTCCAACTTTAGTAGTGGTACATGTAATTTCCAAGATTATTGACATCTACATTTGTTTACAAATTTTCAATTTTTTCCCGAATAAATTAATAAATAAATAATCTATAAATATATTTACAATAAATCTATATCTGCGTCATCTAAATCCATAAAATCATTACCATCAACATCTTGTTGTTCATCACCTAATTCAACTCTTTGAATTTCATCTTGTTTTTCTTCCAATATTTCAGCTTTATTAAACTGTTTTTGATAATTTTCTAATTGATCAATATTCCAAACTGATACACCTTCTTGATCTTTTGGATTTGTTGGTTGAGCTAAACTTCTTAAAAATTTTTTTGATGTTGCTAATGCCATATCAGTTGATAAATTAGTATCTGAATCATTTAAAGCTTGAGCAATCCATTTTGGTAATTGATTCTTCTTTCTTGCAAATCTTCTATCTGCTAACACCATAATACCATAATCATCTTTACCTCTTAAAACTCTACCTAAACATTGAGCTGCATGTCTCATTGCATCGAAAGATAAGAAATCATTTTCTTTAATTTGATGATGATCTCTCATAAATTCTAATCTTGCTTTTAAAATTCTTGATTCTGTATATTGGAAAGGGATACCGATCATTAGTACTGTTCTACCATAATGATGATCAAAATCAATACCTTCAGAAACTTTACCACGAGCAACTGATAATAATACAGCACCTCTACCATTTGAACAAGCTTTTCTATAAGTTTCTAAAGCTAATGAAGTTTCTTGAGCATCAGGAGTTTCAACTAGTATAAGTTTGTGTTTCCAAACTTCATCTAATACTCCCATAGTTTGCCACATTGAAATAATAGATTCCATATATAAATAAGACGGAAAAAACACAACCATACCATCAGGGGTTATTTTAGCAAATTCAATTAATAATGAACCATAATTTCTAACAACTGATGGATCATTTCTAATTTCAAATCTTGAAGATATTGATACTTGATCTGAACCTTTTGTAATAATCATTGGTAAAAAAGATCTTCTTGCTAATGTCATTGCATAAGATTCTTGAATAACTGTTTGAAAATTTAACATTTTAGGGTACATATCTAATGGTGAAATGGTACCTGATGTAATTATAACTGATGAAAATCTTTCAAATACTGGTTTTATAGCTATAGATGCATCAAGACAAGTGAAATGTAAAATTGGGTTTGGTACAGTACTTCCTTCAGTTTCAAAGGGTTCTAAAATCAATTGGAAACCTGTATCATAAGTCGCAACTAATGTAGCAAAAGTAGCTATATCCTTTAGGGCATTAAAATCTTCAATCTCTTGTAATTCTAAAGTTCTCACCAATAGTGATAACCTTTCAGTACAAAACCTCAAAGGTTTTCTATCAATATATGTTAAATCTTTTAAATGTTGTAAAAAACTAGTTGGAGTTTCACTAATAACATGTAGTACTTTCATCCTTGTTTTTAAATATTCAATAAATCTTTTCAAAAATGCTATGAAATGTTCACCTTTTCTTATATTTCCAGGTATTGCCTCATCTAATAAATCTTGTGGTAGTATTGGATTTGACATGAATAATTCTTCTTGTCTTGCAACTTCTGCTTGTCTTAGACCTTCAACCAATTGTTCATATTCATTTTGTAATTTTTCACTATCTTGAGCTTTCATTTCATCAACAGCTTCTGCTAATTTATTTGCACCTCTTGTTGCTCTTTTTAGGGCATCTTCAGTTAAATCTAATGATAATGATTCAATACAAACGTTATCAATATTATGCGCTTCATCAAAAATAATAATACTATCTTTTGATAATTCTCTTGAAACTCTATCTGCAATTTTTGGATCTAGTAAATAATGATATGAATAAATAATAAGATTACAATATGGAATCATTCTACGTACTGTAAAATAAGGACATGTCCCTAATTCTTTACAATACTTTATTAATGCATCAAATGAATAAACCCCCGCGGGTATTAAATCATGTTGATCAAATTCATATAATTTTTCATGATATGAACATAATGAATATTTTTCAGGATCTTTTTCTTCCATTTCTGGTGTAACGAGACCTCTTTCTATTTTTTCTTTTAATTGACCATTAGTAACACGTCGACACATTTCATCAACAACATTTCCTTTTTTTTCTCTAGATATTAGTGGATTTAAACATAAATTTTTTCTACTTGTTAACCCTAAACCTCTAAATTCTTCAACATAACCTAATTCATTTGCTCTATATTCCATTAATTTATGTAATTCAATTAATGCTTTTTCAATTTCTGACATGGTACGTGAACAATATACAATTTTTCTATGTTCTGGATAATGTATTTGATAAGCAACTGTTAATGATAATAATGAAACTGTTTTACCAGTTCCTGAAGGCATTTCTAATATACAATTACCACCAACATCAAGAGTTTTTTTAATATCACTCATATAAGCATATTGTTCTGGATATATTCTTGGATAAGGAAATAGTACAGGTAGATCATCTATATAAAATTTCATTTTGATTGTGGTTGGTTGCTTTAACGTGTATTATTTATTTAATAGTTGCAATTCTATATCTAGAATAATTTTTAGTCTAACTTTATCTATAAAAATCTATTAATACTACACCATACAAAATAAATTGGTAGCACTATCTCTAGTTATCAGATATCACTAATTTTTCAACTTTTGGATATATTATATCACTTGTATTACCAGATACTTTATGCCATATACCTAAATGTTGAAAATATTCTCTCATTGGTTTAATTTCTTCATTATACTTGTCTAATCTTTTCAGAAACACTTCTGCTGTATCATCATCTCTTTTTGTTAATGGTTCTCCAGTTATATCATCTTTAAAAGGTTCTCTGGGTGGATTATAATCTAAATTATATATTCTCCCACTTGGTAAATGTACATATCTTGATTCAATTCTTTGTAATATAATATCTTGGTTAACATCTAATTCCACCACCAAGTTTAAATTTGAATTATTTGCTTCTAAAACTTTTGTTAATTGTTCTGCTTGATTAAAAGTTCTTGGAAACCCATCTAATAACCAACTTGCATTAGATTGTAATAAATTTTGATCTTTTAATTGTTTTGTTATTAAATCAATCATAATTATATCTGGTACTAATGCCCCAGATTTCAAATAAGTTTCGGCTTTTTTCCCAATTGAAGTACCATTTGATATTTGAGTTCTTAAAACATCACCAGAAGCAATTGATTTTAATTGAGTAAAATTATCTAGTAGTCTTTTGGATATAGTACCTTTCCCAGATCCAGGAGCTCCCAATAATAATAATCTTGTTGGTTTTAATAACATTTAATTATATAGATTATGTAGTATTAAGTAACCGAGATCTTAAATTTGTTTTGAATTTTCTTTTTTTTTTCAGAGGGAAATTTTGAAATTGAGGGTTCTAGTAATATTATAATATTAATACAATACAGACTGTAATTTTACATTGAAAATCAATCTTTTTAAGTTGGATTCAATACAAAGAAATGGACTACAATTTATCAAAGATACCAATTTATTGAGTTTGTTACTTCAAATTGAAAAACTAGTATCTGAATTTCATCTTATTCATAAACTCATGACAATAGGAAGAAAAGCGAACTATTGTAGCTTTACTTATTTGCCACCAAATTCAACCACTTATGCATGAATCTTTTCTTCATCTCAAAAGTCCTTTGTTCATTTCTGTTGTTGATCTATCTATTCAGTATGCTTATTTACTAACAACTTGGTAGAAGGTGAATCTTTTTGATGCCAGTCAGAAATAATCACACAAATAATTTTAATTTACAGCTTAAATCTTTGTGTATGTAATTAAAGTTTTTATTTTAAACCAAATTTATTTGGTCTAGATCTATTAATAAATCATCAATAGAATTTGTGTAATTAAAATATACAACAAAATTTTTACCTTTTTGTAAAACAATAAAGTTGGTTTTGAATATTGTCTCATGGTTTAAATATACGATTACGATTGCGTAAGAGAAGTTTAATTATTGAGTCATACAAATTTCATATAAAATGAAAGAATTATTTCAAAGCATCATTAAAATATTTGTGCTTCATCGTCGTTAAGTAAATCTTCTCCGCAATTCAAAATTTTTAGTTGAAAATTTTTTCTATTTTGTATCATGTTTTTATTTTAGTAAACATTTTCTATGTCTTTACTTATGTCAATGAAGTATTGTCATCAAATTTAAAACACTGACTAATTGCCATCTTATTTTGAAATGTAGTATATTTGAGAAGCCTTTTAGCATAAGATGAGTAAATATATGTTAATTATTTAACTTCGGATTATTTTTTTTTAAGAATGAAGGGAACAAAATTTGAAATGCGAAAACCAAAAAATACGAGAATTAATTATTGTAGCAATGTTGATTAAACAAATATACTAAAAATAGATTGCATTTTTCAATCAAAAAAACAATTAATATAGAATAAAATGACATAATTGACTAATTTTATTATCATGAAATCAAGGAACTAGCTATACTAAATTAATAGACTTAACTAGATATAGGGATTTATTGCTAGTTGTTTAATTTAAAATTTATGAAAAGACTTGGTGATAATAATAATATGATTTAAGGTAATTCATTTTTAGTTGCAAATTTGAATTTTAAACGAAGATTTTCATACATGAGGCTTGATAGTTGTATTATGTATTAATAAAGTATTGAATATTTCAACCTATCTAATTTCTACTTCGTATTTAATTATATGAAAGATGTCAATCATTAATTCTTAAATCAATTTGACAGTTTAAGACTAAAACTTATTAAGTAAAACAAGATGAGGAAAAATAATTTATACCTAATGAAATATATAATATGAAATTTATAAATAGTGTAAAAAAAAATTAGTATATGAAACGCGTCTTAAATTTTTCAATAAATATTTAAAATTTAATAAAATAATAATAAATTATTTATATAATAATTTAAATGTTAATTCAGACAAATTCAAAATTAATTGTATAACATAAAGTTGATTAGTTTGAGTGTATAAATGGTAGAGAGTAATAATTTAATAAAAGTTAATGATAATCTTGATTTAAAGTAATATAGTAAACAAATCAATATAAACACGTACTATTAAATTTAAATATATATATCATAGCCTCAACACTATATTATAGTATTATGAATATAATTATATAAATTCTTAGTTAGAATGAAAATATATTAGGAGTAATAAATAAATTAAATGATAGAAAATAGAACTCGTTGTCAACTGTCTAGTCATTTAGTGATCAAACAATATAAAAAATTAAGTCAAAGATAAAGACAATATTGAGCTGAAAAAAAGATCATTAAAATATTTTAATAAACATGGCAGATTTCAATTTAAACTTAGATATTATTATGACTTTATGAATGGCTGAAGTAAAAGTAAAAGTAAAAATTTAAAATCTAGACCTTTTTTCTTCTTCTATAGAATATAATTGTACTCAAATACACTACCATTAGTTATATACAGTACTAGCTACTATTAGCATAATATTAACGTTTATTTGTATTGTACTACTAAAAATAAATTATTATTATTTATTATTTATTATTAATTTTTGTNTTTTTTTTTTTTTTTTTTTTTTTTTTTTTATCAATTTATCAACAAATAAATTTTTATTATTATTAACATCTTTTTATTTTTGTTTTTACAACCAAATTACTTTCAAGAATTTATATTGTATTCAAGTAATCATTTTTCATTTAATCATCATCATCGCTAGCATTCCATCATTCATTAATAACACGTCTATTAGTTATTAAATTTAACTGGAAATTCAATATCATATTAATTATTAATTTATTTTTTTTTTCATATCTTTTTTTAATATCAGGTACAAATTAATTTTTTCAATTTTCATATCTTATAATACAGAAACAATTTTATAATCATATATATTAATCTATTAATAATAGAATTGAGATTTAACAAATATTTATCACATTTCATCATTTCGTCGTTTATAACAATTAATCATCCATGAGTCATTCATCTTCTCCAAATAATAGGGGATCTATATTTGGATGGGCAAAATCTTTAAAACGTTCACATTTATTATCAAATGAATCTGTTAATGATATAAGTGATAATGATTCTATATCAAGATCTCCTACTAAATTATTTGGTAATAATATTAATCATAATAATAATAATAATAATAATAACCTAAATAACCTAAATAATAATAATCAATCACAACCACATAGTCCCTTAAATATACCCAATAATTCTAATAATAATAGAAAAAATTCATATGATTATCAACCTCAGCAACAACCACAACAAGAATCTCCTACTTTTAATCAACAATATTTAGGTACTTCTCCTACAACTTCAACAACTAATCATTCAGATTTTTTACGACCTTTATTAAATCATAAATCAAGATCAACAAATAATGTATCAAGAGTTAGATCTAATTCATTAAATCAATCAGAAAATAGTTTAAGACAACATAGAGATTCTTTTTTACAAAGTAATTCATTAGTTGATGAAAATTCAAAATATTTTGGTGTACCATTACAACAAGCATTAAATGAAGCATGTGCTAAAATATCTATATTAACAGGTGATCAATCTGATGGTTTACAATATGGTCAAATTCCAATAGTTGTTGCAAAATGTGGAGTATTTTTAAAGAAAAATGGTTTAACAGTTGAAGGTATATTTAGAGTTGGTGGCTCATCAAGAAGATTAAAAGATTTACAAGTAATTTTTAATACTCCTCCAACTTATGGAAAAAAATTAAATTGGGATGGTTATACAGTTCATGATGCAGCATCAATTTTAAGGAGATATTTAAATGCATTACCAGAACCTTTGATACCGTTGAATATGTATGATGATTTTAGAGATCCATTAAAGAATAAATCAAGAATAATAAGTTATATGAAATATAAAGCAGAAAATCCATCAAAAAATATCAAAACTTCAAGTACTGAAGATGTATTAGATTCAACTCAATTATTAACAGAAGCAAATATGGGAAGATTAAATGGAAATGACATAGAACAAGAATCTAAAAGTGAATCACAAATACAACAATCATCAAGTTCTCTACCTCAACAACAATCACAACATTCACAACAGCCACAATCAAGTGAAGAAGATTTATCATTAAAAAACAAGAAAAAATCAAAAAACTACAAAAAGCTAACGCGAGATGTTCATTCAGCTATTGAAGAATATAAGATATTAGTAAATGAATTACCAAATGCTTCAAAACAATTATTGTTTTATATATTAGATTTATTAGCAATGGTTCAAAATCATCTGAAAGAAAATTTAATGAGTTCAAGAAATCTAGCGGCAATTTTTCAACCACTGATTTTATCACATCCAAATCATGATCTCGATCCTGATGAATATGCATTATCTCAATTAGTCGTTGAATTTTTAATTCAATATGCTTATAAATTATTACCGACTCATACAATGAAGATATCACCACCAGCACCACCACAACAACCGCAAAATAATCTGGGAACTATTGAAAGTGATGTAACTTCAACAAGTACAACTCCATTAGAAGGTCCTCCATCAATAATTTTAGAAACTTCAAAAGCTCAACCTCAACAACCACAACCTCAACCAAACCCAAAACCTCAACCACCAAAATTTAGTCGTAGGCATTCAAAAAGTTTAAGCTCAGCAGCAAATCATGATGATATGGTTGTTGGTTATCAAAGTAATGTTACTGGTTCAATACCTTTTGATTCAGATATGGATTGTGATCTTTCAGATGAAAATGAAATTGGATCAGATGTTGATGATTTATATTTTCAACAATTAAAATTAAATAATGGTGGTGAAATAAGTCCTATTAAAAAGATTTTGGGGACAAAAATTAAATCATCAGTAACAGAAGAACCAGAACCAGTGGCTATTGTTGTAACTGCTCCATCAACTGGTTCGATACCTAAAGTTGAAAATAGTAAAATATAAATAGTATTATATATTTTGTATTAGGATAATTTATGTATTTATATGTTAATAGTAAAGTCTGTAGTATCTACTTAACAAAAATTGGTGGAAATTGTACAAAAACAATTTTTTTTTACTTTGAAAATTTCATACACATTCACAACCAAATATACAACAACGACAACAAAATGTCTGATCAAGAGAATGAGTCGATTGATGAAGCAGTAAATGAATCATCAAATGAATTGAAAGAGGAATTAGATGACTTATTTGGGGATGAAGGAGAGGAAGAAGAAGAAGAAGGAGTTATTGAAAATGATGAAATAAAAAGTGAAACTGAAGATATACAATCCCAATCACAATCGATACGAAATAATTATTCACCAGATGAAGACGAAGAAGAGGAAGAAGAAACTGAAAAGAAAGTACTTGATATATCGTTACCACGTCATGCAATATCCATGATATCAGAAAATACTCAAATATTAAAAACTCCAATGCATTTAAATATAGCACCACATCCATTTGATCCAAATGCATTTAAAGAGAATATAGAGGATAAACAATCACAAAGAATAGAACAAGGATTAAATTCAAAACAAATATATCATGAAAAGTTAGCAGAAAAATTAATAAATGAATCAACAATTAGATGGAGATATCATAATTCAGGAGAAGATGAAATTATTAAACAATCGAATGCTCATTTTATTCAATGGGATGATGGAAGTGTGAGTTTAAAAATTGGGAGTGAAATGTTTGATGTTAAAACTTTGCCCATTACAGATAATTATTTAGTCAAATCTTATGAAAATGCAGAAATTTTACAATCAGATTCAATAATTGATAAGATTATAAATTTATTTCCAGCATCAAATGATTCAATACATAAAAAATTAACACAAGTTATAAAAAATATGCATTTTAAAGATAAAATTCTAAACACTACAACAGAAGATGATCCATTAAAACAACAAAGAATAGCTGATGAAAATGAAAAGAAAAAATTGAAAATGAGAAGACAAATGGAAAACAAAAGAAGAATTGAAGAAGAAAAATGGGAAAGAGGTGAAAGTCCAAGTATTAAAGAAAGTTCATACAAAAGATTTGCAAGAACTTATGAAGATGATGATGAAGATGGTGAAGATCAAGGAGAATATGATGAAGAAGATGATTTTATTGCAGGTGATGAAGAAGAAGTTGAACAATATGATGATGAAGAAGAAGAAGAAGAAGCACAAAAAGAAGAGGACGATGATGAGAAATTAAAAGCAAACGCTGAAAGATTAAGAAAATTAAAAGAAGATGGTGCTGCTAAATATAGAGAAAAATCTGCATCTGTTGAAGAAAATGAAACTAGAAAAAGAAAAAGAATTATTGAAAGTGATGAAGAAGATGAATAATGGGAATGGAATTATATTGTAATATAAAAGATTTATTAAGTATTGAATGTGACAAAAAATAATTCCCTTTCACATGTTCCAACGAACTTGTAACGAAACATGAGTATTATTTCTCAAATTCTGGACTTTCTCTTACACATCGAAAATGTACAAGAGATTAGACATTATTGGCATCAGTTTCTTTAAAAAAAAAGCACAATACTTGCGTGTTTTTTAGCCAAAATACTTTGCGTGAAATTTAAGATTGTGTGTCAAATTTGTTTTGCAATATTGGGACGAAAACCCATTAGATATAATTTTACTACACATGACTGAAAATTTTGAATAGGAAAATGAACTTGAATTTATTAGAGTAGTAATTAGAATTCAATGGCATATTTTCATGTCTGAGAAATTAATTTCGTACAATTTGAACTACTTAAAACTACATTAGGTACCTGAAACATTTAAAATATTATTATTTTATTAGTATGTTTCATAAAATTCAAATGGATAATTGATCAACTTGTTCATAATCTTGTAATTAACTTTTTTGAAAATTTTAATGAGAACTGTGTATACTAAGTAATTGTTTTTAAGTATTCGATTTATTAATCTTATATTTAAATGTTTTAGAATAACATAAAACAACTCTACTCTATATGTTTTTAATTTTTGTGTTTATTCCTCTTTAGAAATATTAAAATATAAATTTTAATTTTTTTAGCTGCAAATTTACATATCAACAAACAACTTTTTACAAACTTACATCAATAATAATTAGTTAATTTACATTAAAATGCATCCTCAATTCACTAACATTAACTTATGTATTTATCCTTTAATCACAGAAACTCAATCAATCAATTTAAATTTTAAAAACCAACCTAACAATTTATTTGATATTCCATCAGTTAACCAATCCAAAAAAATTAATTCAACCATTAATTCAAGTACTTTATCAAATGAAACTTATAAATCAACCACCAATCTTCATTTTTTTACAAGACCAAATAAAAATTTTAGTTCACCTTCAACAAAAACCAAAAAATTCCCAAACAATTTGTTTAATTTAGACAAACCAGTTTATCCTGCTTTAGATGATTTAATTAATTTAGAAAAATCAACCCCAACTCAATTCATCTCATTACACAGAATTGAAGCATTAAATAAAACAATATCAATCCCAGAAACAACTGAAGAAGAACAAATTAGTCTTAATTTCCCTATTTACCATCAATTAGATAACCTCATAAATTTTGAATATAAATTTTATCACGAATTTTTTAAAACTTCACATGAAGCAACAGCAGTATCACAACCAACTAATATTGAAAACTCAAAAGATGCTGCATCTGAAAATACAAACATCACTAACATTTTACAAGAATCGATAGCATCATCACAACCAACTGAAACTGGAAAAGCAAAACATTCTGTATCTGATGATCAAAACATCACTAACATTTCACAAGTATCAACAGCAGTATTACAACCAACTGAAGCTGGAAACACAAAAGATACTAAATCTGAAAATATCACTAACAATTCCCAAGTATCAACAGCATTATCACAACCAAGTAAAGTTGAAAACACAAAACATACTGAATCTGATGATCAAAACATCACTAACATTTCACAGATATCAAAAGTAGTATCACAACCAATTAAACTTGAAAATACAAAAGATACTAAATCTGATGATAAAAACATCACTAAAATTCCACATGAATCAACAGCATTATCACAACCAATTAAAATAGGAAATACAAAAGATACTGAAACTGATGATATTCCAGAAACTTTACATTTTCAACCAGAAAAATTCTTGAGTCATAAGTGTGATGAGGTTAGAGTTGTTTGAGCACCAGCTTCATTAACATTAGCAGTAGAATTAATACCAGCAGTATTAGCTTGAGACATTAGTTTAGTTCAAAGTAAAGTATAATATAATATATTAGTTGATTAAACAAAAATTATAAAAATCTAAAAATCTAAAAATAAAAATCTTAAAAATAATTTGAGAAGTTGGGAAAATGCCAACCTATTTATAATAAAAATATTTTAATAAACTTAGTCAATAATAGACTTTAAAACTTAATAAACTTAGTCAACAATAGACTTTAAAACTTAATAAACTTAGTCAACAATAGACTGTAAAAATTAGTAATAAATAAAAATAATAATAATAAAAAATTTAATAGTAATAAAAATTAGTCATAAGTAAAAATAAATTAATAATCAATTAGTAAAAAGATAAATCCCTCATTGTTAAATTAGTAATTGAAATACTTTAATCAGTAATCAAGGAGTGACTCATTAAATCCCTTATTGAAAAAGTAAACAATAATTATTTGTATTAGTCATTTGTTTACAACTTTAATTTTATTTTGCAGCCAAATGAACTGCCTTATTGTTTAAAAAATATGACACAAAAATAAAGTTTAAAACTATTTTTCTAAGATTAGTAATTATTGAGTTATAATATTTCAACACCTCCCCTTAAGTCAATAATTCCTTTATCTTGAAGCCACTAGTATCTAACAATCTTGCAAACCTGATTCTATCCAAACCTTTTGTGAGAAGATCAGCTAACATAATATTGGTTGAAATATGTTGGAAGGAAATTGTACCATTCATAATATGATCTCTAATGAAATGATATCTTAAACTGATATGCTTTGTTCTGGGATGAGATAGTGGATGATTGGCCAACGTAATAGCAGAAGCATTATCACCATAAATAACAACAGGAGTTTCAATTTCAATATCAGTATTATTAAACACCAGTAATAACCAAAGAACCTCTTTGACAGTTTCAGCCATACTCATGTACTCCGCCTCTGTAGTGGAAAGAGCAACTGTAACCTGCTTTTTACTCTTCCACGAGATCGGAGCACCGGCTAACTTAACAATATATCCGCTAATTGATTTTCTGTCTCTGGATGTTGAACCCCAATCTGCATCAGTATAAACTTCTAAACCTTCTGTTTTATTATAGTGTAAACCATACATTTTAGTTCTCTTTAAATATCTTAAAACATGTTTAGCAGCTTTATAATGTCTTTCTTCTGGTTGTTGAAAATGACGTGATAATACTCCCACAATGTAGCTGATATCAAAGCGACAAATGTTAGCAGCATATAACAACTTTCCTACTATCGACCTATAATCAGTAGGTTTACAATATTTAGGATTTTCATCAGTTGTTTCTAAATCTAAACCATTTAAAGTAGGAATAGCAACAGGATTACAATCAACCATACCAAATTCTTCAAGCATTTTATCAATATAATCTTCTAATGAAATAATAATAACACCATCTTTTCTAACTAACACATTCATCCCTAAAAATTTCAGTGGGACACCTAAGTCCTTCATTTTAAAATGACTTTTAAGTAATGATTTGACTTTATCAATTTCAGCTTGAGAATCACCAGCAATAATTAAATCATCAACATAAAGCCCCAAATAAGTACCACCCTTAACATAAAGTCCTAACTCTGAAGTAACTCTCTTAAAACCGTCATTCTCTAAAACAGCATTAATTGATTTATTCCAAGCGGCTGGTGCCTGCTTAAGTCCATAAAGACTCTTGACCAACTTATAAACTTTTCCTTCAACATCATAACCAGGAGCAGTCAGCATATACAATTCTTCTTCCACAAACCCATTCAAGAATGCCGTTGATACATCCATCTGGTTTATGATTTTGTTGGTCTTAGCAGCTAATGCAAATAATAATTTAATACTTTCACTTCTGATGACTGGTGAAAAAGTTTCTCCGTAATCAATACCCTCAACTTGTTTGAACCCTTGAGCTACAAGACGGGCTTTTAATTTTCCACTATCCTTTTTAGTGAAAACCCATCTGCACCCAAGGGCCTTTTTATCTTTTGGTAAATCAGTTAACTCCCAAGTTTTGTTTTCTTCATGAGCAGCCATTTCTTCATTCATTGCTTCAATCCATGCATCTTTCATTTCACTAGCAATTGCTTGTTTATATGTATTTGGTATATAATTATCTTTTGCTTTCTCAACAACAAAACCATTACCACAAACAAATTCTGATGTATTTGATGATGAAAAATTAATTTGAGTATTTTGAATTTTAAAACGCTTACATGAATCTTTAACTTTATAAGTAGGTTTAAGTTCTTGTTTTAATTCAAGTTGACTTATTAATAAGTTTTGTTCTCCCCCACAAAGTGAATTTTCCATCAGCATACCAACAGCCCCAATAAATTGTAAATCAGGATCACCAGGAGAATTTGTAAAATCTGAGCTAGCGGCATCACTTGACGGTTGATAATCTGATAATAATATAGGTGGTGTAATTGGAGAATCTAAAGGTGGAGTATCATTGGAACTTGAACTTGAACTTGAACTTGAATCATTTGATGAAAGTATAACTGTACTTTCTGTTAAAGGTGAGGAAACAACAACAGGAACAGGTGAATCCGGAATAAACTCTGAAGCATCAAAATCAATATCTGGCGAAGCTAAGGCTGATGGTGGCGTAGAACCTAAATTTTGAAGTAAAGTTGCAGTATTTGAATTAGTAGCAGCACTTGTTTCAGAATCAACATTGGTAGCATCAATTGTTTCAGAATGAAAAATAGGAATATCAGCACTTAACAGATTTCTAGTAACACCTTTGACACTGGATGGTAAATCATTGATATATTCTGTATTCATAGATCTACCAATAAAATCTTCATCAAGAAACCTAACATCCTTGGCAACAATAACCTTTTGAGCATCAAGATCTAATAATTTAAAACCAGCTTGATTAGTAGCGAAACCTAAAAATATACATTTAATACCATTTGGTTGTAACTTGGTACGATACTTAGCAGGAACATGAGCAAAAGCAGTACATCCAAACGGATGATAGGAAGTTAACTTCGGTAAATGACCAAACCATAATTCATATGAAGATTTGTTATCTACGGATGTTGCGGTACGGATGTAGCGGTACGGATGTTGCGGTACGGATGTTGCGGTACGGATGTTGCGGTACGGATGTTGCGGTACGGATGTTGCGGTAC